CCTTCCTTCCTTCCTTCCTTCCTTCCTTCCTTCCTTCCTTCCTTTCGCTTTTCGGGTTAGAATTGCTTCCTTAAAAATTTCTTTTTTTTGATGATACTACATAGATTTGTCTTCAGCAGTGACTTGAAAGGATGTTTTTACTGTTTATGTGCATGGTATTCGTTTCACGTGATTTCCACGTGGACCTCACTTTAGTTATAATACAGTAACCCCAGCTATACCTCATCTTTCAGAGAAATAATAAACGATAACACTAATAGAATTAATGTTGTAGGAAGTACATCAGTAATAAAATTAATTAATTCGCAATGAATAATTTGCAACGCCTTTTTCAAACCATGTGAAACCTGTCATTTCTAGAATTAGCGCTGGGTGAAGAATCTCTGAATGGAGGGGGCGGGGGAAGCACAGCGCAGAGCCTGAGGCCAAGCCACGTTTTTTCCTGGGGTCTCTCGTCAGTTGCCCCATCTCTTCACCCCTTCCTCAGGGAGAGTACTTCATTTCCTCTTGCTTCCCTGTAGTACCACAGAAGCAAGACGAGACTATTCATCATGAGTTTACTTGGGGATAACAAAGAAGTGAGAGCAAGCACAGAACGTGGGAGTGCAGATATCTCTTTAAGAGAGTGATTTTGTTTTGTCTGGATAAATACCCAGAAATGGGATTGCTGGATCAGATGGTAGTTCTTTCTAATTTCTTGAGGAACTTCCATACTGCTTTCCATTGTGGCTTTACCAGTTTACATTCCCACTGATGTTATTACACTTCTAACCAACGGAGGCATTATCTCACTGTGGTAAATATTCAGTCTGCCACATATTACTATGCATTTTATATATTTTTTAAGTATAAAATATATACCTTAAATATATTTTAAATATATAAAAATATTTAATATTATATACTTTAATATAAAATACTTTAGTATATACACATATATTAAAGTATATTTCAGAGAGAGGACAGATTCAGAAATAGTCAAGATACCACTATAAATTTCTATTTCATTTACGACCTTGTTGACTTATTTTAACTGTACTAATAAAATTATAACAAGATCAGCAGAAGGAGAAATAAAGGATAAGAATGGATTGTACCAAAAAAATTCCTCCAACTTTTCAGTTCACTTATACACATACATCCATGTGATAGAGGACTACAAAAGAAATGGGAAAATTAAACTATTTCCTTTAAACACACCGCAATTGAGAGCTGATCGTATTTGTAACTCCTGTTTTTCAGGCTACCTTGACTCAAATATACAGTCAATGTCAAAGGTACTACCAGGTATTTCAAGCAGCTAACAACTGGCTTGAGGATGCCCACGAAATGTTACAGCTGGCGGGCAGTGGCCTAGATGTGGAGAGTGCAGAGGAAAGTCTCAAAAGCCACATGGAATTTTTTAGTTCAGAGGATCAGTTCCAGAGTAGTCTGGAGGAACTCCAAGGCCTGGCAGCCAACCTGGACCCACTTATCAAGCCAACTGGAAAAGAGGACCTGGCCCAGAGAATGGCCTCCCTGGAAGAGAAGTCCCAGAGGATAATCCGGGACTCACACGCCCAGTTAGACCTCTTGCAGAGGTATTAAGAGTTGTTTTTTCATCTTTATGTTCTGGTAAAATATAACGTATTTTGAGATGAATTGTTGCGCGGAAAACGTGAATATGTTAATGAGGTGATTTGCATGCAAATCTATTCTTTTAAGTATCATCCTACATACTGACATCCCGTTTTGCATAGAAATGTGTGGCTTGATGTCGCTCATTGTCTTTTGTTGGACTTTTTCAAGAGAGTTGTTTTCATCTTTATGTTCTGGTAAAATATAACGTATTTTGAGATGAATTGTTGCGCGGAAAACGTGAATATGTTAATGAGGTGATTTGCATGCAAATCTATTCTTTTAAGTATCATCCTACATACTGACATCCCGTTTTGCATAGAAATGTGTGGCTTGATGTCGCTCATTGTCTTTTGTTGGACTTTTTCAAGATGTGCAACTCAATGGCAGGATTACCAGAAAGCAAGGGAAGAGGTTATCGAACTGATGAATGAGGCAGAAAAGAAATTGTCTGAATTTTCTTTATTGAAGACTTCTTCCAGTCATGAAGCAGAAGAAAAACTGTCAGAACACAAGGTTAGTTTCGTTGTTTTCAGTGTCTTTTCATTGTAATCGCAATGGGTCTTTGTAATATGACAGCTCCAGAAACAGGTCCATAAATCTTTATTTCTACCTGGGTTCCTTAAAGAGGAGATGTATACATTTAACCATGTTTCATAGCAGTTTTAACTTAATTAAATCTGTCACTTTTTTTAGGGTTTCTGTTGGAAATGCATAACTAGGTTTAAAAAAAGACATTCAGAGCATTTTTTTCTGATAAAGCGTGACAATGAATTTCAGTAAATACTTTCTGGTGATAAATGACATTAATTCAAATAATAGCTGAGTCTCCCTCATATATCACAGCCGTATAAGGTGGACTATAACATCCTTAAATATTAAATTTGGCTCACTTATATTTTTGCTGCTTTTTAAAAAAATGGCAGAATGTCATCTCAAGCAGCAAGTAAAAACTTTTGTTTTTAATTTAAAAAAATATTCACCCTACTTCTTTAAACTATCCAAGCCTACCTCAATTAAGAATTTAGTGTCAAAGCAAGAGTTACCAGAGGAAAATGAATCTATGTAGAAACATTTCCCTCTGCAGGTAATTTTGGGCTTTAGCCAAATGCACCGAACTTTTGTAAAACTCTCTCCCCGGGCCCCTCTTCTCCCCCAGCCCTTAGTGTCAGTAGTTAACTCTTTCCACGAGAAAATTGTGGCACTGGAGGATAAAGCTTCACAACTGGAAAAAGCTGGAAACGAGGCCAGCAAGGCAGCCATAAGCAGGTCGATGACTACAGCGTGGCAGCGCTGGGCGCGTCTCCGCGCTGTGGCCCAGGACCAGGAGAAGATACTGGAAGATGCAGCTGATGAATGGAAGAACTTCGACAGCAAGGTGACGTTTCTGCCGGGCTCAAATTCTTCTCTCCTCCTCACTGGTGATGACGCTTTTCGAAAAGCAGTATTTTGCTCTTTTTTTTTTTTTTTAATTGGCCTTATGAAAGTAAAAAGCCTTTTTTGTAAATGACATCAAAACCAAATTGTAAAAGAAAGTACAATATGCTGTGTTCAATGCCGTCCCAAGTCGGGGTCTGATTTGAATAAGAAAAGCAAGAAATTAAATTTCGAAAGGAGGACAAGCCCATTTTTCTTCATTTGCTAGACTCAGTGAAACTTTCTTACTTGACCCCGAAAAGGTACAAAATACTTTTTCTTTGCCACAGAAATGAGCAGGAGTGTAACGCATTTCCCAAATCCTATATTTAATTTCTTCCATCTTTTAAGTAAGATTCAATAGCCTCATCTTTCTTTATAACTCAGGGACGCATTCATATTAACTTAAATATTGAAGAGTTTTTTATTCGTCTTTTAGTTAAAGTTTTTTAGAAAAAAAACTTTTTCTGCCCTATGCAGTCTCTGATTGCCCTGATATTATTTTGAGATTAAAGTTTTAAGCCCAGCATTGTAGAGATGGTCTTTCCTTCATGTTAAGATCGTTCAGGTTTTAGTTTCCTGAAATTTAGAGTTTACGCCATCAACTTTAATGTGCTTCACTGCATGTCAAATGTGGCATTTATTGAAATTGCCCCATTTTTTTTTCAGTTCATTTATTTTTGTGCTTCAGAATATATACATTTTTCCCACCAGGTTAAGAAAGCCACTGAAATGATCAAACAGCTGCAAGATAAATTACCAGGAAGTTCAGCAGAGAAAGCCTCAAAAGCAGAACTCTTAACTCTTCTGGAATATCATGACACTTTCATTCTGGAGCTGGAACAGCAACAGTTATCCTTAGGCACGCTGAGACAACAAGCACTGAGCATGCTCCCAGACGGGGCCACGCCGTCCCCTGGAGAAGAGCCACCCATCACGCAGGAAATCACGGCGATGCAAGATCGGTGCCTGAAGTAATTATACACCTGCTCTCATTCTCTGTTACTAAACTTGGCCATGACCCAAAGGGATAAATTGGCATTAGAGTCTAGGGGTGCTCCATCATTCCGCCTTAAAATGGGGTTATCTGTTCTCATCATCCCTACTTTTCATTTTTCTTGGCTCTTCAACTATTTGTCTGACAAACACATACCTAGTAGTATTTAGAAATACAGGGATCACCTGGGCATAATCAGTCTGCACCGTCATTGCTGTTTACAATCAGGCAGCAGAGATGGGTAACTAAAAAAACCATTTAGGTAAAGAATGAAAAAGGATGCTAAGGGAAGATCGATCAGAGGCAACTAACCTAGGGGAGCAGTCGAGGAAGGCTTCCCTTCAGAGGGATTCTTTAAGCTGAAGACTGAGCTGGCTTGAGCAAGGCGGTGAGGTAGGAGGAGAGTTTTGCAAACCAGAACAGCACATAAGAAAGCTTGGAAGTGAGTGAGCCTGGCACTTCCAGGAAACTGTTGGGTGATGTGGCTATTCATGAGAAATGACGTTTGAAAGGTGAACCGTTAGAAGCTATGTAGAACCTATTTTTATAAAAGCTTGGAAACTGAATGGCTAAATTGGATGACAGATCAGAGCAAGGATGATACCAAAATTCAGTACATAGCCATTTACTGGTAGTGAACTTAGTAGATAGAAGAAGTTAAACTTAATGATTTATAACCTGATTTACTTATTGAGCCAGAGAAGAAATGTCAATAAATAAATTAACTCTTGCATCAACTCGTATTATTCGTACATATCCTATATTCACCTCTTTCACTTATAGATGCATTTGGAATAATCTGACTCCACTTATTTAAACTTTTAAACCAAATATATATCAATTCAAATAAAGACTTACAATTTGGATGTTGAACATTATTAATTGTAAAATTTCCAAAGCTTGATTCTTTCTTTAAAGACTTGTTTCTAATAGCTACAAATATTACAGTTGCACATCACGTTTAAATACTGATGGTTCTATACCTTTTGAGTATATTTCCAAAGAGGAAATAAATAATCAATGTCCAGGTTACTTTAGATAGGAAAATAAATTTCAGTTTAGTGGCATGGGAATGTGTCAGTTCTCAACTTTCCAGTCATAAATCATTTACTTCATATGATGTATATTCTCCTGTTATACTTGAATTAAACTTAAGGGTTACTGAAAATTATCTGACAGTTTTGGGGAAATGTATTTACTTGCAAGAAAGATACCGAGGCTTCGCCTTTTTTTAAATGTGTTTTTGATAACATGATGTTATGTATTAGGGGCTTCTTTTCATTTCAAGTTCACTTCTGCTTTCTCCTGTCGTTTCCGAAGTATGCACCAGAAAGCAAAGAATAACAGAAAGGCGGTCAAGCAAGAGCTGAAGGAGCGAGAAGCGGTGGAGGCTCAAATCAATTCTGTGAAATCTTGGGTTCAGGAAACCAAGGAATACTTGGGGAATCCGACAATAGAAATAGATGCTCAACTTGAAGAACTTCAGGTACAAAGCTCTTTTTTTTTTTTTCCCTATACCCATCATTTTTTTAAAAATTGCCCCAATTTTAATCAGACATCTTTGTTTATAGTCAACGAAATACTGAATTAAAATTTTTCAGAAATGTGTTATCTAAAGGCTTTTAGTATTATTTCACAGGATTTTGTTTCTTCTGTGTAAAGCAGACATGTTTCTTATTCAGAGACCAAAGAAATACGTTTGGTTTTTCTTAAGGCGTTTCTCCAATTCCACTCTTAATCGTATATACTAATGAACAATACCTCGTCTTATCTCTGTGCCTGTGAAAATTTCCTTAGGCTCCCAGAAATTTCTCGTTTTGATTTTCTCTTCAGATTCTCCTGACAGAAGCCACAAATCACCGACAGAACATTGAGAAAGTGGCTGAAGAGCAGAAGAACAAGTACCTGGGTCGTTATGCTATTTTACCTTCTGAGCTCTCCCTTCAGTTAGCTGAGGTGGCATTGAACCTGGGAACTATCCACGATCAGGTAAACTCAGGGTCAAGAAAGAGCGCCTTTCCATTATTTTATAGGTTCAGAACTCTCGTATGAGGGTTCTTGATTTTCACAATTATATCTTCATGGAAACCGTTAAAACACAGCTCAGCATAAAACAATAATAGTAAGTTAGCAATCTTATTTGTAGGCCAAAAAAAATCGAATCATAAATATGAACGATAACATCATACAATTAAAGATAACTGACCTGCTTTCCCTCATCTTTTTCAAAAAAAAAACAAAAAACAAAAAAAGACTTAAAGAAACAATAGCAAAAAATAAGATATATATCATATGTTCAATAAATATTTGTTGAGTACCCAGTCTGCCAGGCTTTCTTCTAGCTGTTATTTCAGCCTTTTATTTTTAAAAATATCATTTTTGCCATCTTTTCTCCAGCATTTTATTGTAAGCAAAAGTATAAATATAAATGTTTATCTAATCAAACTAAAGCCATTAGAAACATAAGTGTCGACTATTCTTTTTCACCTTCCTTCCATTGGATGTGCTTAACCCTTTTTTGTCATACTATAAGTACATAATTGCAGCATTAGAAAGAGTTACCAGATCATTAACAGCTATTTACGAAAAGGTGCCTGGAAACAAATTTGAGTTTCTCCAGTTATCTAGAAGCATTTTCCACTTTGTGAAGAAAAAGTCTTAGCGGAGTCTGTGTGTTCAAGGTCACAGAGTTAATAAATGGAGAAAATAGGATTCAAACTCAGCTATCTACGTTGCTGTCTATTAATATTCTGTAACCATTTGGTAAGTGAATCATGGTACATGCATTTCTTTGCCAAAACAGCAGCATTAAAAGGTGCAGTGAATGCGTAAGGATGGGAGCAAGTAAGGCCACATGGAAAGCCATGAGAGTTTATAACTGCATGTGGCTCCTTTGACAAAGTGTTTCAATGCCAAGGCAGCATTAACCACCTAAAATCCCTCGGCAGCATCTCCAGAATGAAGTTTTTAGTAGCTGTTTCCCAATTTTAACCATGGTTGGTTTTGTTGTTCTCATTGATCATTTAGATCCAGGACAAAGTAAAAGAAGTTGAACAGAGCAAAGCCATGAGCCAGGAATTCGGCCAGCAAATTCAGAAGATAGCCAAAGACCTCACCACTATTCTAACTAAGCTCAGAGCAAAGACAGACAATTTAATTCAAGCTAAAACTGACCAAAAGGTAAAGAAGAGAAGTGGAAACATAAGGAGTGGGATTGAATGAATTCATTATTCGAGGGAGTTAGTTTGTTTGGGGATTATAGAAAAAAAAAATCTTTCTGGATTAGCGAGCTTCATTAAAACCAGATAGTAAACACAGGTAATAAAGAAATTTTATAAATACAACAACAGATCTAGATCTACTTACATGGTATAATTTACCATCACAATTGAATTGTATTAATAAATAGATGCACGTGTGGGTGAAGCGAAAAGTGTGAAAGAACTAAATAATGATTTAGGAATATAAGTATATAAATTCCAAAATGAAGGATGTTCTTGGTAGTAAATCTGCATTCTTGCTTCGCTGATGAGTTAAGTGACTAATCCTTTTTGGGTGGGGCAGAAGGAAAATGTTAGCTCTCTCAGCCCCATGGGAAATAAACACCAGGGTTACAAAACATCCTGCTCCACCTTCCCAACCGAAGAAACAGAAATGACCTGGTCATGGTAGAATTATCCTTTATAATTTCGCTACTACAAAAATCATTTAACATATCATCCTTCTGATCTTAGAAAGTCTGGAGAAATTCATTTTCTATAATCTAACGTTTTTTATTTTGATGGTCATCTAGGTGCTAGGAGAGGAATTAGATGCCTGTAATTTAAAGTTAATGGAACTAGATGAAGCAATACAAAAATTCTCGGAACAAAATGACCAACTGGCTAAGCCCCTAGCCAAGAAGATAGGAAAACTGACTGAACTTCACCAGCAGACCATTAGACAGGCTGAGAATCGGCTTGCCAAGCTCAGTCAGGTACGTTTCCAGACCAGGAATCAAAATTCTCTAAGGCAGATATTCTATGTCCCGTTTTACTCTTTTGAAAATAAATAAAAAGGTAATATCGACAAAGATGAGAGTAATTTAAGAGTAGCTTACACCTGCCTTTCTTTTATGTCAAACCATGTTATAAATTCATTGACAAAGGTGGGTGGATATTTTTTAGACAGGGGAAATATTTTATAAAACAGATGCTCATCCAGTAATGTTTTACAAATCAATTTGTGTGAATTCAAATATCTTGAAGCAAGATACAGATATAAATAAATAGATAGATAGATAGATAGATAGATAGATAGATAGATAGATAAATGTATGTATGTATGTATGTATGTATTAGCTATTATTTACTTAATGGATTCAGGTCATTAATTCAACCAGTGAATTACAATATTGAACCCTAGCGTCCTATAGCTATAATTCCACATACCACCTCCTTAGTCAGTGAGGGTGGAGTATGGAAGTGGGGAGGCATAAATGGGATCTAGGTAGATAAATAAGAGATGAAAATAGAGAATTTCTTTTTAAAAAAGACAGATTATTCAAGCACATTAAGAACTTAGACTTTATCCTAAAACCACTAGGAAGTCCTTGAAATATTTTCAACAAGGACTTGGTTTTTCATGATATCTTTTGTGGATAAAAAAACAAAAAAGGGAGTTTTATGGAAAGTAACTCACAGGGTGATCGAATCACAGATTCCTAACTGGGCAGGTCATGGTGGGTAGTCACACTCCAGGCCTATAACGTCTTTAGTGAAAGGTTTTAAGCCAGCCCTGTCCATTGTTCTAGGTTAACACACCTTTGAAATAAACCATAACCACCCTCGAGAAAGCATATAATCTTGTTAACTCTCCTGTAATCCAGCCCCTGCCTTGCATTCTCCAATCTTCCTTATGTCCCCTCCTTAATTTCAAATGCGCAAAAGCAGCTTCAAAACTGTTATTCTGCAGAACATTTGAGATCTTGCTCCCTGGCCTAGGTCATCAGTTTAGCTCAAATAAACTCATAAAAATTCTCTACAGTTTTGGACACTTCTTGCGTTGACACTTTAAATATCAGGTATTATAATGATCAACCCCAAGAAGCAGAGGTTACATTTGTTATCTGAATGTTAATGATTTTTCAGGCGGCATCACATTTAGAAGAATACAATGAAATGCTTGAATCGATTTTGAAGTGGATCGACAAAGCTAAGGTCTTGGTACATGGAAAGATTACGTGGAATTCTGCAAGACAACTTCGGGAACAGTACATTTCGCATCAGGTAACTTCGGGAAAAATAGTTTTCAAAGAGTAACTAAGAGCAGGTTAACTTAACTGGCTAGACTGACAGAAAATTTAGAGGGCCATGGTGTAAAATTACTGTAGGTTTCAGATTTAAAAAGAAGAAAGCTAAGGTAGCCGTACAACTTTTCTGGTGGTTTGAAAGAAAATAACTACCCATGAGATTTTATAAGACTATATAAATAAGTAGATATTTTCTATCTCTCCTAAACTTTCCTTTCCCAAGACCAAATATAACCAGTTCTTTTTTTTGCAGCTTTGTTGAAACAATTATATGCAGGGATATGGTGGAAAATTCCTCCCCGTGAAGAGATGTAGTGACACATAAAAAGATTATGTAAGCTTCAGACTCAGACTGATGGGCAAACCAAACTCTGCCTTTAGAGCTGTGTGATTTAGAGCAAACCGCTTTGCCTCTCTGAATCCAGTCTTCCCATCAATAAGATAGAGATGTAAATGATTTATATTACAGCATTATTATGGGAATCAAATGGTTTAACATATGTGCAGACATCAAACACATTACCTGGCATCTGAGTGCTCAACAAGAGCTCTCATGCCTCCTTCTCTGCCTGCTGCCTGGCCTCTGTTGCTTGGCTTTCCGCAGGAGGCAGGAGTCGGCTGGGAATGAGTAATGAGGCCATGCCACATGGTGGCTGCATTACTTCACTTCCTCTGAAGATTTCCCATGGTCATGTCATCCAGGAAATTATGTCATCCTTTTATAACTTAGGCTTGGATTAGATTAGATATCTAATAGCCTAGTTATCTTGCAGTACAATACAGAGTGCTTTTTATTTAAGTTACAAGGACAGCCTCAAGTATTTTAGATTTTTTTCTCTTTCGTTCTGATTTACGTATATTTGTGTCTTTTAAATCCATCTCTTTTTCATTCCAGTTGACAAGGTTCTAGACCAAAGCCTCATTTTCTCCTTGGAATGATTTAACAGGCTCCCAGTTTGGTTTTCCTATATCCACAATCTTTCTTTAATCACTCTTGCACACTTCTCAAGAAATTTTTCCAAAACAATTCTAATCTTCTACTTGAGAATATGCTTTCATATTAACAGACAAGACTTGTGTTACAATTGGTTATAAACAATGAAAAAGCTACTCAAGCTCATTAGAAATCTAGGAAATCAAATTTAAAAGAGAGCATTTTAACTATCAAGTTAACAAGAGTCTTGAAAAATTCGTATTTAAGGAAGTGAGAGCTCTCAAACACTGCGGGGGAACTTGGTAAAATCTGCAAAACAGTGGTATGATCATCAAAATGTTCCTACTCTGTAATCCAAAGGGTAGAAAATATTTTATGCAGCATTAATAACTATAGTGGAATTTAAAAAAAAAACTGAAGTGTCAACTCATTTTTCTGAGTAAATTTTTGGATCTAATGGACTCTGACGTGGTCTTTAAAATGACCATGAAGACTTTATCTTTAAAATAGCTCATTTATTTATTCAACAAACACTTATAACGTGTTTTCTAAAGCTCGGAATTTTGTTAGGCATTCTGAATACAATGCCTGCCCCCGGGGAGTTGATAATTAAAGGGAAGAAGGAGACAGAGCTACAGACTTGGACAAATTACAAAATGGTGTGATTAGAGCAGGGACAGCAGGATCAAGGTACTGAAGGAGCCCGCAGGAGGTGCGGCCCCAGGCTGCCCAGGGTTCTCGAGGAAGGTTACGGATGCCTTCTTAGGAAAAGGTGATTCTTGTCTAAGCCCTGAAAGACACTCAGCCTACTTGTGAGGAATGTGTTTCAGACAAAAACGCGTGTCGAAATCCCAGCAGCAAGAGTGAGGTGTGCTCTGCTTGGTGCACTGAAGGCTGCAGTTTGGGGAGGAAGTCTGTACATGGGCTGGAAAGAGGTGTGAGATAAGAATAGCGAGCTAAGACAAAGACAGATCATGAAAGCCTGTTAAGAACTTGGACACTGTCCTAAATTCTCTCTGAAGCCTTGACAGATATTCTGCCAGCAAATGACAAGCATAGACCTGTCTTGTAGGAAAGATGACTTAGCAGCCGATGGAAAACAGATTGATGAAGGGTAGACAGCATACAAGGTGGTTTCGTATTCCAGTGGAAAATGGCAAGGCCTCTCTTTGGAGGCTGAGAGAAGACAAAAGCAAGGGGTATAATTGAGCTAGAATTCCGGACTCGGAGACGATGGATGTGGGTGAAAGGGGTGGAAGGGCCAAGGACGAAGCCCAGGTTTTTTTGACATGGGCAGTTGGGTGGGTTGAGGGGCACAGGAGGGACACAGGAAGACAGATTTCAGGTACTGGTGGTCACCGCACACAGATGCCCCGGAGAGAACCCAACCTGTACCCACCGTTTCGGGAGTTCTCCCTCCCATGCCTGCCTTAGTGATTAGAGCTGCCTGAGTTTATCCAAAAAACAGTGCACAGGGAGAAAATGCACGTGTTCTAACGTCAGATGAAAAAGAAAGATGGAAAATTGTAGGCATGTTATGATCTCAGTGACCCAAAAATATATCCGAACGTAACAGCAGTTGTAGCTTATTTAAAGTTATCTCTGCGATATGGAGTTCTAGAATATTTTTACATTTGAAAAAAATGTTCACTGTGAGAAAAAAAAAAATGTACTTTGTTTTTAAAAATAAGGCTCTGGGAGTAAAGTCCCATCTCCCATTTCTCCTCACGTCGCGCACCCCGGCAACTGCCCATTCGTGCTCCCTCACCTTTCTCACTCGGGCACCCCGGCAACTGCCCATTCGTGCTCCCTCACCTCTGTGCCTTTGCTTATGCTGCTCTCTCAGTCTGAAATGTCTTTCCTCTTCCTTCCCATCTGTCCAAATACAAATCGCCTTCTGACTCGGCTCAGATGCGACTCTTCCAGGAAGCCTCCCAACTTCCCTGCAAGTGGTAGCACCTCATTTCTGGCATCGTTAACTCTTTCACTCTGCTCAAGTACTGCATATCATAACGGTTATTAATCCCTTCGTATTAGTCCCAATAGAGGATGCTATCCTGCATGCCGAGGGCTGCGTTTTATTCCTCTTGGTATCCTAAGGAATGTCTACCCCCTTGTCTTACTTAAAAGCAAGTGATCAAAGGATTTTTGTGTGTAATGCTCTCGTCTTATTTTCATTTCTTAGATCAGTATGCGCTTAGAACTTAGATCTAGGCTATAAGATCTGACAAGCATCTCTTTAGTTGAATTACGTATGAGAAGAGGTAGGCCTAGTGATCTGATAAAGCCACCCCATGTGTCAGAGCCTCGCCACTTCTGAAATACTCATGTCCTGACCTCATCAGGGAGCAGCTTGGGGTGGTAGGCAAAGCCTGAGCACGACGGTCCAGCACTTAATAACATGTGGCCTTGGCAAATTATTTTCAGTCTCTGAACTTTGATTTCTTTTTCTGCGAGATGGGGGTAACAGTAGGCAGGGAGCAGCACAAGGGTACGAAGCTGAAACACAATGAGACGCACAGAAGCTACAGTGTGCACGGGATGTGTGAATTACATCTCCTTACTATCTTCTCGGTCCGATGGTCTTTACACCACACCATATTGATTACCTCTCCTTCTCTGCCCTCCTGTCAATGTCATGCATATTGATAATTCACTCTAGACCATGCTAGAAGAATCTGAAGAAATTCACAGTGACCTAGAAGCAATGACTGACAGGTTACAGCACCTCGCTAGTGTGTACTGTACAGAAAAAATGTCTCAGCAAGTGGCAGAACTGGGACGGGAGACTGAGGAGTTGAAGCAGCTGATCAAAATTCGTTTGCAGAATCTCCAAGATGCTGCCAAGGTAAGAAAAAATAATTCAAGTTGAAACGTCTACTATTAAAAAAAACGATGGTGGTTTATAGGGGAGATACACTCCAAATGCTTACATATTGACATTAACATTGCTTTTACTCTGCAGGATATGAAAAAATTTGAAACCGAGCTAAAAAACTTACAAGTTGCTTTAGAGCAAGCCCAGACAACACTGACTTCTCCAGAAGTTGGACGTCTTAGTCTCAAGGAGCAACTCTCTCATCGACAGGTGAGCAAAAATAATTCAGGGCAAATGCGTGAGGGAGAACCTGTATTTAAAAAAGGGGAGAGTTAGGAAAAATAATTTCTAAATCCAGTTATAGTCTTAGCACTTTATTTATTTAAAAAAAAAAAAATCCCTTGGAAAATGTTTATAACTTGTAAACAAGCTATAATTTATAAGTGTCTCTTGCTTATGAAATAAAACTCTTAAATATAAAATGTTTGAAATATGAACTTGCAATTTCAGCATTTGCTGTCTGAGATGGAGTCACTCAAGCCAAAGGTCCAGGCTGTGCAGATCTGCCAGAGCGCGCTCCGGATCCCGGAGGACGTGGTCACCAGCTTGCCTCTGTGCCATGCCGCTCTCCAGCTTCAGGAGGAGGCCAGCCGGCTGCAGCACACAGCCATCCAGCAGTGTAACATCATGCAGGTACGTGTGGCCCTGCCAGCTGCCTTCTGCTGGTGGTCCCCACGGCAGCAGAGCAATAGCGAATGAGTCATGGGCTGCTTTTCTTAGCATTGTGTGGGCTCAGCCATCAAAACACACCCAGAGTGTTAAATTTGACAGCTTGTTGTGGTTATATAAAATAAGGAGATGAAATGCTATCATTCGGATCACCCACAGAAGCTTGGGGAGAGCTCTATAAAAAATATCCGTTACTGAAAACTATCTTGTAGCAATATTTTTTTTTATAAAGAATGACTTAGAAAGGTTAATTTTATATAGTTGGATATTTCTATCTCTTATTATTCATCTGAGAATCACCTAGAATCTTGTAATATGACTTCACTGCTAATATATAGAATTTTTTTATATTGGCGCACTAAATGCATTTTCTTGCTAACAAGCACACCCAAGTGCCACTTTTAGTGTTCTCGCCTAATAAGAGAAATATCATTTACTAGGAAGAAATGACACTATTTACCTCATATCTCTTTTCAACTCATATTTCACCACCTTTATCCAAAAAATTACATACATATACTCTCATTAAATGGCTAATAATAGTCTATTTAGTCAATTATCATTGCTCCTTACATTCTCTCATAATTTCTTAGACGATAAATTCCTAAGAGTAGAAATTACATTTAATTTATTACTCCAGTACTTACCAAGTATCTTGCATATATTTAGTATTTCTTAGATGGAAAAATGAAATGATCATATTTTTTTATTATTTTTTATAATTTTTTTTATTATTTATTATTATTTATCCCTACAACACCTTCCTAGGTGGTCTCCCATCCAAGTACTAACCAGAACCGACCCTGCTTAGCTTCCGAGATCAGACATTGGGCTTGTTCAGGGTGGCATGGCCATAGATCATGGACTGTTGCTTCACTGGGGCATGAACTCAGGACCTTCTGGATGTAAAGCAGACGTGCTAACTGCTACACTATGGAACCACATCCGAAATGATCATATTTTTAATACACCTTCTCAGCATGTCTTTAGGACAAATGAACAGAGAGGATCTAGCTGTTTGAGTCCATGAATAATCTTGGCAAAATATTTTAGAGCGAAGGCTCTGAAATATCTGAGTCAAGTTGAGGAGTTGAGTCACCTCAGTATTTTACCCATTGTTTCTTTATTCCCTAGACACAGAGGTAAACAGGAGTGAATACTATAGTTTGGCAGATAGTAGCACAGAATCGCTTGTACAGTTATTGATATAGGACGATAACCATGTGTTTTTTTTTCCCCCAAAGGAGGCTGTGGTGCAATATGAACAATATGAACAAGAAATGCAGCACCTCCAGGAGCTTATAGAAGGGGCTCACAGAGAGATCGAGGATAAGCCTGTGGCCACCAGCAACATCCAGGAGCTACAAGCCCAGATTTCTCGGCACGAGGTGAGACAGGAACTCGGGTGAACGTTAAGGGCAGGACATTGGCTTAATTAGAATGTGATTGGTTTCTAGTGAATGAAATAGAAAAGTTCTCTCTGTCTGGCACATAATATGTTCAGTTCCTGGATAGCGTGTTTGGCTGTCTTTGTATTTTGAAGGCTAGTTTCAGTGATCTTTACCAAGACCCAGTATCCTGAGTCTTCTCCTTGATTCTAAAACCTCTTTACACGCTGTTCATGACATGTCTCAACTGGAACCCACTGACTGTCTCCTGCTCTTGAATTCTCACAGTTAATACACCAAAACACGGTCTACACTTGTGTTTAAAGCCTGTGAGAAACAGCAATGCTCAGGTTTGCTGCTTTGTTCACCCTCTTTAAAAAGAAGGGATAGTTCATATAAAAAAGAAAATCATTTGCTCTTTCAAACATTGGTCATTTCATCTCCTTTCATGAAAATCAGAGAATGGTCCATGTCTGTTTTGCTGATTTCCAGGTTGTGCCTGTTAGCATCTTGCCTATTTTCGAATGTGCTTCCTCTTTTGTGCCTTTGGCAGTATAATGATCTTAGGACTGGACACCCATTGTCTCAGAAATCACAGACTTTGAGTGTTTGAGCCCAGTGACACTTAGCAGTAACTTTCCTTTCCTGACCTGTCAATTTCTAGACAGGTCACATTTATTCTTCCCCTTGGGGGTTGGCTCATCGCATCAGGAATTTGGGTAACTGACTGGGAGTGGGGAGGCATCTTATTTATCTGTGCCAAGGACAGACATTTAGTTTATCCTTCTAGCTGCTCTGTTTAACTTTGTTGTCTTAAGAGCAACAAGCTATTTTTCCGAAGCAAACATCATAGCGAGGGTCTCAACAGATCCAATTGTTGCCTTTTAAGGATGGAAAATCTCATCACCCCCCTCTCCAAATGTAGTTCTTTAATTTCTTGACATATCCAGTACGTCGATCACTTACATTTACATAAGATTCACAAAATAATGTAAGTAAATATTCCACCTACATTTACTCCTACACTGTAGACATCTATATTATTTCTTTCTCTTATGCCATTGGTTAAATGAAAATATGTTATGTGAATATTTGAAACAACTTTATATAACTCATACATTAGACTGTGTTATAAATTTATTTTGAAACTATTTTTAATCCCATTTTGTAAGATCCAGAATTTTGTTGGAAAACTTTTCTATCATAGTACAAAAAATATTTTTTAAATCTTCTCTTGAATAGCAATAATTATCATTACTACAGTTTTTGTTTTTCATTTTTTTAAAACAATTTACAAAGCTTTTTCATTATCTTTTATAACAACCCCATGAAGTAAGGATTTTGTTTTTTATCATCTCCCTTTTACAAATAAAAAACAGAAACTGTTTTTTTACATGACTTCCTGAGCTCCCAAAAATAGTAACTGAAAGAAACCAGATTCTAATCTAGTGCCTTTGGCTCCATGAGTTTTCACTGTAGCAGAAATCATCTGGGCTACCTCCTCGCACGAAAGAGAAGAGTGATAGTTCTGGAAAATAAGGGACTTGCCCAAGGTCATGGAGCAGGCACTCAGCACAGTCAGCCATAGGCCATCTTCCTCTTCAGTGTCCGTTCATATTGTCATAGTCTCCTCCCAGTTCGAAACATCAGTGTAGACATTTGTCAGTTTTGTCATGTGACTTAGAAGACATTTTCATATCAATGATGACATAGTCCTGGGGAGGCTCATTGTATATATGAAACAAACACAGGAAGGAAAGTGCTGAGTGGGGAAAGCCTGATTTACGATAACATAAGAATGGAGAAGAATGCTTTTTCCTGTACTTTCTGTCTGCTTTTAATAGAATTTCAATCTTGAGGGATGTGTAGTTTTCTTATGGATGACTTTAACTCGTAAAAATAACTGATAATTTATTCATTTCTAAAGAAGTCCCATTTTTTTTCTGTGATTTTTCAAATGTTGCATTTAAGAGAAAATTATCCTGCCACTTTTAAATCACAGGAGAGAATACTCAGACCTCCACCCGGCACAGAGGCTTCTTCTGAGGGCAGGTTGTCCACAGAGGGCAGCTTTCGTCATGGCGGCCACTGTACCTGAAATTCTCACCTTTATGCTCATCCTTCACAACCATTTTCAGAAATACCCAGTAAAAATACATACTAAACAAAGATAGAGAACCCATTAACCCATTAGTACTCCATTTTAATTTAGCTGGTTTGACTTTCAACCCACAAAATTAATGAGATATGGGCAGGTTTATTCATTCATAAGAATGTTCTAGAGAGTTATTTCACCAAGGGAGTCCCATGGGATAATTATATAATGCAGATTCTCATAAGCCTAGTAAATCAAAATCTTTTGAAGTGGAGAGCAGAACTGCATTTTTAACAAACAACCCAGACAAGTTTTATACACCATAATGCTGAGAACTCCCATTTAGGTGATAGGTGTTTGCTGTTAGCGTGGGCAAGTGTTTCTCTTTGATTTTTCAATAGTTGCATCTAATTTGAGAAAGTTATCCTGTCACTTTTAAATGACGGGAGAGAATACCCAGACCTCTTTGCTCTCCATTAATAACTGTTATTAATATCGTTGTGTGTTAGGCACTGAACCAGATAGAGTAGATAGCTATTTTTAGTCACTATTTTAAAAAACTCCATTAGGTTTAATTAAGTATCTAGTAGCCCTAAAAGGTAAATAATTGACCATTCCTACTTTTTAAATCCTTGTTTTAAAAATCCCTGTACTAATCCGAAAGTCAAGAAGACAGGCAGCTGAGTTCTGCTGGACTGTTTCCCCTTCCACGCCATCGGTTTTGGTTGGAGGAGAGAAACAAAATGGGGTGTGCGTGTGCATGTGCGTGTGTGCGCATGTGTGTATACATATCTGTATATGCACATTCATTTTAAAGACAATGGCATTTAATGTCCTTGTCACAAAATGTATTCTGTGCAAACACTAAATGACAGTTTTTCAGATGGAGCCCAAGGAAATAGAAAAAAAGTAACGTTTTTGTATTTTTTAGGATTAATGTTTTGGAATATACATCTTCACTGTTTAAAGATGTATACATCTTTTAAATAAGAAAGTATAATTTTAATACTTTAGAATTATTTTAGATTATTATTTTAGAAATTTAATATTTAAAATTTTTAAGAGCTTTGCGCTGTCCGGAATATATTTTCCTTAAGTTCTTGGTTAAAGTTTTAAAGCCGCTATTTCTCAAGACAGTTTTTTCAACAAAAGATGTATTGAAAAGCCATCAATTTTGAACTAAACAAGTTCAAAGCTGTAGTCTGAACAATCAGAAACATTTGAGGCATTATGGAGTACATGAGGGAAAAGTTGATGAATGTACAAAATTTCATTTTGGGAGTAATCTGCATTTAAAAATTAGGCTTTCATATATAATACTCAGCTTATCTACAAAAACAGCTCCCAGGATCACAGGAATGACAGTTTACTTCATGACCCTGTCTGTAACAATTGACTGCTCTGTTTGACATATTCAGTGTGATAAGAGCTGAGCATTGCATTTTTTTGTAGTTTTTAGTCATCACATGACCTAATTTCCATGGCATGAACCATCTGGCCAATTCAGATTCTCTAGGCATTTTTTAAAAAGTCGCCCGTTCTTAGCGTTACATAAGTTCCTGATTCCACACGCAGCATCCCTGCGAACCAGGCTCCCCTGGCGGGCGGCCTTGTTGCCCCAGCCCCAGAGTCCCGGGGCTGTGGTCTGCCCCCGCTGCGCTGTGGTCTGGCTCGTGCGCGCTGCAGGCAGGCTCGCTCGCTCGCTCGCACCTTTGCACAGTCCACATCCTGCGTCTCCTCCGCGGCCGCCGCTGCTGCTGTCTGGCACAGCGCTGTGATATCATTGGCCAGCCCCGGAGGAAGATGAACGCTGCGAGCTGTTTCCTTTTGATGCTGCTCTGACACACGGGGGTGGGAAAATGTTTCCTCAGGAGCTGGCTCAGAAAATCAAGGGCTACCAGGAGCAGATCGCCTCTTTGAACTCCAAGTGCAAGATGCTGACGATGAAAGCCAAGCATGCCACCATGCTGCTGACGGTGACCGAGGTGGAGGGGATGGCGGAGGGGACGGAGGACTTGGACGGGGAGCTCCTCCCAGCGACCTCGGCCCACCCCTCTGTGGTCATGGTAAGTAAGGGTCAAGGCCAGGTTTGCCGGACACCGCGCACTGCTCTCCTCTGACTGTCCCAGGCTCCCGGCTCCAGGTCCCCTCTCCCTGGTTAATTTTTTAAAAAAGGAATCAGTGGTAGGTTTTGCAGATTAGCACTGAGGAACAGCCTCCTTAACTCTCTGCTCCATTTGGGTCAGGACCAATCGTTAACCATGTAAACAATGACAGTTGAAGTTATTTGCCTGCGACTGCTGAATTACTTAACATGTCAAAGGTGACCCTGCATTTCTCTGTAATTAAGCAGTAATACTGAGAGGCTCTGAGCATTAAAAGGAAAAAAAAAAGTCCTTTGACTTCTTTTAGTTTCCTAGGAGGGGGTGAGAGAATAAAGCTACATGTGTTGTGTTTTCCAAGCTAAAACAGTGACTGAATAGGTTGTATGAATGTTTAATAAAGTATAAAAGAAAAGCTATTATTAGAAAAATAAGAAAGCTCCACTAATTTCTATTTGCAACGTTATTTCCCCATCACTTCGCATCTAAAAGGTATTAATTATTTTGGTAACTCAATGTCCTCCTGTGTCATATATTTCTCACAGGTCTGTGATATGCCGGGATAGTGTGTAACCATACCTGGGCTCTCTGGGTGATATGTTACTTTGGGTGCACTTATCTCGCTAGAGTATTTGGAATTCGAGATGTCCACGAAAGACCAAGCTTTATTTCCTAGACCCTTCTCTCATTTATATAATTTGTGATTTTACTAGTTATTTACAAAGATACAATCAAGAAAAGGAAAATAAAAGAAATAGTTAATTGACAACAAAACTTTTTAATATGGTATGCATGCCCCCATCCCTGTTGGTTTCACAGATGGTTGCTAGCATCATATTCACTTGAACAAAACTTTTAAACAATAACACAGAATTTATATGTAAATATGGGTCTCAGTGATTCTAACCTTTGTTATAGAGTTATCTCTGTTTTGACCTGTGCTTGACCGGGTCTTTTGTTAACATAGCTAACGGATTTTTATGTCCTTTGGGCTACATTTTATGTGACAGATGACTGCAGGTCGCTGTCACACTTTGCTGTCACCTGTCACTGAGGAGTCTGGGGAGGAGGGAACCAGCAGTGAGATTTCCTCTCCACCTGCCTGTCGTTCCCCTTCACCTGTGGCTAACACAGACGCTTCTGTGAACCAGGTACTGCCCGCCCACTTGGCATTCTCTTCGCTATGACCTCTGGAAGGGTGCAGGACTCCATTCTCTGTTCTTATCAGACTGTGGGTATGAATCTTAGACTTTGAGGAAAATACCACTAGGTGTGATAGTTGCACAGACTATGATTGTCATGTGAGACTGCTACTGGCTTTCCACGTCATCTCCTCTCCAGGGCTCCTGGCAATGAGATGAGCAAAAACTAGGTCACAGAAATTATAGTTGGAGAAGGTCCTGTTTTAAGGCATGGCTTTAGTTTCTAACAGCTATCTCTAATGAAGTACTGCATCCTAACAGAAAATGACATGTTTGTGTCACCATTATAAAATAACATGATTCTATTGCTATTTTAACATTCATTGAACATAGTTTTGACATCTAGCAGCTCAGATTTTGAAGACGGAAAGCTTTTGTTCATCATATCACTTTTTCTTTTTTTACTAACGATCATCCAATTTAAAGGGCTGGCTGCCAATGTGTGTACATACATACACACACATGCCTAAGTAGATTCGAATTTTCTTACTTATCTTTCAATAATCTTCTTATAAAATAGGAATAATACTTTGTTATGAAATTCCTTTTAGTTACATTATATTAAAATAGATTATACCAAATTAAATGTCAGCAAGTTTTCATGAAATATATTAGATACAAATAAAAAGATGCTTTTACAATAATCAGAAATTTTTTCATGCATGTTAAATAATACTTTCTTTTCTTCATTTAGCCAAAACAACTGACAAATGTTTTTAATTATGTTACTGTGAGCTTATATACATGTTCAAAGAGGTTGCAAAGTATTATCAAGGAAGAAGCATTAAACAGAGCAAATGTTCTATAAAAGTATATTACAAATCAATCATACTATTTTTATTTTAAAACAGAAGCATTCAAAGTAGGATTTCTGTGATAAAGAGAATCCCCTCCCTCACCAAAAAAAAAAAAAATCTGACAAAACCTTTAGATATAAAACAATGCTCTTGGTAAATATCTATAGAGCTGTAGGGCAGTTATCAATCTATCAGATAGATTCTGAATACCTGCTTGGCAATAAATCTTGTGCTGGGTCCAAAAGATGCAACAAAAGAAAATATAGCTGTACTCCCTGCCCCCAAGGCCCTGATAATCTAGGGAAAGGTGGCTTTGGCATGAATAATTACAAAAGTGGTGAGTTGAAATTGAAAAACAACAGGAAAAGGAGAAGTTCAGGGTGCTCTGGAGGATTTAGGAAGTTGTTCTCCAGATTCTGATTTTAAAATATGTATTACTCATTCTTTGACAACGTTTTTCCCCGTGGTCACAGATGTTATTAGAATCAGAGAACTATGGCTGTAGTTAGCTATTTATTGTATAGGAAAAGTTTACGCTTAATGTTCTTAAATTTTTCAAATGGATCAATGAACCCTGAACTTGCAATTAACACTACGGAAAGAATATCCCTTTTCTAAAATGATAAGTCTCAATGCTCCTTCTTGTTAAGCATCTTTCGATGTCCATGTGAAAGTGCCCTGTAAATGATAAAATATGCAAATGTTTTTATTATGGTTACTCTGTCAAACTCAGTCAAATCTCAGAATTATAAGTGAGATTATGCTTAATTCTCCATCACAGGAAAACATTAATTAATTCATGTCATTAACCTAACATACTTATATATGTCACTACAATTATATTTTAAAGTATTTAGTTTGTGTCGGGCAGCTATACTAGTAGAAAGATGTTAAAAAGCACAGTATTAGTGCTTGGTGTTGCTCAAACAAATTAACACCACCATTACGGCCACAGATTCTCGTACAGTAATATAAGTCAGAGGAAAATGAGCGAATTCTACAACATGGCCGGCGATGCACTGGATTTACAAAATTTTCTCTTGAAACCGAGGAGGACATTTAGAATCCCCATAAGTTCCAGTTTTCAGACTCAAAACACTGCACAGAATGTGCACAGCTGTTTCAAGGAGCAGCCAAATATAACTACTTTACAAAGTTGCAGCTGTTAAAAAGCAGTTATGTGCTCGCTGCTTCTGTAAGTAGATCTCATTATATAACTCACTGATCCCCCACAGTCAGTGTGCTCTGTCTCTGACAGTAGCTCTTAGCTGAAATGTGGTAGCAATTTTGCTGACTCAAGGGTAGAAATAATGAAGCAGCCCCAGAAGTGGCCGCAGTCTTCTTGATCCCTTGAGAAGCAGGCCGAGACTTCGGCTCCTGGAAAGAGTTTAGGAAGGAAGGTTTAAAAAGAGAGATCGTGTAATGGGTAGAGTGCTGGGCTCAGAACATTTCCAGCTCTTCCTTCTCTAAGCTGGATGTCCCTGGAAAGTCCCTCAGTCCCCTCATTGGTAACAGGAAACAATGCTGCTTAATTCACAAAATTGTGAAAACATTTTTAATGTGATGTTACTTGTAAAACCACGTTCCCAACTGGGAAATGTAAATTAAATAGTAATTATGGTTTTCCAAATTTATTTCCTTAGGAATCCACTGATAATAACTCCCATAACTTGGGCACATAAGCAATGAAGGACATATTTCTAAGAGTGATTCTTCACTATATCAAATATTGCCTTTATTTAGTAGTTACTTATAGAACTGATAGATTTATTTTATTGAATCTACATAGTCCTCAAATAGATCCGAGTTATTCATCTACAAAAGATGATATAGTTTCAAACCCTTTTGAGAAACCAGTATTTGTTATTCCTAACAGACCTGAACCATACACGTACCCACAATCACTCACAAAAGAGCCAGAAAAAAGACTTTCGGGTCACAAATTTATTTTATTTTAGCTCTTTTAAGGGCCTTCTTTATTTAAAATAGAGTAATTAAAAATGTTTGCATGTAAAATAATAGACTTTACTTTTACATGTATGATTACATTACTATGAACGTAGATATCTGCCTACGTTATTAGCCAAACACTCCTCGATGTGCTCACGGTCGAAGACTAAAGGCACTTCTCCCGTCTTTATGGAGCTCACAGTCTGTGAGAGCAGGCAAGTCATTGAAATAGAATGGCACAAGTGCCATGACAGTGGGAAACACTGAGTGTTAAGAGAGGACATAGAGAAAGCGGGCTGGAGTTTGGCGTTTGTCGAGGATGGTAACCGTCAGCTTCTAGGCTAGAGCATGAGTTAGGGAGCTGGAGTGCGCTGGAGTGATGTGAAGTTTTTCGGGCAGAGGAACCACACGTAGGAAGGTGTGGTGGTGGGAAGGAAAATGGCCCATCAAAGCAGCTGCAAATAGTATCAGTATAATTGGAGAAACATAGATTTGGAGGAGAAGGAGGGAGAGAAATGAAGCTGAGAGGGATGCAGGAAACCCATCATGAAGGATCTTTGAATGCCACACAAAAGAACTTGAACTATATCCAGAAGCTAATAATTGACCATTGGCTTTAACTAGAATCTATGCACAGAAGTGAGGTTTAGAACAGCTCATTCTGGATTAAAGTAGACAATGGAATGGAGATGGCCAGATTCAGAGCCAGGGCAGCTAGTTAGGGACAGGAATGGCACACTCTGATGCCCGGCGTAGACTTGTGGTGCACATGGGAGAAACAGCAGGGGCACCGTCGTGACCTGGACGGTACCTCTCCACACAAAGGCGGCAGCTTCGCCTCCATTAGAATTTCTGCAGCCACGTGGACACAGAGTCCAGTCTTACTTTCTGGTTTGCAGAGAAGCCACAAATCTGGATTCTTATGAGATCTATCTGTCTCAGTGAAGAGAAATTCCAAACCGTTTAAAACACTGTATAAACCAAGCTAAATAGATATAGGCCAGAGGCAGCCCGTAGACGGCCAGTTTGCAACCTGGGAATTAGGAAGTTCGTGCTGGGATGAGAACTTGAGCCAGCGCTGCGGCGAGGGGATGCGTCAGTAGAACGTCATTCTTGCATGAACGGTGAGTGGTAGGGGAGAGATGAAATAGAAAATAAATTTATAGTTAGGGGAAAGATAGATGATACTTTATCATTTCTCTCCTAAGTCCAGTTCTCTTCCCAGATTTTTAAAAAATGTAGAGTTGAAAGAGACTGGGATATCCACGTGCGGCCGCATATGTGAGTCTGGGGCTTATACATACACCACTATTTAAGAATGAGTGGAGAAAACCAACTACAAATGAGAAAGATTGAATGGTAGGAGAAGAGAGATTACAGGGAAAATGTTTCCCAAAAGGAGTGGCCAGTGGCATCGAATGCTACTGAGAAGTCAAGCGAGAGAAAGGCTGGAAAATCATTTTATTTTCTAGAGAAGAGCCGCTGATGATGGGATGCTTTTACAGGGGAGTCAGGAGGATTGAAGCCCAGTTGGGTATTTAGAAGTGGAGTGAAGATGAGAACATATCAAGTATAAACTGCCCTTTTCAGTTGCCGGATTAGGAAGTGAAAGGGAGAAATGGAAGAAACAGTGATTACGAATGTGTGTGCAAGTGTATTCACGCATGATGATCTCATTGTGATTTGTGGAATTTTCCGATATACGATATCCTGCAAGAAAAAGAATTATAAAAGAAAGATCGTGTGTACGTGTTTTCAGATGGAAAAGAGTCAACTATATGCTGAGGAGACGATAAATAGAGAGGGAGAGGATATGAATGGACCAAGGACCTTGAAAGAGCAAAGGTGGAAGGAATTCTGGAAGTAGATGTGAGGGTTATCCTTAGCAAGGAAATTGGCAAGCATAAAGTAAAGGTGAGTCTATATATAGACAGACTTTAGGAAATTTGAGAAGTTCAGGAGTATCTCTTGGATGGCTTCAGTTGTGTGTCTGCATAGGTGTTTGTGTTTGTGTGAGCATGCACACACATGCACTCTGAGCAGGGAAGTTGGATTGAGTCCTAGTTGGGGTTTTCCATGTGGAATAAGCAGAGATTACAGGGAATGAAAGTGTTGGCAAAAGAAGGGTGTAAGTAACTTCAGAATAGTACATGGAGAGGGAACCGATTCAGAGAGAATCAATTCAAGGAGGACAGGAGATCCTGTTCAAGGGTGTGGAGGACTGAGGTGGGGTGGAAGCTGGTGTGGATGAAGGAATGTGAGCTTATCAGGGACTTGAGAATAACAAAGTGATCTACCCAAGATGATGACAGGGTTAGGAATGCAGAGAAACCAGTCTCCATGTTCTAATATCATGAATAAATGTTAGGGACTTATCTGGAAACTTCACCAACAATAACAAAGTAGGTAGAAGGTCTCATGGCCTCTCAAATATGACTTCATTTAATCCTCAGAACACCCAGTTTTGTACAGATGTAAGTGACTTGTTCCAATTATATAGCTACTTAGGAGGAGTTCAACTGGGATCTCAAGTATCCTGACTTCTCAGGTGTCAGACTCCTGTCTGAACTTATTCTACTACGTGACCCTGCTCTGCCCTCGCACAGACCCCCAAACACCAGGCCCCTTCCTGCGTTACCTGGGCTTCTCAGGTGGCTGGGGCCATCAGTGCTTTGTATCAACACATTATCATCAATAAGGCTCAGGTATTTTAAATTAACACAATTTTCTTCAACAGTACAACTACAAAAGTAGTGGGCTCTTTAATAGGAATTCCCGGAATACAAACGTTACTCACAATTCGGTTTCTACTAATATTATACAGATAAATAACCATAGAAACAACTGAAAATGCATGAATTATATGTCTTAATATAGTAGATTCCATCATCAGTACTAATAAAATGTAATATTACTTAGAACCCAAGAAATAAAAATAATTGAAAACCCTGTTTTTATATTATTCACTTTGATTATCTTCTTGTGTATTGATTCCAACCAAAAGGATACCTTTTTATTGTTTTTTACAGTAGTTTTAACTTCCCATTATATTTTTCTTTACTTAATATTAAAATATTTAAATTAATTTTTGTGAATAATGAGCTCTCCAATATTGAAGATCCGGCTATGTCTGAAAAATGACTTTTTATAGATTTAATTTTTATTTAAAGCAAGTATTTTAAAAATTATTCAAAACCTTAAACAGCATTTTAGGAAATGTTTAGAAAAAATCATTTAGATTTTCTTTTTTTTTGCTATATCAATGAACCTTTAAATATGTGTACTACTTAAATCCTGTGTATTTCCATTTTACCAAGTATAAGAATGAGTTTTGCAACTTGGAATATTAGTAAATTTGTTCATTGTTTTAAACATAAACAAATTCTAAAGCAACTATAATAGGCCTTGATATGATCTTTACGTTCTTCTTGTCACAAGAATTTACTGTAAGAGTTGTAGCCACTGAGACAGATGTGAATCCTAAATCTTTTCCCCACATGACAAATAGCACCCAGAGCATGTTAACCTAAACTCTGTCTCTCCCTTCACTCCAACATTGTGCTTTTCACCCACAGGATATTGCTTATTACCAAGCCCTGTCTGCTGAGAGGTTGCAGACAGATGCCGCAAGGATTCACCCCAGCACGTTGTCATCCCAGGAGTTCTATGAGCCAGGACTGGAGCCACCTGCAACTGCTAAGCTGGATGATCTGCAGCGTTCTTGGGAAACGTTAAAGAATGTGGTAAGTCTTGGAAACTTGGACTTGTTTAAGCCCAGACACGATTATCATACTGGTCATCTTATGCAATACATGCATAGAGTTTACACACCCCGTGCACAGTTGAATACCCTCTGTTGGGCCACAGAGGTAAAGCAGTGAGGAAAGAAATGTCATAATCTAGAAGATAAGGGGCTGGCAAACATTTGCTAATATCCCTTTCCTTCTTTAGATCAGTGAAAAGCAGCGCACACTCTATGAAGCTTTGGAACGCCAGCAAAAGTACCAGGACACCCTCCAGTCCATCTCCACAAAAATGGAGGCCATCGAGATGAAACTCAGTGAGAATCTAGAGCCTGGCAGGAGTCCAGAAAGCCAGATGGCTGAACATCAGGTAAAAATAGCGATGACTTCAGTTTCCTGCATGATTAAAAAGGTGCACTCTTGTGACCCACTGGTCTCCGGCCAAGCCTGTGTTCGGGACAGCAGACTGACATTTTTTTTTTTACTATATCAGTTCTTACAGAGTAAACAAGATCCCAAATGGCTTGTTGCTGCTTCAGGGAGGGACCTCGGAAGGAAAAAAGAAAGCTTTAACCTAATTTTAAAAAGCTACATTCACTAATGTTGCTTTTTCGCTGTTATTACACAACGTGTATTTCCTTATAGTTGCCACATTATTTTTATTTTGTTACAAACCATTGTTATAAGAAAATATTCCTGGCATCTACCTTCTCTGGGTACTATTGGTATTGTTTTAAGAAACAGCCAGTGTATGCCCAGCACCTCCTCATTATCACTTAAGAGAACAACTCTCAGACTTCAGTGGGCAAAGAAGCAGTTGAAGAATAAGGGGTTCTAAATTATAATCTTGTGATTGTCTCTGACTTGAATCATTTCTCAAAAGGTTATGTAAACTAGGCAAAGCATAGCTTTGCAAAAGAAGCAGTTGTGATTACATTAACCTAACTCAGAAAAATATTGGTAAAAATGCATCTATTTAAAATGCATGATAAGGAAGTGCATATATTAAAATCTGGTTAATGCTTTAGCAATATTATTAGGTGTACTGCTAATGTACAATCAGATATAACTGAGGTGCAGGAGTATTAAGGCATGCTTTCACTTATTCAGTCACCATGACATGGGGAAATTCTGCCTGTGCCCAACCCGAACTCAAGAGCATGTGACAGTCCTATAAAAGGCAGAAGAAAAGAAAGGTATTTTTAGGTGCAAAGTAACACCTATAAAAGCATAATGTGATATGTGTATCTATCAAGTATAGGAAAGTTTATCGGCTTTAAAAGAGAAACTGTATACTTTATCTTTCTGCTACTTTACATTTATATAGTTTTGGAACCCAGGAGAACCTGGGAATACATTGCTTGTTTATAAGTGTAGTCTAAAATAAAATTGCATTCTCTTACAATATAAGACCTTGCAGTATGACACAAAAATAAGAATGTTTCATCTAGAGACAACATATTGAGAAATAGTGATTTCAGGTTTTTGACACTTTTGTTTTGACACTAAGATAAAAGTCAAAGTGCATAACATCCATTTTAGGTCTCATTTTGGAAACCTATCTTCTGTGGGTTTTTTGCTGTCCCAGAGTCACCCATAGTCAGTCTGGTTTGGGGAGGGTGCTATAAAAATATAAAGTTAAAATTAACCTTTGTTTACCCAGACCAAACCAATCTTGAGGGCAGTCAGTCAGAGACTCAGCCAACTGTTAAAATGCAGTTTTCTTCTGACTAACACAGCCCTCTTTAATTGATTCTCTGATGGTCTAACTGTCAACGGCCACCTCATTGTCATCTCAAGGGGCTGTCCAGGTAGCTGTAGTATGCTCCCTGGGGCTCTGTCTGCCCTGCTGTCCCTTTCCCCGCACCCCACCACACCCACCTGTGCTTCATTGTCCCTGGAGGGGCAGGAGAACGTCCCTCCATTCTATTACAGCTCCTTTTAAGCTTCCAAAAGGAATTGGCATGTTATCCAATGGCTGGAATAGGGCGAATTTGAGTGTCACTCGTGTAGATTATCAGCCGCCCATGTTTCCGGAGCCATAGTATGACTTACATAGCATGACTCTCTCTACTTTTGGGTCCCCTCTGCCTTTGTTCAAAGCTCATCATTCTTGTGTCCCAGGTGACCACAGCTCCCGAAGACCCTTCACTGGGTCTCACAGGATTTAGGATCTCCACGAAAACAGGATCTTCCCAGACATTCTAGAGTTCCTAATTAAAAATGCAAATTAGCTCCCACTCACGACCACACCCTGCCTCTCAGTCATTTAGTATGGAAACCCACATGAGCTGAATGTAGAGCAAAGTATTATTTTGTTCAAGGGATTTAATGGAGAAAACTCAAACTTGCACTTTGATGCTAAGTATTAGAAATTCAAAACGAATCTGTGACTTTTTGTCCCTTACTAAGCTGGGTGTGGTAATGCTAAAAATTACACCAATGAGGAAATGTAGCTAATTCAGTGATGATTCCAATTATTTGAGCTTAACAATTATATAATGCTCTAGTGAGAGGGAAAGTATAAATAATGCATTTCTTATGTAATCACAAATCTAACATTTTCCATCTGACCTCCTTTTGCTAACTTCTGCTGTCTGTACCTAAGTTCTACAAATTCTGAAAAGCTGCCCACGTGAAAAGCTAATGGCATCACAATGTCTAAATTGGTTCTTGGCTTCTGGAATGGTACTTAAAAAGTTCCGAGCACTAGTGTAGAATCACTGTTTCTAAATTCCAGTTGAATATGGGTGAAAGAGTCCAGTATGCTTTTTATAGTTCCTAAAAAATTAATAGAAACACTTCCATTATTCTTTCTTTCCCAACCTCTCTTGGAGGTACACGTGTTTCTTTAAAGAGCTAACCTAATTCCTACGTTTTTCCTCTAAACACTTACCTAAATCTATAGAATTTGAGTGGAGCACTGTGCCTTTCTCGCTAGCCTCTCTAAAATGTGCAGTAGATTTAATTTTAAGACATTAATGCTGTTGATAGGCTGCCTTGTGGCTGTTGTTCTGAATGAGCCCTCTGTGGGGGGGGACCTTTGTTATGGGCAGCTAACGTTTTTGTGGGCATGTGTTGCCTGCCACTCTAAGGCCCAGGACAGATAATAGGTAGAGCCCTGAGGTTATTTTTGCTTATGTTTGTGTAATACGTATAACAACTCAACATTAGAAACAAACCATGCTGATACAGATAGTTCTAAAAGTCACAGTGAAATTCAAGTTTACCTTTGGTGTTGAACCAGACACAAACTCGATGTTCTTCTCAGACTTGAGTCATTTTAGAGACACCCAAGGTAGTTTTCCAAACCACGTAAGTGTCATGCCCACACCCTCCTTATAACCACAAGTCAGAAACCCGAAGACTTGCATTTCATCTTCCTCTCCTTATTTTTAAGTCAGACTTGATAAGGAAGCAGCTGGCCACCAGCTGAGACGGTTATGGGTGAAGACATATTTGACTGCCGGACCTTTTTTTTTTTAAAGACAAACTTTTTCATAAATTTGATTGAAAAGCCTGCTTTAGGGGTGGAGTGAATTACTAACATTGTACAAAAAAAAAAAGCAATGTGATTGTGGGCTACAGTGGCAGAAAGGAGATTAAAGGAGACTCTAGCAGGTCTTTTGGAAGACACAGATTTTGAAAATTTGGAATGGCAGCAGGACTGGGTGGGGGTACTGTAAATGTGAACGTGTGAGGAAAGGCATGGAGGACAGAATGATAATAAATACGGTGAGAAATTGTGAGGGGCTCTTCTTGTTTGTGCAGAGGGTCGATGCAGAAAAAGCCACCATGAGGTTAGTGTAGCTCTGGAGAGAACTTTAAATTAAACAGGCCAAATATCTGAATTTTACACTTTTTGTCAATCAAGTACCAAAAATGATTATAAAGTAGTAGAAAATAATGTACTGGACAAAAAGCATTTTGAATGTATAACAAACAAGATCAGTCTGTAAATTCATTACAATCCCATTAAAATATCTCAGGAAATTTTTTGGCGGATATTGACAAGCTAAATCTAAATCTATTGACAAGCTACATCACAAATGTATGAAAAGATGTATGTTGGAAAGGGCAAGGGTCAGGAACAGCCAAGACAACCTTGAAGAAGATGCATAAAGTTGAAGGATGGATCTTACCATAGAGTGAGACTTATAAAACTACGGTAATTATGAGAGAGGGGCATCGATACAGACAGCCAAGTGAGTCAATGGAGCAGAATCAGGAGCCAGAAGCACACTTGACCTCCACAGACACGCGACTTAGGTCAAGTGCACAACACTGAATAAAAAAGATTTTTAATAAAGCAGGGTCAATTGGACATCCATGTAATAAAAATTTTGACCCCTACCTGTATTGGGCACAAAAATTAAGTTCAGGTGGATTGTAGATCTAACTGTTAAGTTAAAAAAAAAAAAAAGTTTTAAAACAGCTTCTCAAACAATCTGTAGTGAACAATCTTTTTGAACATTTTTTAAAAATTTCTAATCCGGCACAGACCAGCAGTATTTTAGTAAAATAAAATAAAATACTGCTTGGATAGCATGCTGATGTCAAGTTGCTGTAAAAGTTTCTTAATATTTACCCACAACATCTTTATCTCATCGTGAACTGGTGACAGACATTTTGCAGACAAATACCATTTCCTGGACAATCCTTTGAATAGCATTCTTCTAGAAGATAACGTGTGAGAATATATTCATTATTTCAAGGTAAAAAGATCTCTTAAATAGGACACCAGAAGCCCTAACTTTTCCAATAGAGTAAAATGCTGATACATTAGACTACAATAAAATTAAGACTTCTGTTTATCAAAAGGCATCGTTAAACAAGCCTTTTTTCATTTACGGACACACCACGTCACAAAATGGGAGCAGATGTTTGCAATACACAGAACCAAAAGAAACATAGACAGTCTTATCCAGAACAAATAAATGACTCTGCACATCAATAAGAAAAGGAAAGACTCTAACAGAAATGGGCAAAAGATGTTTAGCAGGCAGTCACAAAGGAAGATATCCAGATGACCAACAAGCATAGGAAAAAGTGCTCAATCTCATTAGTCATCAAGAAAATGCAAATTAAAACCACAATGAGATTACCACTAGGAACCCACTAGAAAGGCTTAAATAGAAAAGATCCACAGACCATGTGACCGTGAAATATGCCACAGCAATGAAAACGATCAGCTTTCTACATGCAGCAACATGAGAGGCTTTCGCAGTCGTGACAGGGAGTGAAAGGGGCCGGACACAAAACAGTGCATCAGGTATAACTCCATTTACAGAGACCTCAAAAACAGGCAGAAGTAATCGGTGATGTTTATCAACCAATGCCACAGTCATCTTTGAGGAAAGGAAAAGGGTGGTAGTAACTGGGAGGGGGTTCACGGGGTTTGTAGGGTCCTGGTCGTGTGTTTTTTGATCTGGGTGGCAAGAGCGTGGACACCTGTGCAGTCTATAAGGATTCATAGAGCTGTACATTTAGTCTGTGCACTTTTCTAGATGTATATAATAATGCGAGTATAATAGTTTATTTAAGAAATTAATTAAATGTGATTACACTTGATATTGGGGAAAGAGAAGGATTTCTTGTTGTTTTGTCTTTAAAATATTTATTGAGAGCCACTCTGAGAAGGCATTGTGCTTACAGTAAAGCCTACGGTCTATGGAAAAGGTGGGAATTATGAAAATAGGGCAACATTAGAAACTGTAAAATACCGGCAAATACAAAGCCAACGTTTCTTTACTTGAAGTCATGGTTACCTCTCCTACGGTAAGGCCTGTTTTCTAATATACCAATTAAATTCGAAATAAGAATTTCTCCTGTCAAGTCTTCAGCTAAAGAGCAAGTCATAAAACACACACACAAAAAATGAGAAATAAAAACGATGTGTAATTGTCATAAAGATGTTGATCAGGAAAACGGGGTGCCATTTTCCAGAAACTTCTGAGAGTCCTGGAGTAACTCATGAAGGCAGGGGTGTAGCGAGCGAGAAGGGAGTATAGTTCGAGAGGCAGGCAGGAGTGAGACCGTTTTGGGGTGGTAAAGAGCTTGGACTTTATTTTAGAAGCAATAAACCACAAAGTATTTTAAAGCAGGGGAGAGAGAGGAACTGATTTACCTGTTTAAAAGTTCACTCTAAAAAGTAAATAAATAAACAAACAAACAAACAAACAAACAAATAAATAAATAAATAATCAAAGTTCACTCTAATTACTTTGTGAAGAGTAGACTGGAGTATAAGCAGGTAGGCCCAACAGTCGACCGTTAATGCAGAGGAGATACGTAGATATACAGGACATATTTGGAGATTAAAGCAGTTGGATTTGGTGTTAGATTGGATTTGGCAAGTAAAGGAAAGTGTGACTAATGATTCCTAGGGCGGTGCCTTTTATTGAGGTGGGGAAGGCAGGGGAGGAAGCAGGCTTTATACAGACTAAGATGGAGATACCCATGAAACATGTAAGTTGAATATACGAGCCTGAAATTCAGGGTCAGGTGTCGGGGTTAGGAACATACCTTTGGGAGTGTTCGCCGTGAGAAATCATTTAAAGCCTTGGACGGCATCACCTGGGAGGGTCTGTGAAGAGAGAAAAGAGGGCCTGGAGGTTAGCCCCGAGAAAAATTGGGGGAAGAATCACATTGGGAGAGAAAGTGATGAATTTTATTTTCAACATAGAATTGTAGACTCAGACATAATTAAGCATACCCCCTCGGATTATGGATGAGCCTGCAGAAAACCAGAAAGATTAATTAACTCGTTCAAATTTATTTAAGTTAGTGCCACAAATGGTTTTGAAATCAGAAATTTTCTGACGTTTTATCTGGTACTTTCATTGTGAAACTTATGTTAATGGGTCCCCTATTTGCTGGTTAAATACCTTCCAGTGAAATATCTTTACTAATGTGACATTCAGCTAGTGACGGGCTTTCTCAGTCCAAAGAAATACATACATGAGCGTGATTCCTTTTCCGCAGGCCCTGATGGATGAGATTCTCATGCTTCAAGATGAAATCAGTGAGCTCCAGTCGTCCCTCGCAAACGAGCTGGTGTCCGGGTCCCCAGAGTCCGACCCTGCGGAGCAGCTGGCCTTGCAGTCCACGCTCACCGTCTTGGCAGAGCGCATGTCCACCATCAAGATGAAAGCATCCGGAAAGCAACAGCTTTTGGAGGTAACTAGCAGCTCTGAGGTCACCCCTCACGTCCGCACCGACTCTGACAGTCGTGCTGACACGTATCTGGGTTCCTTCCGTGACCTACATTTTTATTGTTCCCCGCTCATAAGAAGCTGGTGTCGTGTCTCGGGGAGGGTGTCGTGAGCACAGCACTGTCAGTGTGGAGCCATGAATGCGTCTTTTCTCCCCTTTCTGCCTCATTTCAGCATGACAAATTGAGAATGTGGAAAGCAAATACTTGGTAGGCACGGGCCTTGTGAGGGAAAATTGTGGAAGGTTTGCACAATGGTCTGCTATGTTTAAGAGAATTTTGTCAATAGCGTTACTGGTGCTGTGACAAGTCAATAAATACTGGCTTGCTGGCAGCCAACGCGAGCACACTGGTTCATGAAAATTTATTCTGGCGATTCCAGTTCGTGTTACTTACCTTTAATATTATTTGATCGAGAGAGCAATTTTGGTAACAATAACTTGTGTGTTAAAAATAAGTTATTTTCCTTTTTCTCTCATCATTCCTGGCCCTACGTATATTTGATGTCAGACTGGAGGCTCCATAAAGGCCTTTAGCGTGTCTGTTTCCTTGTCTAGCAGCTTCTCTGGGACATAATCAGTTCCTGATACATTTCTCATTAGTATTATTTTAGTTAGCTACTGGTTATAGCATAATTCAGTTAATCATGGTCCTGTTGTTGAGTGTGTGGGCTTTTCTCGTTTGAGAGAAATTTAAAAGCGACGTGTCTGCTCTGTTTAATCTTTATTTTTAACTATTTTTTAAAAGTTTGATTTTAAAAATAGTAAATTATTCATAAACTAAATTTTAAGATATCTAGAGTACCTTAAGAATTAAAATTTTAATTTATAATATTGTCCCCAGTTACTCTATAAAACCCTTGTGGAGTTTCAAAATAAAATGATTGGCCTGGATATTTTTTTAAAATGTAAATTATTTGCCATCATTGAAAAAATTCCAGAGATCTAAACAAAAACATTGAATTTCTGTCTTCACTCAAGAAACCAGTAACCCTGGACCACCTCTTCTTGCAGGAATGAATTGCCTAAAACTGCATCATGCTGCCTTTTTAGGTGGACCATATGTCCTTCAAGTTTGCCGCAGTCTTCACCATTCCCTACAATTTCCCCAGCACCAAGGTCAAGTAGCTGCTGACATTTACCAGCTGTCTTATGCCATTGTTTTGTTCTACTCTTTGACTGATTTCCATCATTCACATGATCTGCCTGGTCCTGCAACTATGTCACTTAAGAACGTTTCAATTCTAGGTGCGCATTAAAATCATAGGATTTAAAAAATACTAGCTTTTAAAAAATACTAATCTTGAGACTCACCTCCAGAAATTCTAATTTACTGTTCTAGTATGCGGCCCAAGCATAAGTATTATTTCAGTTTGTTCTGATGTGCAGCCAGAGCTGAGAACCACTGGTCTGTTGTGTTGAAGTCTAATAATTTTACCCTCGGGTGATCTATGTTACATTCTGCTTAATTCATTAGGAGAAGTTAAATGATCAGCTGGAAGAACAGAGACAGGAGCAGGCCCTGCAGAGGTATCGCTCTGAAGTCGATGAGCTGGACCATTGGCTCTTAAGCACTAAGGCCACTCTGGACCTAGCACTGGGTACGCCTGAGGAGCCCATGGACATGGACGCCCAGCTGGTGGACTGCCAGGTATGAAAATGGTCTCGAAGGAATATGTCAAACCACAAAGCACGGTTTTAAGTGTAAAAACACACAGAAAACGTAATAAGAAAGGCTTGATGTAGATACAGGATTTTTCACAACCTATATACTTTACATATTTAAAGAACAGAAAAACAATACCTTATAAAAACTTAAATGAAATCCAATCTTGAATTTAGTCTTTTGAAAAATTTTACCAATAATGTCTAATCTTTAGAAAATCTTCAACTTCCTAAGGGACATTTTTTAAAAAGGCTATAGATACAAAAACACTTATAGTGTCTATATACGGAGACTAAAAGAAATACAAAGCCAATGAGAAGAATTCGTATCAGAGAATCAGACTGTGGGTAAATACAGCGGGAAGTGTCCCTAGGTGCTCTGTTGCTGTTTTGGTTCGAATTCTGATATGCTTTTTTGGAAAACTTGGAAAAACAGTCAGTTCTAGGCAGACAGACTAAACACAGGGAGGTTGCCTTTGGAGCAGAGAATTTCCTTTCTCTGATGTGAGGTCTCTAGGAATTAATGTCAGGAGTATTGGCATTAAGATTTTGATCGTAATATTATTTTCTTACCTCTTGGTTAATTTCAAACACACATGTAAGTATAGAGAATAGATATTGAACTCCCATGTGCCAATCATCAAATTTCAATGATGATGAACATATTAGACTTCACACAACTAACTAACTACCAAGTCTCTAGAAAACCCTACCTAATCTTCAGGGTTAAGTATCAGGAAGCATGACTTCATATTTATCCCATTTGGCATCAAAAGAAATATGCAAAAACCATTAAATTAATGAACACTATTTTTTTGCTTAATATATAGTATGCCATTTGGGTCATTCTTTGTATGATTTGAAGTTTATTGTAATAATGATCATTACAATTTGGATTTTCAAATTCTTTGGGCAACTTGCATATATTCAAGGCACTATTATTGTCTGCCTTGAGGGTAGACAATAGAGAAACACCTGCTATTGTTTTCTGTTCTTTATATTATCTTTTCTAAAGTTGCTTGTTGAAAAGAGACATCTATTTTTAGCATTTCCTTCTCACACTTGAAATTACCACATGCACTAGCATTTCGAAATGTTTTATCATTACTCCCACATCTCCCTTTTTTAGATATCTCTATTTTTATAGTTATGCATAAAGTCCATACTTCAGATAATATATTTCAGGATTTTTACAAAGTATTAAAGTGGCATTTTGACAATATTTTTAGAAACTAGAAGCATACAGAATTACACAAGTATACAACATTTCTTCTGTCAATTCAAAACCAGTTATATAATTATAAGTATGGCTTTTACACTTAATCAGGGCCACATTATGACTTTTGGGGCCCTGAAAGCTTTGCTTCCATGGACTCCTCCCTCTATAAAAATACTAAAATTTATATTTTTATTTTAAAGTGCTTCGATACAAAGTCTAATATGATCCAGAGTGGATTCATTATTATTATATTCATTTTTTCATTCTGACTTTAAAAGAAATTACAATTAAGATATTTCTTGGGCCCCCCAAAATATTATGGACCCTCAGCACTGTGCCAGCTGTGCTTACTGCAAAAGTCAGTCCTGCACAAAATTATTTTAATTTCCCCAAAATAATTTTCAGGATATCATCCTTTAAATCCCATTTCATTAAAAATTTTACTTTTCCATTTAGTTCTAGGTTTTTGGATTAAATCTACTTCTTAGAAGTTCATGTCAGTAGTTCTGGTTTTGTACAGGGAAATAAAATATATTTTCTCATTAATAAATTAGTTGGTTGAAAATTACTCGATAGATTAGAAAGTACATTTGAAAATGTTCAGAGGAAAGGAGTATAAAAAAAGAATAATTTCTGTAGAAAATAAGACAGGTGTTTTTTGTTTTGCTAGATTTTTTTTTTTTTTTTGCTTTGTTTTAGTTTTTGTTTTAAGTCTTGCCTTGAAAGAAGGGAGACAATTTTGCTTCGTCTCTGGATTAGCCTCCATTTTAGTAGAAAACCTGCAGCACTAGAGAGTTGTCGCAGAAAGTGAAAGTAAAATTCTTAGGGAGACTTTCAGAAATGTAAGGTTAAAAATACGTCACAGAAGAAACAAAGTAAATAAATAAATAAAAAGATATAAGAGCAACGATCAGAAAAATAAAAAGTCAACCCAAAGAAGCAATGTTTTGAAAAAGAATCCTTTGAAAATTAACAAGAAAAGTTTCGATCATGTAAAGTCTTTACTATTATTAGCCATAAGCATCACAATCTAACAGTCATATCATAAAATAATTGTAATAATGAGATAACACCAAGGCGTGGTCTTTTCTCTTTATCTGTTGGTTAAGTAAAATGGGCTTTCCGTGTGTTTTTTCCAATATGATTTTCATCATATAATAGCTAATCTTAAATAAGAGAAAAATTAAGATGCTCAAGGAATTTTTAAAAATCCATATACTATTCTTCAAGGCTATAGGAAAACTAGGGAGAAAAACCCATGAAGGCATGTTCTTTTGGTGGAAGACTTGAGGAAGTGTTGCGTTTCGCTGTGAGAAACGGTCTTTGCAGAGGCTGCCAGAGGGTGTGAATGTCATCCTTATTTCTGTTGTCCCAGAACATGCTGGTGGAAATTGAGCAGAAGGTGGTGGCCTTATCGGAGCTCTCGGTCCACAATGACAACCTGCTTCTGGAGGGCAAGGCTCGCAGAAAGGACGAGGCTGAGCAGCTGGCAGCGAAGCTGAGAACCCTCAAGGGGAGCCTCCTGGAGCTGCAGAGAGCACTGCATGACAAACAGCTCAACATCCAGGTGAGGGCTGCAGCCTCTGACAGCGAGGCAGTGCTGCAGGTGCCGCTGAATACTTGTGCACTGCTGGCGTGCCTTTTCTGAGCCTGTGCCATATAAAAAGGTGGGAATGACAGGTACTTATGAACACGCCCGCTTTACACAGACTTTGACATAGATTTTTCAAATAAGTTTATAAGGTTTATTTAAATCCATAGACCCGAAGATTATAATGTAGGAAAAGAAAAGAAATACCCGAATCTAGCAAATACACAGTTTTTAAAAAACATTTAAACCTAGGTCATGAATTAAGATGTCCTATAGCATTTTAAATATTTTCCTTTTATTTCTCCTACATTCTACTCTTCAGATATACTCAGACTTTTTTTTACTAGGGCCCTCAACTTTAGACTTGTATATTCCAGGTGAATTGAACCATTTGCTCTCATGTGGCGACCTTAACCTTCCCTTACAGTGATGTTGGTTTTGTATTCCTAGAGCTTTTGAGAGTAGATCATTTAACTTTCCTTTGATGTCACCCTTTCTGTATCCTTAAGTTTCAGATTTGCTTCTTTTAAAGAACATTTCGCTATGTTTTGTTGGTTTTAAATGTTGTATGTAATCAGAAAATCTCTAACCTTTAAAGGATGTGTTTAGTCCATTTAAATTTGTTGTGATTACTGATACGTTCAGACCTTTATCATCTCACTTTTTGTTTTCTATTATTTCCTGCTCTTTCTACTATTCTTTTTCCTTTTTAATCTTGTTTTAACTGGTTTAATGCTTTTCTTTCTTGTTTTTACCCTTTACTTTTTAGCATATATATCTAACAAATTCTAAGTTTATATCTTACTTCTCTCCAGATCAACATAAGAACTTTAGAACACTTTTACTCAGATTTATCTCCATGCGCCTTTCATACGGTTCTTGTCCAATATTTCTGTTTCGTTCTTTTTAGTCCCTACAAAATAGATATTACTATTACTATCTTATTCGAAATTAAGCAGATATTTATTGAGAATCCACTATGTGCCAGCTACTATTCTATAAGACAGAGCGAAGGGGTGTAAAAAACAACTATTTATATCTACATCTCTATATCTCTATCTGCAAAGGATTATGGTTGGGGGCGACAGGTAATAAATGAAATTTAAAAATATTAGTATCTATCTACTACGTTAGAAGATGTGATAAGAGCTACAGGTGAAATACCATAAGTCAGGGAAAGGAGCGGGGGCGGGGGCAGATTTTTAGTTTAAGCAGGGTGGCCGCAGAAGCCTCCCTAAGATTACATTGGAGGAGTGAATCACGTGACCGTGAAGGGAGAGGGTTCCAGGCACAGGAGAAAGCACGTGCAAAGGCTCCCAGGTGGGATCATTTCTGCCGCGGTCCAGGAGGCCAGTGTGGCTAGTGTGGAGTGAGCAAGCAGAGAGCGGTGGCAAATGAAGCCAGACAGGTAACGGGGGACCCAGGGTGCAAAGGCATCATTGTAGGCATCACGTGGACTTTGGCTTTTACCCTGGGGAAAATGGGAAGCCAATGGGGTATTTGAGAACAGAGGAATGACAAGATCAGATTTCAACCACTGTAGCAGGTCAGGGTGGAAGCTGAGGGACCAGTTAGAAGGAATAAGGCAGAGTATAGAGGCAGAGAGAAGTGATGGAAACATCTCAGATTCTGTATAATTGAGAAGATGGAAGCTGTATCTGAGGAACAGATTTGGAGGGAGAAAGAGTAGTTAGGTCAGCAGTTTAATTTTGGACAAGTTAAGTTTGAAATGCCTATAAAACGTTAATAATAGTGGGAATTCAGGGGAGAAACGTACACTGGAGTCATCTGCCTGTAGGTGGCCCTTAAAAGCAGGAGACTGGATGAGATCACCAAGGGAGTGAGGAGAGATAATGACGGAGGTCCTGGAACCAAGCCCTGGGACACTCCAGTGTTGAGTTTGGAAGATGTAGAGGATCCTGCCAAAAAAAAAAGAAAGAAAGAAAGAGAAAGAGAGAAAAAGATTAAAGAGGAGAAACCAGGGAAGTGGGAGGAGGACTGAGATTTTGCTTCCTCAAAGCCACTTGAAGATCAGTGAGGTAAGATGAGGACTGACACCTGACCACTGGGTTTAGCCACGTGCAGGTCTGTTTCAGTGGCAGAGTAGAGGCAGACGGCACTCTGAAATAAAAGCGAGACGGCGAGGAGAGACGTGGGAGCCGGGCAGTGTAGGTAACACAGGAGTCTCGCTGCAGAGGGGAGCAGAGGAAGGGAATTAGCTATACCAAGTGGGTCAAGAGAAATCCGCTTCGTCTTAAGATCAGAAGAATAATGACATGTTTCCATGTAGATGGAAATAACTCAGTAGAGGAAAAATTAATGTTAAAAAAGTGAGAATGCCAAAACAATTTTCTTCTGCAGGAGGGAGAAGGTAGGATCAACGAGGAGGGCGTGGTCTCAGAAGGACAGTATCAGGAGGGAGGGAGACACTTGTATCTGAGTGCAGATGCTGGCAGGAGCCAGGGCGCAAATATCGTGGTGGAGACTTAATGGACGTTCACTGTGATTTTGTCTATTTTCTCAGTGTAATGGTGATTTTTTTTAGACTAAACGACATATTTTCACTTCTTTGCCAATCGTGTGATTATGTGATCTGAAACATCAAACCTAATCTACAGCAACTATTAGAAGCATTGGAAGGATTTAATAAGATGACTGGCTTAGTAAAAAGATAAAATAGAGAATCAAAAAAAAGTTAGAGAAATAATATTTGATAATTTCCCATCTATAATACCAACAAAATAGGAAATATTTGGAATTTTAACAAACATTTTAAAACCTAACTGATAATACCAAAAATGTGAAAAAATTGAGAGAGAAACTTTATTTTTAGATAAGACTACAATATTTTAAAGATATCAGCTCTTCCTCTAATAGTGCATACGTTTTTCTCAACTAAAATATGACCTGTATATTTTTTGAATGTGACAAAATGATATGAGGCTTACATGGAATAAAATAAACATGAAATAACCATAAAATTCTGAAAATGAAGATTTATAAGGAACTAATGAGTTTTATCATATTAAAATACAATATTATAATTAAAATACTTTGGTATTGGCACAATAAATGGATGAACAAAAAATTAAACAAAATAAATATTCCAGAAGGAGGCTACAGTATATAAGGGAATTTGATAAATGATGTGGCATTTCAAAACAGTGGATAAAATATGATTCACAATGCAAATAAAGTAGGTGATCCACTTGACATATAATAACCTGGATTTTCTATCTCATTCTTTATTAGAAAAAAAATATGTCACAGGTGGATCAAAAATTTAAATATAAAAATTAAACCTGAAAAGTTCTGGATATGTGGGTATTTAAAAAAAAAACAAACAAAACCTTAAGATGGAGAGAGTCTTTACCAGAACTTTAATTTCTTTAAAAGTACTACACAAAAAATTTAAAAGTTCTGTATGACCAGAAAAGTATTAACCAAATTAAAAGACATGGACAAATGGGGAAGAAACTCTGAATTCACACAAGTAATTAATATTCTTCATTTCCACAAATCATTCATAAATCAATAAGAAAAGATTACCTAATAAAAATATGGATAAAAAATATGATAAGATAATTCAAAAGAAAAGAAATACAAATGGCCAATGAACCAATGAAAAGATATTTGGACTCACTATTGGAGAAATAAATGCAAATAAAGACAAAATACAAGTTTTCACCTTAAATTTACAGACATTAAGATGCACACTCAATCTGACTTTATGAATTAAAACAAAAAGTGTTAAAAATTGAAGAAAACTAGGATGATTTTCAAACTGTAAAACTATATATTAACTCCCTTAGTTTTATTAAAAGGTATTATCAATCTAATGCATCCCCACCCTCCTGCCAAAATGGTAGTGTGTGAATGAATTTAATTAATCTCCAAAGAAAGCAAAACAAAGGAAAAGACTTCAAGGTTTAATATCTGGGATAGTTCTCACTTATAAAGCTCTAGTTGTACCCTTACCCTAGAGGCGGGTAGGAATGGAAGGGACAGCCTGACACACAGGCATAGATAGGGATTAAACAGGTAGGGCAGATTGCAAGGCCTCAGGGCCTGGGGAGGGATTATAAACGAGTGGAGCAGGCCTAGTCAGGACCTCAGCGAGCTGGTCTCTGTCAGAGAAGCAGCTGCTACCCAGCTCCAGCTATTGTTCATACAAAAATTTGCAGGCAGCAATGCTAGATCTTCCAGAAAAAGGAATTTGGGATTTCTATCTAAAATCTCCCAATTTTGAAACAATGACACTTAATTCTAAAATTTTAAAATCATTTATGTGACAAACAAAGCATATCCAGAAGCCAGCCTCGGTCCTTGGGCTGTCACTTTGAAACCACTGTCCTCAAGTCTCCCCCAGCTTGGTCCCACCAGTTATTAACTCCGTGACCTGGGGCGAGATCCTTGAACTTCCCTCACCTTTCTTATAAATCTGTTTTCTCGTCCATGAAATAGGGATAACAATAGTATTTCACTTTAAAAACTTCCGAGGATTTTAATGCAAGTAATGCTCTCAGTTAAGTGCTCAAATCACAGTGAGTATAATCATTAATAACGACAATTAACAGTTTGCACATCGCATTCTTTGGGAGCCCAGGAACTCCTGACGGGCTTGAAGGCCAGGTTTGAGACCGGTCAGGGCTGGCCTGAGCACGCTGACAGCAGCTGCCCTGCTCCTGCAGCGGCAGATCTGGCTGTGGCTACAGAAATTTCTCAGATCGAGGGAAGTCCTGATTCCGCTTGCAAGAGCGAGGAAAATGTGGTAGTGTTTTACTGCATTGAACCTGGTCATCATTTATTTTTAAAACATTTAAGAATTTCATCATCTTTCATCTTCAATGAGTTTCCAACATATACATTTTAATAGTTTTTTTTTTTTTAATAATCAGAACTTTTCGAAGAGATTATTTTTCTAACTCTAGGACTAAAAGTAGCCCTGTTTATGTTGTTGCCATGAAAAGGATCATTTCTCTTCATGTAGAAAATTCGGAGTGAATCAGAAATTAATTGGAGGAAAAACATTTTCCATGGAATGTAGACATTCGTGGGATTTGCATGATTCAGGAGAGTTGGAATACCTTCCTAGGTTATGTATGGCCTTAAGTACATCCTTTCACAGTGTTACTTATCTATAAAATGATGATATCTTTTAAGGCCATTCTTTTCTAACTAATTGGACTTCCATTCATATCGATGAACACTCAATCTCTTTAGTTTCTCTCCCCCGCCCCACGCAATAGATTTCTTCTGTACATGAAGGGACACATACTTGCATATAATAATATCTCTTGAATTACCTTGTATCTTTCTTCATAAAAGTTTAGGTTACTTTCACACATTATTATCCATCCACGGAGCAGAGACTTAGCCCTATATAAATAATGAAATGCTTTATAAATAAATGTTTTATGTCACATTTAGCATTCCCCAATCCTCACTAATCTTCCAAAGAATGTTCCTGGCAAAAGTGATTACTGTTCTAGTATTTCCAAAATAAACAGCTTATATAGCTCCACCCAAGGAGGATTCTGGGGACAGAAGTCACTGTACTTCCTAGTCAGGGGAGAAAACTGTTATCAGACCTCAGAGAGAGTAATTATTATTTCATTTCCTCCCTCAGTGCCTTCTCATCCCGAAAAGGGGATGAAATCTAAGCTGGATTCTTAATCCTTTTGTTTCCTGTGGTCCAAGTGTCATGTTTCAAAATGACTAAATCAGTCAGAAAAATTCACTAAATTAAAAACCAACCTACTCACCTAGAAAATACATACTAGGCTTCCACTTTTGATGCCGCATTAATTTCTTTTTCTCTAAAGCTGTGGATTCAGTGAGTCAAACATGACTCGCCTTCGTAGACTTTTAAGTCTCAGAATCTGAGCCTGTGCCTGTGCATGTAAGAGTGGGTAAGCTGTCCTTAAGACCCAACACTGCAATTGTCTGTTTTCCAAGCACAAATTTGGTGTGAAGAATTTGGAAGGAGAGCTCTTAGTCAGACAGAAGTAACCTGCCTGGAGGGGCGAGGCAGTGCTGAGAAGTTCCCATGTGAGTCTTCAGGTGGGGGCTCTGCAAACAAACCTTTGCTGGGGAGTGGAGCAGAGGGGACGTGACTGGATCCCACGAAAGAGAGTCAGCAGGTCAAGGCCATGGCCACTGTTTCACCAGCTGGAGCGGCTCTGACTGGGGACAACTTCCAGTCTCATGCACTGATTTCTTCTGGGGTCATTCTCTACAGGTCCCTGTCGACCTGCAATTTCATCCTTGCCAGAAGATCTGGGTGCATTTTGAGTTGGGAGAGAATCTGTTTCATGTAGAAACTTATGGGCATCCGTCCTGGAAGAGGGTTCATCCACCCCACACCACCCACCTTCAGGAAATCCCTGTGTTTCTGAGGGAGGCGTTCCTGGAGGAGTGGGGAGTATCCCAAACTCGGTGTCACTGATCACTCGTTCGGAAGGTCCTGCCGAGTGCAGATAGCATATTCTTGACCAACGGCACCTTCATTTTCCTACCTACACCCATTCTCTGGCTGGGAGGCTGGATCATCTTAAGGGAAAGGAAGTACTTGTGAGCTAAGGTGGCCCAGAGTCTGAGAGGATCATATTACCTATGAGTTTCATGGTTTCTTTCGGTTCATTTACTTTCAAGCACCAATGCCAATGCTGCCAAGGGCATTATCTCAACATTATCTCAGACATTTTAAATTTCATTATGACATTCTAATGAATAAGACAGAAGGCTAAACAGACCCCATCCATTTCCCTGTAATAGTTAGTGTAAATTTCTGAAACTTAGAGGAACAGAAGGGTTTTGATGGGCAGTCAAGCCAGATGAGCTGAAGCGGCTGGGTCACAGTGGGTGATGAAGAATCAGAGGACAGTACAGCAGCTCTGGAACTAGATGGCAGGACAACTCCTCTGTGGCACCAGTCTACAGGATGCCCCGCTTCTCTGGCCCCTGTGCTCCAGCCACACCGGCCCCTCCGCTGTAGTCGCTCTGTGTGGGAGGCCAAGCCTCTGCCCTCAACAGCTTTGCTCCAGCGGTTCCCCAGGCCTGCAGGGCCCTCCCCCACGTCTGTGCCAGGCTGTGGTTTCTCATTCACTACCCAGGGCAGTTATCTCCTCTAAAGATGCCTAGTCTCGGAAACCCTTCCTTGTCACTCTCTGTCCCATCATCTAGTTTCCTGTTCTCTGTCGCTCTTATCATCGTCTTACCTTATCTTGTTGGGTTATTGTCTGTCTCCCCAGCAGGGCCCTTGTCTGTCTCCTTGCAAAGTATCCCCAGTGCCTAGAACAGGGACTGACTGACAGACAGTGGGTGCCTAATAAGTATTTAGTGAATGAGTTATATTAAAGTTCTGCAATTTTTTTCATTTGACGTATGCACATACGTGAACAGTAAGGCTCTCGTTCGGAACTAATTCCATGCTGATATCAGTATGTTAGGGCCCTTGAAATTTCAGCAGCATAATCAAGCAGGAAGGGTCAATTCTTGCTGAGGTAAGAATTAATGACTTTGTCTTCTTTAGCAACCTTTATCAAAGCCAGCAGTTGCAGCAGATGGCAGTGGGGTCTGGTCCTGGTGGTAACAGTAAAGGAAGTGAGATTTAGAGTTACTATATTCTTGTAAAAAAATTTTGAATAACATCTGGTGACCACATCAGTCAGCTAAAAAGCCTTGCCTCTAAATAGGCAGTTTCCTCCTTAAACAGTTCTGAGTATAATCATCTATTGATTAGTCTCCCTCCTGCAAAGGCCATAAATTCGAAGGGTTTTGTGTTACCATTTATTATTATTATTATTATTATTATTATTATTATTATTATTAAATGTGGTTTCACATCCAAATGGAGCCACGTTGGTATTACACAGACCACACTAAAGTACTTGTCACTCTGCTTCGGTTAAGGTTTTCCTGTGGGTAATATGACGCTTGATTTCTGCCTCGTTAAAAGCAGGGAACAGCACAAGAGAAGGAGGAGAATGATGTTGACCCGACTGCCACTCAGAGCCCTGGTGTCCAGGAATGGCTGGCCCAAGCTCGCACCACGTGGGCCCACCAGCGACAGAGCAGTCTCCAGCAACAAAAAGTAAAGCATTTCCTACCTCTCTAGCCTGCAGGTCTGCCAAGCAAATGCCTTGAGAGAAGCGTTTTAGAAGGTCGAGTTACCCCTGCACTATACACAGGGTGCCCCTTTCTCTTCTCTGGACAGAAGCTAGTCCCAGCTGTTTCAGTGTACTTACTTGGGACCACTGGAATGATAGGTCATTTTACAGTCTATTCTTCAAGAAAAGCTTTAAAATTAGAATAACAATTATAATCTGCCTTATCAAGGTTACCTACTTTATTTTCAGACTTGTCCCAATTTGAGTCTATTTTATATAATGCAAACCTCAGAAAGACTCTGAGAAATGATGTCTCAGTTACATGTCTTTTTTTAAAAGAAATGCAATTTTTTTTTCCACTTTCAAGTAGCTTCCATCACAGAATAGGATAGAAAGTTTTGCCTAGTGAAACAAATGAGCTCTAAAGAATAAAAATGGTTTCTCTTTGATACCTGAATTTTTTGGATAGGGCACATTAAACTCTTTTACTTTTTCAAAGAATAAAGGCATTTATCATAAATAATGGGAAAGTAAAACCAAATCCATTGATAATCACATTTATAAAGTGGGAGAATTAACGAGAGCTTCTGCTGTCCCGGATCTATCAGCTAGAACAAGGCAATATTGACTTTGAAAAAATCGAAGTCCGTTTTGTACCACTTGAGGGCACCATTGCCCAGCAAAATTTTCATTTCTCATAGATTTTTTTTTTCCCCCAAGATTTTTTCAGATATCTTTTTATCAAACCAAAAAAGCTAGAGAGTACTTTAGAGAGCTATTTGAGCATTTACCTAAACCACACCTTTTATGCAATGTGCAAACTGGAAAACTTACTACAAGAGTTTTCTAAGAATTTTGTAGACATAGATCTATAATTATAGATGATACTCATATGTTAACAAAGATGTTTTCGTTCATCCTTTTCCTTGAGCAGGAGCTGGAGCAGGAGTTAGCAGAGCAGAAGAGCCTCCTCCGTTCAGTAGCCAGTCGTGGAGAGGAGATTCTAACCCAGCAGTCAGCTGCAGAGACCTCTGGTGGCGTTGGGTATGTTTCCAAACACCTTAACTTTCTCTTCCCCTTACAGTTTTTCTGACAGTAAGTCAGAAAATGTAAACAGAAATGTAAACACCTCACTCAAAATTTTATTTTAAACATCTGTAACATTTTAATCATTTTGTTTTCTCTTTGTATTAAATTTACTTGCATTTTGAACATTTTGTTGCACAGGATGAGCATAGCTAGTAATTATGATGGCTAACTCGTTTGCCCTCTTTCCAGTGTGCTCAATATATCTGTCCGGAGAAGATTACTTATGAGTTCATTCTTCAAAATCAAATAAGAAATACATTTTAAAATTAGGTCCATGATGTTTCTAACAGCAAAACCTTTTTTTTTTTTTTTTTTTATACAAGAGCTTATCTTCCCCTAAATATCTTGATTTTTCTCAATGATCTATTTCTATAATTTCTACCTGCAAAGTCATTGAGCTTTGAGTCCTGGTTTGGCGTCTTACACTCAGAAAAGTAAAGTGTTAAAAGAAAAGTTAAGGAAGTTGGAGAATTTTCAAGTCAAAGATTTTGGTTTAGGTTGGAAGGAAAAGGAACCGCAGCAGAGTGGAAGAATCCCTGTCTTTTTAGTCTGGGTTTTAGTCTAGTTTTACAGTTATCCCCACGGATGAGTCACTGAGCTCTGAGCCTCGGTTTGCTCCTCTGTAGAATTAGAATGATAATTGACTACCTTCATCACAGAAGGGTTGTGGAAGCTGTGAATGTCAACTGAGAGGATGTACAGGAAAACTTTCTTTCACATCTAAAACACTGAAAAAAGAAGTTTCAGTGAAACCTGTGTCCCTATATTGCTAAGGGTTATGATTTAGTAGTTTCCTTTGGAAACTGTAGGTAATATGGCAAATCGCTCTAACTCTATTGGCTCCAGTTCTTACTTCAGAACACTTATGTAGAGGAAATAACCTGAGGGAAGAAATACATATTCTAAAGATAATTTTTGAAATATTATTTATGATACCAAGTAATTGAAAAGGTAGAAATGCCCACTAGTATAAAAAAAAAGCCTAAGAAAAATTTTATACATTGGTAATCTTAACAAAAGTTTCTATGACATCATCAGAAAATGTATCTGTGATATTAAGTACATATGTGATATAAAATCGAATGTGTAGTATATGTGTGGGTAAGAACAGAATAAAATGTAGATTATCAAAACTAACTTTGGAGAGGGCATATTTGGAGATTTTCTTCCATTTTTTTCTGTTTAATAAATGCTAACATGTTGCTGACATATGACAGCAGAGTTGAGTGTGTGTGTGTGTGTGTATATACATACATATATATATATATATATATATATGTATATACAGACAGGGAGAAATCAAATGCAATAGACATATTATGACAGAATATATAGGAAATAGGAAGGCATTCAAGGAAAGAAAAATAAAACAAAAAGCAGCAAAAACTTTGATAGAACTAATAAATATCCATTTAAAAGAATAGGAATGAATACTGCTATGACATCTATAGTCAAGAATTCCAATAAAATAACCCAAAATCTGTAAAAATTGTGCTAAAATATAATGAGGTTTAAAAAGTCTCTGTCGTCCATCATTCTTAAAAATGCCATTAAGACCGTACATATGTGCCTGTAAATTCGAAATGACAAACGCCGTTCTTTCCATGCTGATTCTGAGTCATGACTTACCTTCACTTTGCATTTCTCGTCCTGATTCCAGTTCTTCTAAGATGTTTATTCATCCCTCATAGTTTCCTGAATATTTTTGCCGAACTCTGATATATTTTTTTTAAACAAAGAACCCATCCACACACTGGGACCTCATCATATGCATAGTCACAAAAATAAGCGGAGTGCCTCTTCTGCAGCTTTCTTACCATGATTTTTTTGTTTCTTTCTTTGGCCCTTAGCTCTGGAAAGGACCCAGATAAAAGGCAAAAAACTATAAGTTGCTCTTCCAAGTATAAAAATATTTTAAAGAGAAATTTGCCATGTGATAGTGACATTCTGTACAAGGTTCACTTTAAAGATTCTTACAAATTCTTTAATTTTTATACAAATTCTTTGGAAAAGTCACCTTTAATACTAGTTCATTACAGTTCAAGCCACTGGGTAAATATACCAAGCAAACAAACAACCATAAATTCAGCAAAATCCAGAAGCCGAAAGAAAAAAATATGCATTATATATATTTAAATAAAATATTATATATTTATTTTAAAGAACATAATAACATTACTATGAGAAAAACCTTATATTCAGCCTTTAATTTATTAATTGATTTTCTAAGACTATCAATTGTGAATTGGTTTATGTGAGAAAACCTTGGTGAGAGAGGCATGACCTACTTCAAAGGTACAAATGTAATATATAAATAGGGACTATGTGACATATCAGCGGATTGATGACGGGGCTCCTTCCAAGATTACTAAGAAAACTCCTTCCAAGAATTTTAAAAGATTGTTTAAAGAAATTGCTACAAATATCAAGGAAAGAAGAATATTTTTCATGAGAAATGAAAAGCTACGGTCTAATTTAAGACTGATTTGCTGGTAATATTTTGTACATGTCAATGATGAAATATAAGAATATAGATAGTAAATATCTCCTGGTTTGAAATTGTTTTACGAACATAAATGAATTAAAAGTGATGAACTATACAGTCCACCATCACAAAAGATAGCACAATAAAGGTATTTAATTTCACAAATACTTTAAGACTTTTTTTTTTTTAATTTTAAAAGATTGTTTAAAAACACACAGAAAAGTCCAGAGACTAATATAATAAATGAACTGGAGGTATCAATTTTATTTTGGCATTTTTTCACTCAACATTACTTTTTTAGATCAATTCGTATTGATACACAGAGATCTAGTTCTTTCATTGTAACTGCTTAACAGTATCTTATCTTGTGAACATAATTTATTCACTCATTTCCTTATTAATGGGTATTTACATCATTGCCATTTCTTTTTTTGCTATTACTAGCATTGTTGAACTTAACCTTCTTACATGTCTCTAACTGCATGAGTGGGACAGATTCTTTAAGTTATATCCTAGAAGTATAATTCCTGTATCATAGGCTTGTAGATAACATTTTTTAAGGCTTAACATCAACAGACTTATCTTAAAAAAAAAGAGAAAAAAAACTATCGTATTCAATTATTCTGAGAAGAATTGGCTTTGGGGTGGTGCCTAGTATTATCCTGACAATGAACTTGTAATTTTTTTCTATTTGATCAAAAGTTCCTGTCAAAATAATAATTACTGTCTAATGTGCCTTTCAGATGTCATCATTCTAGTTAGGACTTCAAAACTCCTGCCGAATTAGGAGCTATTAGAACTCAGGTCCCCTAGATTCTTTTCATTAACATTATCATTATCATCAGGCTCCAATTACTGACTGTCTGTTATTTGCCAAATAGGGTTATCGGCATCGTGCATATCTTCTCTTTAATTCTCATAATTCTGCAAAATAGATCCACTATCATTATAAAGATGAGAAAATTGAGGCTTAAAGAAACGAAGCAAATTATTCAAAGTCAACACATATAATGGGCTGGAGCCAGGAATTCAAACTCAGATCTGTCTCACCCCACAGGCCATAGTCTTTCTCGGCTGTTACACTGTGTCTGCCTTTAAGAGTGATGTGCAGCCACTTTCTTCCATGTTTCCTATTCCTATTCCTTGTCCTGAAAACTGATCTGTAGTTTTTTTTTTGTTTCTTTGTTTTGGTTTGGGTTGGTTTGGTTTTTGACTCGAGGTAAAGACTCTCGATAGACTAAGTAGCATTTTTACTGGTTTTGGATTCATTCGTGGGCTATTTGTCAAAGTCCACACACTTTCTGATTCTAAAAGTTACAATTATTTATATCTCAAATACTGAGCTATTGTCAGTGTATGTTTTTAAGTATTATTGTGCTCATGGTTCAGTTATGAGTAAGAATATATTCGTTTTATGTTTAGTCTCAAATTTTGTACTTTAATTTATATTTTAAAGTGTAAACTAATGACTGAAATAATCTGGTTCTAATTTTAGAGACCAGATCTAGTACCTAGAACTTACCACTTTTTTGCACACATTGTAAACTTATTTATTTTTCTAATAGCGAAAAACCTGATGTGTTATCCCAGGAGTTGGGGATGGAAGGGGAGAAATCGCCTGCTGAAGACCAGATGAGAATGAAGTGGGAAAGCCTACATCAAGAATTTAGTACAAAGCAGAAACTACTACAGAATGTTCTGGAACAGGAACAAGAACAAGTGGTATCAAACATTTTACTTTTCTATATTAACTCATATAAAAGATGTACAACCTTGCTGAGAGAATATAACTGTACAATCATCTACATTTTTATCAATTCCAAAATAAGACATGAAACAAATGATTTATCCTGCATTTTTCTTAACAACAAGCCTGTTTCCCCTAACAATTATAAATTTATGTGTGAAAATTTGATTTCTGGATATTGTTTTCCTTGGGGATAATTAGTATTTGGTTACTCATTAGCCTATCATTAAATTTTAAGTGGCCTCCATTTTTTCACAACTTTAAAAATTATGGATGTAAATCGAAGATGATGTATCTAGGACAAAAGAAATCTCAAAAATCTAGAATTAAATTGTCATGTTATCTTATTTTTCATCACAACTTCCAGTATTTAATAGTTTCAGAAGCATTTCCTAATGAGAAATGTTGGGATCTCGGGGGGTCTAAAAGGAAGAGGAAGCCAGTGATCAGCTAGAACTGTCATCTGCAGTCTGGGTCCTGAGATGGGCAGGTGCTGTGTGATGCTGGACTTGGTTCCATCCAGCAAGTCAAATCCAGTGGAATTGAATATAGCAACAGAATGTCCCAGGGAGACAATTGCCATTAGTTCACTCTGAGCAGAAGCCAGAGGGTCAGATGAATCGACCCCTTGGAGAGCTAGTGAGTGAGGCCAGGAACCCAGGCAAGCCTGTGATGCTCACCACAGCTATGGCCCAAGCAGGATTTTGAAGATGGAAACCTAGTCCTGGGTCCTGAGCCCGCAGTGCTCACCTGGAGCATTTCATAACAGACATTTTATCAGAGTAAATTCTAGAACTTCCCTTTGGAAGCTGCTGTTCTCATGGCTCTGGGCAGGATTAGCTGAGGGGCTGGGAGAGGCTAAACCTCAGATGAAGGGCATCAGTCAGTGCAGAGCATCTGAGGAGGACAGGCAGGAGCTGACAGAGCAGGTGCTGTGAAGCAGGTACAATTGCCAGGATGGCCTGAAAGGAGGCGGTCTAAAGGTCGTAACGTGGCCCCTCATCTATGGGGAACCTCGTCTAAGTCCCTCCAGAGCCATTCATTTCTACCTCATTTTGCTAAATCTTGTGGCATGCCACGCTTTCTCACTCTCCTTCTCTGCTGAAGTGCCTTCTTGGCCGCTGTCCACAGGAATAGTCCCAGCTCTGGCCCTGGGGAGTATAAAGCTCCATTTCCAGAGGCAGTCGTCCCAGATGAGTGGTGCCCTATATGTTTGCATGGACCTCCTGCCTATGTTTGAATGAAGCCTTCTTCACACCCCTGATCAAACGTCTGAATTCTTTGATTTCTGCTTCAGACGTAGCCCTCCTGGACTCGATTGCTATCTCACCTTCGTGTTATAGTATTTCCCGATTCCTTTGACTGGGGGGATATTTTCAGCCCTAAATCAGGGAGTGCAGTCTTTTCTGACTGTCTTATTCAGATAAATCTGGGATATTTCTGGTAATATTCCACGCTTATTATTCTCCATTCATTAAGTGTGTTATTCAATGTGCCCAATCCCTGGATTCCACCTATACTCCATTCACCTGGAAGCACCTGTGATTCATCCAGCACTGCAGACTTACCGGACGTCTCGTCCACCACCTGCTCTAAGCTCAGAGAGCCACTTCTTCTCTCTGTCAGTGCCGTGCTCACACCCTGGCATCCTCCATGGGACTTACAGGGAAAACCTCCTCCTGCAGCCACTGACATTCTCACACGAGATACCTGGACTGTTAAAGTTGAGGTTCATGTTCATGTCTCATTTCCCCATGGAGTTAGAAATGGAAAGCATTGACTGTTCTTTATTTTATGACATTTGATGAGTAATTTCTTTCAAGAATCATTGGTCATTTGTACACAGTGCCTCTTAAGCTGTTTCCTTCTCTTCGGTGTGAGGAAGGGAGAAAAGACAGGGAAGAGGTTTTCCTAAGGCCAGAAGATCCAGCATCCGCTTCGATGTGAGCAATTCTAAATGAAAACACCCGGATGTAGTGCACACTGTCTTAACTCAGCTGCCCGTGTGTTTCTCCAGCTTTACAGCAGGCCCAGTCGGCTCCTGTCTGGTGTGCCACTGTACAAAGGGGAAGGGCAGACCCAAGACAAATCTGCAGTGACTTCTTTGCTGGATGGATTGAACCAGGCCTTTGAGGAAGTTTCCTCCCAGGTAGGGCTGTGCTCCTGGTTTGCTCACAGACCTTGACCTCCATAAAGTTGTTCCACCCTGGGCATGAACCGTTGAGACCCGACCCTAGTAAACAGCCCCGAGACGGCATCACCTGTTGGTTCCCAGAGTCTCCTCCTGATACTTTTCTTTGATTTCTCAAAACACTGGAATTAATTACTGTCCCCGCCCTCCTTTTTTTTTCCCCCAGGGTGGAGGGACAAAGAAGCAGAACATTCACTTGGAACAGAAGTTATACGATGGGGTCTCGGCCACCTCTACTTGGTTGGATGATGTCGAGGAACGTTTATTTGTTGCCACAGCACTTTTACCGGAAGAAACAGAAACTTGTCTCTTCAACCAAGAGGTAAGTTTGGCAGCTTGTGCCTGGGAGTGTATGACATTACAAAGCACTTGACTCTCTATGAGGAAAAGACTTGATTTGTAGGTAAGTTGAGGGTGCTAACCATTGAAATGTCCTTCTCCTTTATCAAACCTAGACTCTTGCCAAAGATATTAAGGAAATGTCTGAAGAAATGGATAAGAACAAGAACTTGTTTTCCCAAGCATTTCCAGAGAATGGTGATAACCGTGATGTTATTGAAGACACTTTGGGATGTCTTTTGGGAAGGTTATCCTTGCTAGACTCAGTAGTGAATCAGCGATGTCATCAGATGAAGGAAAGACTGCAGCAAATACTAAATTTCCAGGTAAATCATTATTGAGATGTTTGACCATTCCCCAGCTATGTTCAGTCATAAGCAGGCTGTCTTATTGAGGTATGATCTAGACCTATTTTTATTTTTCAAATGTGCCATGAAGAGCAAGAACACTACAGAAAAGTAAGGGAATTGAACCCGAGGATCAGAAAACTAAGAGTTTTATGCTCCTAGAAATGGAGGGTTGAGAAAACGAGCCAAACAAACTAAGGGCTGAAGAGAACTTTAAATTCAACCACACATTTATATTATTATAATTTAAGGCACATTATATTATAAGTTATGGCACATTATAATTACAATTCCCCATTGATAATAGTGGAGTTTAAAACATATGATCAGAGAAACGTGGAGGAAGGGCTATTGACACAGAATGAACCCTAGACGTCAGTATCCAGATCCATCGAAAGTGACTATGGCCTCATATCCCACCCATTTTAAAATACATTATATTACTTTCCAATCCAGCTCCTCAGACTTACTGACTTTTAGCCAGATTGGAGTTCTGTCACCACCTGAATAATCGTGTGCTTATAGAACTTTTCCAATGACTGTGAACTTCAACTAATGCAAAAGCTGCTGAGAAACTTTTAGTGTTGATTCTCATTCCTAATAAAAAGAACCCTTTAGGCATACTTAAGTTTTAATTGAATTTTATTTTAACAAACATAGAAGGTTTATAAAATAGATACATGTCATTAAGGCCAAGAATTTGATGTAAAAATTTTGAGTTGCAAATAAAATACTGTAAAATGCTAAATAAATGGGGCATTATCCAGGAAACACTGAATATTCTAGATATTTATCTAGAGGGACAAATTACCACTGCCTTCCAGTAGTCTATGTTCTTAAAACTACAATGTAAAATCATCACGAATATTTGTATATCATTTTTTATTCACAAAAATTTTTCACATGTATTTTTGTCTTTAATCTTCACACCGTCCCTATCAGCTAAGCATTGTCCTAATACTTATTTTGCAAAGTCAGAAGAGCAAAAATTAAGAATAGTGTTTGAAAGCAAACCCTCCTGTGTTCAAATTCTGGCTTTGTCACCTACTGCTGCATAATCTTAGCTGCTTCTCTGAGCCTTAGTGTCCGCAACTATTAAATCATACTCGTAATAATTGCCTCAAAGTGTTTTGTGAGGATAAATGAGTTAAAATGTGTAAAATACTTTGAACAGTGTCTTAAACATAGTAAACACTCGGCAAGTTTTGTTATTATTGTTGTTGGTATTAATAGTAGTATTTATTATAATAGATTAGGATCTGAAATGAATGGAAAGATTCAGTTACATCTCTGAGGTTATTATTGAACCATCAAGAGCTAAAGCCAGAATTTGACTTAGATTGTCTTTATATTTTATATCATTGGGCTGATGGAAGGAGGTCTGGCGAATAATCAACCTATTCAAGATATATTTTGAAGGCAGAATCAATAGGAGAGCACTGATCATTCGTTGTTGGTTTGGATATGGGGAATGGTGGAAAGGGGTCAGCTGAGGAGCTCCAGGGACTCTGACTTGAGCATCTGGGGGTGTTGACTGACAGAGAAGACTGGTGGATAGCGATGCCTTTGACCACCGGGCAAGACCAGGTCACTAGCCATACCATTTTTGGCTGGGCAAAGAAATGGGGTAGAATTAAGGTATCGGGTGAATAGTCACTGCAGACATTTGTGTTTGCAAGTCTGTGGCCTGAGAAGTGACTTGAACTGGATATCTGCATTTCACTTGTTGAAGGACTGAGCATTTCACTGGGAGTCAGGAAAAGCTGGGGTTGGTTACTTGGGTATTTTGTTTGGGGCGCAAGATCTGATTGCATGTACATGTATATACAGTATGTCTAAAATCAGCAAAACTGTTGAATAACTTATGGGAATGATTTCATTACTCTGAAATTCATCTTGCATAAAATAATGCACTGAGTTTTAGCAGCAGTCTAGTCTATCAGCCATGAATAAAGTTGAAAGTGCAACTGTGTTTATCACTCAGAGGCACATTTCTCTTTTTCAAATTGCCTTTACTATGTTAGTATCTTTGGTACATTAAAATTTGATTGGTTATTAGAGTTGGCGAGGGTAAAATGTGAACTAAGCATGAATATTCTGGAAATTATTTTATGTAGAGGACCAAGAGTAGAACATGTAATCGTGAAATTTCTCTTTAAATTTCTCTTTCTGTTTTTCTTTTGCCAACAAGTTTTTATGTGTCGGTGGCCAGCTCATGAACAAAAACACATTTTTAAATGTTTGTGTTCTAATTAAATTGAGAGAAAAGTTTCAATGTTAATGTAATTAAAGGTCAAGTCACAAACCACTTAATTTTACGTTGCACCAAGCACCTGGCGTGCTGTCAGTGCTCAATAGCTATTGGAATAATATGCCTTTATTTTCTATTTACCTTGGAGTATTACCTTTTGCCAGACTGCTACTATCCTATACTCAACAGATGATCTGGAAGAATGCATAGATATTATATAGATGTATATTATCTATACTGGAATCACAAGTTAATTATCAACTATTATATATTTTTAAAGATTTTACCCAAACACTTAACCCCAAATAAATTTTCTGGACATTTTTATAGTTGAGCATTTTAAGTTATTTTAAAAATGAAAAAAAAAAAAATGAAAAAATTCCTTACTAAGTGAGATAGGCAGCACAAATGATTTTAAATCTTGAAACTTTCTGTGGACCTGTTTCACAAACAGCTGGAATCCTGCCTCTTTATGGTCTACAAATATTTCCAGTGACTATAAGAAATAAAATTACAATGTCTGTTATGTGTGTGATGAATAGATACCTTTATGGTCCTGCTTTCTCACAAGTGTAGTAATAAAAAATAATTAAAGCCTTCGGGCCCCATTCGTAAGACGGCAATGTCTATTATGTGCATGATGAATAGATACCTTTACGGTCCTGCTTTATCACAAGAGTAGTAATAAATAATTAAAGCCTTCGGGCCCCATTCGTAAGACGCTACCAACATCCATGTGATTGTTAGCACCTCTTACAGTCTTTTATTTAGTAATTTTTAAATCAGTCATGTTCTCTACTTTACTGTCTTCTTGACAGGTCTCTTCCAGTAATTAATGTGGCTTCGAGAAGTATGAACTGGTTTCTGTTACTCTGAATAGAATATAATTAAGATAGAAAACATGCTGTTAAAAATGTAAAGATGATATACAGAAAATATATGCACACTTTTTATTTCTAACTCGTTACGTTATTTACATTTATCTACTCATTCAGATTAACCGAAGAAATGTCATTCTAAATATAAGTAAATAGTAGAGATTTTATTTCTTTTGAATCTTTTCAAATGAATGGAAAACATCCTTTGTATGCATACGAATACATGTCACCGTTCTAATGCCCCGCATGGCCTCACCCTGCACACAGTTGAATAATACAAACGTTATCATGACTCATAAGCGAAACCCTGTTTCTGCCACTATTTTTCAGTGCTATAAGCCTAGTTGCAAACTAAAGAGGAAATTATAATTACAGGTTATGGTCAGTGACATTTATGGCCTCTTTGGATCATATTCCCTTTTTTCTAATTTTCATGTTCAGCACCATTTTTTTTTTTTAATTTCACTGTATAAGCCACGCGCTATTTTGCTTTTTAGCCTTGCATTTGGTGTGATAATGTTCCCCCACAACCTTAAATGTGTTTTCTCTCCCTTGGTGTGATTATCCTTCTCATGAGGCTGTCAGAGTGTCTGCATCTTGGGGACGTGCGCTCGCATGCGATCGGCCCCACCGTGAAGAGGGTGGGATGAGTCCAGCTTCACCCTGAGTTGGACGAGCAGCCCATCATATACATTTGCCGACCAATAAGAAATCGAGCTGTGTTGCTGATATTTTAGGGAGGGGAATTAAAAATTGTATCATTCGAATTTTGTTCTAGTTCATTATTCTCTTTAGAATTGAGTACCAAAATTCTGATAGTTATCTCCTTTTTGTACAAATTTAACGCAGTATAAATATTTTTGGACTATTTAGTGAGTAATGTTTATGAGCAAAAGGCTTTGCCTAGCTCTTTTTGTGTTGTTTATTAATATGTCTTTGGTTGTCATGAACAACAGTTGTTTTATAAACTTCTAGATGGCTTTTTATAAGCTTGTGCAAATTCTTTGAAAATAGGAGGAAGCAGGAAGTGAGGGAAAGAAGGAAGGAGACAAGAGAGGAAAAAAGGAATCATATTATTCTTAGAAATCTGTTTTTTTCCCAAATCAGAATAACATCTATAGGTTGTTTTCCTAGGTAGAAATCACTAGTGGAACATTCATGCTGTACTGTTTAAAAATGCACATTTATTTCAGACATAATAAGATTAGAGTGACCAGTATAGCTTTTTATTTGTATACCTCCTTTCCATTTGTATTGTATTGAAAATGGTTTGTGTATAACAGATTTTTCAAAAATTAATGTTAGCACTTAGATAAATTGTTATCCATTTCTTTTATCTTCTCATGAGACAGTATTATTTTTTTCTGGACTTAAATTTCTGCACTTGTATATTATTTTGAAAAATGTGTGTTATGTTTGCAACCATTTCAAACTCCCTGTTGCACATGTTAAGTCTTCCTATTTCTTTCCTCCCTAGAATGATCTGAAGGTGCTGTTTACATCACTGGCCGACAACAAATATATCATTCTGCAAAAACTGGCAAATGTGTTTGAAAAGCCTGTGGCAGAGCAAATAGAGGTATTTACAGCTGTCTTTCTTCCAGAAGAGCAAATGCATAGAGTGGATCTGATTTACTATGAAATGTCAAATATTTTATGAAAGATTAATGGCTTACTGTGGCATTTCTACTTATCATGTATTATGTTTTTAAGAGCCGGGTTTGAATAACTGGCCAGGTTACATTGACTTTGTCACTTACTTCTGCATGGAACTAGGAAATATGAGATATGACAAGGTGTCAGCAACAGATGCTGACCTGAAGAAGTTTGCCACCTAACGATGAGATTAGACATGAATGTCAGTGACCTACGATAGGAAGTCAAAGTGTCCTGGTGGCAGTACAGATGCAGCACTATGGATATTGAGAAGAGGGGTAGATTGCCACCAGCAGGGGTAGGGCCAGGGAGGATTTTGTAAAGGGTAATTTGAACTTAGATTTTGAAAGGGACATTTGAACTTGACTTAGAAGTTTGGACACACAGAGACTGAGAAGAAAGGTACCCACGTAAAGAGAGCAGTGAGAACAGAGGCATACGTGTTAGGAGATTCAAAGCACTTCAGGAGAAAAGCAAGTAATCCTGTTTAGCCGAACTTAATAAATGAATGTGATTGCAAGAAGATAAGGCTGGATGAGGAAACTTGAGGCAGCTTGCAGGGCCTCTTGCGTGGAAGAGAATTAGACTTTATTCTGTAAATCATAGGTCTCTAAACTTTATTGATTGCATACCTCATTAGTTAAAAAAATAAGCCCACACCACAAATGTATAAATATTTTCTTATTTATAAATAATAAGCAGGTACTGTATTATAAAGCATACACAGAAACAGAAATGAAAATTAAAAATGAATGTGGTGGAATGTGAAAGAGAGATGTCGGGTTTCATCCTCATGGATTGTCTTACACAATTTGGAGACTTGTACTCACCTTGGCGACCACAGTCTGTGCAAAGTCACTGGGGATATTTGAGGGTGAGAATGAGTGTCAGTGCCCGATCCTGCTTCTGGATGGTTGACATGATAGTGACAGGGTCAGGACGCAGGACATCCATCATGAGGCTTCAGGGAGCTGAAGTGATAAGGAATGAGAATTCAAAATAGTGTAATGGCAGTGAAAACAGGGAGAAGAGAAGTGGGAAGGATGCTACATAGATTATCTCCTTTTTCACAAGCTAAGTAATTATGAAAAATGTGTGTTGTAATAAAACTTATAACCTAATTTCAGTAGACCTCTAAGGGTTCTATGTGTAGACTATAGAGAGTCACCCAAAATGTTTCTCTCTATATACATATCTATGTCTGTTGGTTGGTCTGTCTATCTATCATCTATCTATCTATCTATCCTATCTATCTATCTATCTATCTATCCATCTATCTATCTATCTATCTATCTATCTATCTATCTATCAATCTGTCTATCTATCTATCTATCTATCTATCTATCTATCTATCTATCTATCTATCTATCTATCTATCTATCTATCTTATTTATCTATCTATCTATTTACCTACCTACCTATCTGAGAGATCATCAAAAATAGTTTGCAAAATTCTCTGTGAATGTGTATTTCTCTTGACCATAATTTTATCTGCTTTTAAGAAAACCTAAATAAGAGACCCCTTATTTCCCTCCAATTAAAAACCATTTTTGTATGTCATATCTTTGACTTGAAAGGATATTTTTAATTTTTATTTTTTATTTTTAGCTTATAATGTACCTGATTCCAGAATAGATTTGAGCAGCCATAGTGGTGCTTTGCCTTGAGTTTCTAATGTGAAATATAGGATACCCACAATCGCAAGTTATATTTTTACTAATTATTGACTAATATAACTAAAGTAAATAACACACCACAGATAAAAGTAATTAACTAGATTATTTATTTAAATAAATGGAAAGCAACTTTAAAATGTGGTAATTCCATCCTTACCTTCCTTGGGTTAAAAAGGTAATAATTGCATCAGGTGTGGGGATGACACCCCTGAATATATTCACCTTTTGAGTTGTACCATTCTGATCTAGAGCAGACCTGTTGCTCCGTGAGCCTGGTGCAAGGCTGTCTTCTTTACTCTCATTCTGAGAATTTCCTTCACTTCTGCTGGATATTCTCTTTTCTGAATCCCAAGTCTTTATCTTTATTGTATTGCTTCCTTGTTTTGTTAGTGCATATCCCTACTAAGAAAGGATGCATGCTAGATATATTCGTCAATATTTTGCATGTCTGCAAATGTTCTTATACTGTGCTCACAGTTCATTGATAGAATTCTTTGTAGAATTCTTGGTTTGAAAGCCTTTTCTCATGGTTTTCTGGCTTTTGCTCATTGTTTTCTAGATCCCAGTGTTGGCTTGAGGAATCTAAGATCATTCTAATTCCCAAAGGTCACAATGACATGTGTATCTTATCCACTGGGCTGGGAGCTCAACTGGCGTTTTGATTTGGCTGCTCCCCTCTTTCCTCTCTGGAAAATTTTCTAATTATTTGCTTAACATTTTTATTCCTCCATTTTATCTGTCTCTTTTTCTAGAGCTCCTTTTAGGCAGGTGTTGGATATTCTGGCCCAGTCTTCTAATTTTCTTATCAAGAGATATTTCTGGGACATGGTTCCATAGTGTAGCAGTTAGCACGTCTGCTTTACATGCAGAAGGTCCTGGGTTCACATCCCAGTGGAGCCACAGTCTGTGGTCTACAGCCTTGCCACCCCGAACAAGCCCGACGTCTGATCTCGGAAGCTAAGCAGGGTCAGGCCTGGTTAGTACTTGGATGGGAGACCACCTAGGAAGACTAGGTGCTGTAGGCATAAATAATAATAATAAAAAAAAAAAGAAAGAAAAAAGAGAGAGGCATTTCTGTCTTTGTCTTTTTGCTCTACTTTCTGAAAGCCTCTGTCAGTTTCAACTCCACACTTTCCTCCTGGTTTTGCATTTCTGCTCTCCTGTGTTTAATTTTCCCAGAGCTCCTTTTGGTTTTCTACATGATCCTTTTTTGTAGTATCCTGTTCTTTTTTTTCAATAGATGCATTATCTTTTGTAATCTCTCTGGGTTGTAGTAACAATTTTGTTGTTATTGTTGAAGTTTCATTTTCCCTGTATAATCTGTTTCCTTCCAGGTTGTTTTTCTTTATTTGCTTATTTTGATCTCTATTTTTCATGTTGGTGACTTTTCTGAGGAAATCCTTTGCTGTTTATTCACATTTAGGATGGAGGACTAAACAGCCAAATGGCAACTTTGTGGATAAAAGGAGCTTGACATTTTGAGGTTTATCGAAGGGTGATCTGTGTGAGCTATTTGTTTGAGAATCCTTGTGTCAATATTTTGAGTCTTCTTTATTGGTCATTACATATTTTTTCCCTTTTCCTGTCTGGAGAATAAAGGTCTGGCTGCAGAGCTCTAGAAGACATAGGGGCTCCACATTTAGCATGCAGTGGTGTTCGGTCATTTTATCCCCGTTTTCAGTCAAGGACTCAAGCCCCCGACTGTGTCTGGTCCCCCTTCAGTCCAGAAACTAACATCTGTTTTACCTTCTCCAGAAAATAAAGGTTCCATTTTTTTACCAGGGAAGGAAAAGGGGCTTCTTCTCTTTTTCATATTATAGGTGACCACGGTTTTTATGTTGTACCGAAACGAGTTTTGTCGCATGTATTGTTTTATGTGGAGAGAGGAGGAAAAAATAAGGAGACATGATAGGCACACTTTTTGTGGGAAATTGTTCATGGAAGTATTGATGAAATATCACAAATTTTATCTAGGCGATACAACAGGCTGAAGATGGGCTAAAGGAATTGGATGCAGGAATCACTGAATTAAAAAAGCGTGGTGACAAGTTGCAGGTTGAGCAGCCGTCCATGCAAGAACTCTCCAAACTCCAGGTATAATTTTCTACCAATAGCTTTCAGCTTCAATGATACATCCTACCTAGAAGTCAAGAAAAACTTGTTTTCTGTATTTTCATGGTTTTTTTTCCTATAAAATTCATATCTTTTAAGTTCCAATCTTCCTTCCAAGTAACTCCTAAGAAAATTTTCTGAAACTTTTACCATATTTAGTTTAATATAATAAATTGTATTCTCAAGCCTCCAAGATTTTCTTTTTCTCTGACATTTACTTTTTTATTATTCCGGTGGCTAAGCACTGTGGTATAGTTTAGTTGTGGTATATTATTTTCTCCTCTAGAAATGTAATAATTATCAGCCAAACCTAGAAAAATAAAAGAGGGATATCTATTCTGTATTGTACTGTACCCCCACAAATTGTTTTAAAGAAAAAATAGTCTAGCCAATACTTTTTAGAATGTGGTTTTTCTCAAGAGTTCAAAACTATAGTTTATCTTTCATCCATGTTTGAATGGAAGAGAGATGTCATTTCAATTCCAGAACAAAAAAATATATATATATTGAACTAGAAGATAGGTGAAATCTAAACAGACTTCTAGGCGTCCTTCAGGAATAGAGAATAACTTTGGGTTAATTTGCTTTTTGATATCTGGCACCTAGGCAAGAATCTGATATCAGTGTGGTAGGGAGATACTGGGACATTCGATTAGCAAAACCGAGCATTTGATAAGCAAATAAAATAGCTCTTATATTTAAAAGAAAATTTTTATTTTAACTGTCTCATTCCACTATCTAACGTTTCATAATGCCGTGAGCCCACTGCCCGCCGCCTGTCCTCTTTAGACATTTTTCCGACAGTGCTTAAATGTCAGGTGTAAGAGTCAAACGTCAGAGCTGTAAATAGGCATTAAAGTTGAACTTTTCCAGATTGAACATTTTTGGCCTGCTAAACCTTAATATGATGCGTTAATCAGGTCCATATGGCACAAATAAATTTTGTGTTTGGTGTATCATCATCTCCTAAAATGTCTTTCCAGTTAAAATATTTATTTACTTCACCACATTTGGCAAAAACATTGCCTTTTCAAGTCTTAAAGTCTTTCAGCTCACATTAAACTAGGTTTCTCTCCTTTGTTTCTCTAGGTCTTTATTTGAAGACTAGTCCAAAGTCTGATTATTATTTAGCTGATGAAATGTTAAAGACACCATATTCAATTACTCTAAAATTATATAAATGTTGAAAACATTATGGAAATTAGAATTTTTCAAATAAAAAACAGAAAAATTATTTTCTATGATATTTCCCTCAGCCCCACAAACCATTTTTCAACAGTTTGACTCCACATCTTGCCACAAACCATTGATGTCCTGAGAAGACAGTTGTCAAACCTGCCTCATGTGTCATTTCTAGGCAGCATTTTTGCATATCCTTTGGAATGTTGAAAAATTTAACTTATCTTTTTTGAAAGAACTTCTGGAAGGGAGGATCCTAAGAAAGACAGGCAGGTGCTCTATACGCGGGGTGTCACCGTGGGTCAGACACCTGATGGAGCATCCTTGGCTGGGTCGCGGGTTGGGTAGGTGATGCGCTGTCTCTGGTCTTTAGGACATGTATGACGAACTGCTGATGACCATTGGCTCTCGGCGGAGTGGGCTGAACCAGAATCTTGCACTCAAGAGTCAGTACGAAAGGGCCATGCAAGATCTGGCCGACCTGCTAGAAACTGGACGAGAGAAGATGGCAGGCAACCAGAAACTGATCGTGTCTTCCAAAGAGGAAATCCAACAGCTACTTGACAAACATAAGGTGAGAGAGAGAGAGAGAGAGGGAGGGATGGAGGGCAGAGAGAGAGAGAGAATGTCTTATGAAAGCATAGTTTCACGTGCTGATACACATTTAGTAAAACCTAACAATTTCGATCTTTTAGGCGTTCCTACTTGTATAAGTTAATCTTCAAAATGGTCAAGAAATGAATACTCAAACCCACTGGCATTTAATAGCACAGAACAATTATAGAGGATATGTCCTACAATTTTTTAAGTGAAAAAAGAATACCAGCCTCATCAGGAATTTTAATTATCGGTTCCGCGCTAGCATTAGCCAGGCTATCTCCCGGCATAACCTGCACTCGACAGGAAACACGGGGGCCTCCTCAAAGGAGGCTTCATTCAAAACTCTTCCTTTACCCTTTGTGTCTTTTATGCCCATTCATTGAGGCCTTGGTGTTCTGCCGCCCCTCGCTCTGCTCTGGAGTTGGGTTTCTGCCTCTTACATGCATCACTCAGCTCTCCTGGCCCCTGAGCACATGCTCCTCTGGTTGCTGTAGGCCTCAAGGGTTTCCTCCTGGGGACATCAAGTCCTTTTACTACATAATCACACTTGGTAGACCTGAGGTTGCTCCATCCATATGAGCCATAACCAAGTTCAAGTTAGACACTACTCCTTAGTACGGGAATGCCCCTTCAGTGTACACACAGAGGTAACTCTTGCATTATTAGCAATGATTACAGAAAAAGTGGATTTGCCAGTCCAGAACCCCAAACTCCCAGACTATGGGAATATCCTATAGGAAAACTAATAATATCCCTTTGGGTTATAGATAGTTAACATTCTACCATTCTGTAGCTCTCTTGTGATTATAAAGGTGGATTTTTTGTTTATTTTGGAATGATACTTCTTGCTATTTTTCCCAGAGGTTTTTGTCCAAAACATCGTGATTTATTAAAGCCTTATCATTTGGCTTTGAAAACATTGCTTTAAAGTTCCCAGCTGGTTTTTCTCAAATCTTTAACCATAGTAATAAAATATCATCCTGAGTTATTCCAGAGGAGAAACTAGAATCAATGAATATAAATAACAGAGAAATAAAACTCAATAGATGAAGAACTCTAAAAGGAGTAAGCTGCCATTGGACGAACAACCCTCCTGGCCATGAGAACTCCATCCAAGGCTGTCAGAGGGCGATGGGCTTGTAAAAGAAATATCAGCTTTGGGGGAATGTTGGGCTAAGTGACCTCTAAGTTCTCTTCCAACTTTAAGATTCCATGATATAATAACTGTCAGTTAAAAATAATGATTCTAGCTTCTACTGACCAGACTGTTTTCTGAGTGAGAGCTCTATAGTGACCTCGGGCAAATTACCTAGACTGGATGGTTGTATCCTCATCTATGAAATGGGAAATAAATCCACCTACCTCATAGAGTCGTTATAAGGATTCGATGAGTTAGTAAAGTGTGGATAGAGTGCCCAGCACATAGTACACACTAAATATTTTTATCAATTCCTAGCCTTTCATTTTTACCCATGATGCCGGAAACAGGAAATAGGACAAGCCCTTTCTCCCTCCTCTGGGACTTTTTACACATAAAAAGTAACATTTCAAAATACGTGTGTAGGAGTGTGCAAGGCCTATAATTCTGTTGTGTGTAGGTATACTACAAGGGAAATTTAAAAATACGTAATACTAAATCAGTATGTGTCAAGCAGTGTTTGGCAGTGAGTATTAGGCAAAATACATGCTTCGGGAATTCAGAGAAGTAAAGCTCAGGCCCAACCACAGAGAGGAAGGAAAGTTGTGAATGTGTCGAATGAGGCCACTTCAGGAAGCACAGAGTATAAACTGATGGGGAATGGGAGCTACTGAGTTCAGTGGTCAGGGGAGGCCAGTTTGTGTGGTGGAGTCAGGGGAGTTTAATCGGCAGTTGGTCACATATGAAGAGCTCTGTTTGGGGGACATAGTGTCTGCCGCCCAGCAGCGTGTTGCTGCCCTTGAGTGGGGGGACAAGAGAGGCCAGTTAGGAGACAGGAGCCCCCGTCTCTGCAAGAAGCGACGAGTGCCTGGGTATGGTGGAGGCCGGTGGGGCGGGACCGTTTCACTCATCTATACACCAAATTCTGTCAGCTTTCATGTTTGAAGTAATTTTTATCGTAAGGTGTAGTATATGAATGAGTTGCTGACCTCTTTCTATCTGAAAAATTTCAGGAATACTTTCAGGGCCTGGAATCTCATATGATTTTGACCGAAACACTCTTCAGAAAGATAATCAGCTTTGCAGCCCAACAGGAAACCCAGTTCCACACAGAAATGATGGCGCAGGCGTCAGCCGTACTGAAAGGAGCTCACAGGAGGGGTGTGGAGCTGGAGTACATTCTAGAGGTGAGACGATGTTGACCTAGCACCGGCCCTGCAGCAGACTTCCTCCTGTGAAACAGGCCAGTGAGGCAAGACATGTTTATTGGCGCAGTGTGCCTCTTAGAAGCTTGGAACTCTCTCTCTCTCTCAGACTCGGCATCGTGTGTTGCCTTGTCCCTGTTGTATTTCCGATTTATATTTCCATAAAGGCTATGGCACACTGTGAGTCAACTAGAGGAACACTAACTTCAGACTGGACACGATGATATTTGGGTTTTGATAGTCAGGCTGAAAAACTGCTATCGATGACAGAAAAAGGCTTCAAATGATTGAAATCAAGATTTTTCCCATTTTAAATAAAATAAAAATCTGAATTTAGGAATTACGTTATTCGAGAGTTCTCCTTAGTAGGATGTTTATGCTATCTATTCATATTTCTTAAATGTCTGTGCTTTTTTAAATTTGCAAATGTAATGTATTTAGTTCACTTACTACTTGAAGTAAACAACACGCCCATGCCTTTCACTTAAATCACGCGTTCATCATCGCTCTAACGCAGAACGCAACTGCCCACATCATATGCCAACTGTGTGCCAGGCAGGTATACGTTATTCCATGTATCCTCACAGTGGTCTAGTCAGTCTTTATTACCCCACTCTTTTAATGTTGAACATGAGGTTCAGAGAAGCTTAAAATCTTGCCCATGCTTGTTTCGTAACTTGCTCATGATGCTAGACAGCTGCAGAAGCCACGGCTCATTCACAATGCGTTCAAGGTCACCATCTGATTACTGGCTTCGAAGCCATCTTCCGCTTCCCAAGTCAGACCCCTCGCACGAACATCACAACTTTAAAGAGAATCTGTCATGTGCGTATTTTGCACACAAAGAGGAATGGTGTTCCTTAATGGGGGTTTTTAGCTCACAGACCTATGTGGTGTTTCTAGACGTGGTCCCATCTGGATGACGACCACCGGGAGCTCAGCAGACAGCTGGAGGTGGTGGAAGCCAACATCCCCAGTGTGGGTTTGGTGGAGGAGAGTGAGGACAGGCTCATCGATCGGATAACGCTCTACCAGGTCAGCATCTGAATGGCATCTTGGTGTATAAGTTGTCACATGTCCTTTTGAAACTTTCCCATGGTTTTAATTGGATCTAAACAAACTTGCAATCAAATATTTTCTTAAGTACTTTTATTTCAAGCTATTGACCTCATTGAAGGCAGATACATTCTAAGTGTTTGTTTTATAATAGAACATAAGACGATGTTTTTTTCTTTTTTTATGAGAATTCTTTTTGAAAATTCAGCCTCCACCAAACATTTCTATAGTTTACACTGATGTCACACACTTGAGTTAATTTTAGTTTGTTGTTTATAGTAGAGCATTACAAAGTATTTTCTCTCTCTTTTTTTAATTTATTTTTTTATGGTGACATTGTTTTTTTCTTTCTTTTTTAATGAGAACTCTTATTGAAAGCTCAGCCTCTACTAAGCATTGTCTGTAGTAAAAGCTGGTGTCATACTGTTCTTGAAATAATTATAGTTTGACAGTTTTAAATACACCTAAAGTTACCAACAACAACAAAAAAAAATCTATGCTTAGATGTAGATGAAGCATCTCAAAGTTTTCAGAGTTACTTACGTAATTGAAGTCTGAATAAGGGTAATAGGAACATCATGGGCATCAGAGAACTTATAATTCTTAAAGAGGAAAATTTGCATCATCCCAACTTTTGACCCAGTATTTTCCATCCTTCTAGCATTTGAAATCCGGCCTTAACGAACACCAGCCCAAATTATATCAGGTGTTAGATGATGGGAAACGTCTTTTGATATCCATCAGCTGCTCAGATCTAGAAAGCCAGCTAAATCAACTCGGAGAACACTGGTTAAATAATACCAACAAGGTGTCTAAGGAGCTTCACAGATTGGAAACAATATTGAAACACTGGACCAGGTAATACTGTGATTATTTCGCAAATTTTTAGATTAGTGCCACAGGGTATTTATAAGGCTAGTGGTCATGGGACTTGAAAAAGATGTGGTCCCTCTAGAAACTTATTACAGAGTTTGTAAAATAAAGGCAAACACAAAGCCCCTGGTTAGGTTCCTATACAATCACATAAACATGTACTTAAAACTGGGCGGAGAGGCAGGTACCTTACCTTTGAGCTGTCATCCTCCCTTGCCTATTGACTGCACGTGGTAGTCATAGTAAAAGCTCAGAAGGAGAGAAAGTGATTCTGAGAAGGTGACATTTCTCAAGGACAATGAAAAGTATTCGAGAGAGATGGGGGCTTGCCTTTATATAATGAGATACTTTGTTTCTATGCCACCTTTATTTCTAAGAACTTTTAATAATAATCATCTACTATTGTCTGAACAACCTCAACATGAAGGACTAGAGGAAAGGTATCTTTATTTTCAGCTTAGAGAGGGGAAAGCTGAAACGGCATAAATATTAAGAAAAGAGAATTTGAGACTTTCAACCCAAGACATTATTCTCCCAAATCTATCCAGTCTCCTTTTAAAATTAGCATTGATGAATAACATGGGTTAGCAGAAAATAGGGATTGAATGTTTACTTAATAGGCTCATTAATATACTTACAGATATCAAAGTGAATCTGCAGCTCTAATTCACTGGTTACAGTCTGCAAAAGACAGGCTAGAATTTTGGACTCAGCAATCTGTGACGGTCCCACAAGAACTGGAAATGGTCCGTGATCATTTGAATGCTTTCCTGGTAAGCTTGAGAATCTAAAGCATTTGATTTAATTTTATTGTTTACAGGCCTATAGGTAAGGCCCGACCTGCATCAGTAAAAAGGAAATCAGCTCTTAATGGATATACTTAGTAAACCAAGCTCTAGAGAATCTGTCCATGTAAACTATGGGTGTTGAATAATTATGCCAAATATTAGGACCGAACATTGCCTCTCAATGTGGTTTTCAAGTAATGGCTTCATTGTTGGCTTCCGTTCAGGGCTTTTGTTTTCCTCTAAAATGCTTAATCTAACTCCCCTTCAAGATATAAGAAAACTTGTGTCTGTAACAAATTGGTCTCTATCCTTAAATAAGAGGCCTGGCTATTTGACGCAGATTTGAACATTGCTACTTCTTTTAGGAGTTTTCCAAGGAAGTGGAAGCCAAATCTCCCCTGAAGTCATCCGTTCTGAGCACTGGAAACCAGCTTCTCCGATTGAAGAAAGTGGACACAGCTGCCCTGCGTTCTGAGCTGTCACACGTGGATAGCCAGTGGACTGACCTGCTGACCAATATTCCAGCTGTGCAGGAAAAGCTCCACCAGGTATAGCAAGAGCCACTGGTTGAATCAACAATCATTAATTTAAGCAATATTAAATGAAAAAGTACATTAATCTACTTTTGCTCACAAATTTAAATCAACTTTTTCTTGGACACTGTCTTTTCTCTTGTCCACTGTATTGACATTAAAAGTGAACTATTCCACAAACTCCATATCTACAAATGTCATCTCTTCCAAGGGCTTCTATATCGAGTGCATGCGTGGTATATGCGTGTTGTGTGTGTGTGTGTGTTAGGATCCTTGTCTGGCCTTGTTTAAGTTCTCGTTTTCTCATGAGTAAAATGTGGGTACCTATACCTGCCTCATAAACTGAGTAGTTATGAAGATTTAATAACAATGAATGTAAAAGACCTATAATCTTAGCTATAATAGAGCACCTGGCATTCATTCAATAAATGAAGAGAAGCAAGAGAAGTCAGTACTTCTCTGGAAATATGCTTTTCTCCCCCAGACTCCCAGGTATTTAATATCTCTCTCTCTTCGGCACTCATCACCGTATATAAGGTGTAATAGATATGTTTAATGTGACTTATCCCTACTAATCAACAGCTCTGTATTTCTAGAGGACAGGGGACATCTCACATTTATCTCTGTATCATTCTGCACTCCATAGAAGTCCATAGATATTATAAATGATTGCTTTGTTCCCCCAAATTTTTATAATAAGCCATCTGCATAAATGTATGATATATTAAGAAAGATTCAGAATTCTAAGTATCTTTTAGTTAAATACTGAGGGAATTGGCTACGCTCTTAGGAATAAAAATTAGAGTGCCAAAAATCTAGAAAATGATAGTTTGTAGTGTGGTATTTTTCCTTCTTCTTTTAACATTCCTGAGTCGTAATACACAGAGATTTTACAAGATAATTAATAAAATACATCTGTTGAATGTTTTGTAGTTAAGGTTTTTAAACTCTTAAAACAAGCTATAAAATAACAATTTTTTCTTCTTGCTGGTGTTTTGATTAATTAGCTAATGTTTATACAATGTTTATAGTATTGGATGTCAAGTGAACATAAGACAACTATTATTGTTCAGTGTTTGCCTGATGTTTAATCCTAAGCTTCCAATGAGGATAAGATCCAAAAATGTCATTAAGAAGTGTTATCTCTGATGGTACATTAATAAAAATTAATGTAGAGTTTTTAGGTTAACAGAAGTTGGGTTTGAATTTTAATACTTGTGATTTGTTCTATCTCTTGCTTGGGCAGCTCCAAATGGACAAGCTACCTTCTCGCCATGCCATTTCTGAAGTCATGACTTGGATTTCTCTCATGGAAAATGTCATTCAAAAGGATGAAGAGGATATAAAAAACTCCGTAGGTTACAAGGCAATTCATGAATACCTTCAGAAATATAAGGTAATTAAAAATTTTTTAATTTTTAACTTTTCATGTTTTAGACTATTTTATTTGAGGGAACTCAAAACTCAAGTTATGAAAATTGGACCTTGAAGTATGTTTCATACATAGTGACACCAGATGGATGTATAAGATAAGAAAACCGCTTCCCTAGTTAGCAGCATAAAAAAATTTGTCCAGTATTAAGAATAATTTATACATATTTTTATAACGAGATTATACAATTTATCCTATTTTATATCCTCTGTCGTATATATATATAAATTCAAAATTCATAAATTTAACTTATATTTCCTATATTCATGTATATGTATATTCAGCCTCTGAAAATAATGGCTTGTATGAATATACACAGATCGTGCCATTTGGACTAAGTCATGTAACTGACGATATTAATTTCGAGGCTTCTTACGGCTTTCCAACTCCCGATAAAATATAAGATGTTTATTTGCATGGCCTCATTTTCTTATTTCCTCCTTTTCTTTTTAGGGTTTTAAGATAGACATTAACTGTAAACAGTTGACAGTTGATTTTGTGAACCAGTCTGTGCTACAAATCACCAGTCAGGATGTGGAAAGTAAACGCAGTGATAAGACTGATTTTGCTGAGCAACTAGGAGCAATGAATAAAAGTTGGCAAATTCTGCAGAGTCTAGTAGCTGAGAAGGTAAGCCAAGTGGCTGGCCTCTGCTGTCTGTATTTCATGAAAACTCCAAGAACAAGTACACTCTGTAAAAAAAATTAAATTCGCTGAAGGTTGCAGTGCTTTAAATACTCTTTGTCATGTTAATTATTTCATCTTATGGACCTTCCACTCTTTGTAAATTTTACATTGTTTTAGTTTTTTAAAGATGCCTCTTAATTTCTTTTGTCTTTGCTTCAAGTTGACTTAAGTTCTTGACTTGCATACCAAAAATAGTCACTGATTCACGTTTTATAACATTTCATTTTTAATCATGTATATGATGGACCGTATTTGAAGAATTCTCAATTTGGAGGAAATAGTGAACTGTCAATGATTTGAATTTAAAATAAAATGGCAAATTTCATTTTATTATGTTTGTTCAGATTCAGCTGTTGGAAGGCTTATTGGAATCTTGGTCGGAATACGAAAATAATGTACAGTGTATGAAAACTTGGTTTGAAATCCAGGAAAAGAGATTAAAACAGCAACATCGAATTGGAGATCAGGCTTCAGTTCAGAATGCAATGAAAGATTGTCAGGTAATTGGTCTAGGTGGCTGACATGGACTATTTCACAATTTCATGGCATATGCCAAAGGAATTTGTATTTCTTGAGAATTGAAAGTTAAATATTGAAAAATGTTCCATTTGGTAACACATTTCTCTGATGATGTGAGTTTATAGACTTTTTCTAAACTTCTTATGAATTTGAAATTATGAGAATTTTGAAACACTCCTAAGAAGCTTCAAACCCCCATAGACTAATCATCAGATTTAATGATTATCAAAATTTTGACATATTTGCATGAATTTTTTCTTTTCTTCTTAAAAATTTTATAGTGAACTCAAGATATAGCATGTCATTTTATTCCTGCATGCTATAATACACAGCTCCAAAACACTGACTTTTCTTATATAACTATATCATTACCACCACAAAAGATTTAACAACAATCCTTTAATATTATTTAATGCTCAACCCATAACAGTTTCCTCAATTATCTTTAAAATGTCTTTTTTTCTGTTAATTTAGTCACAAAAAGATGCAACAGTGTCCATTTGCTACATTTACTTGTTAGATCTCTTAAATCTCTTTAATATTTTTCTAATGCTACTAACTTGTCTCAGAAACTGTAGACTGACCCAGGTTCAGGACTAACCTTTGTACTTCCTGAAAATGTCATTTAACTTACTCTTCTTGTCCCTTAATTTTCTACAAATGGGAGTTAGCGCTGGAGGCTTTATTGGATTCTGATTCAACTCTAATGAGCGAGTACTTCACAGGTGACACTGTTACTTCCTACTTTGTCACATGGGGAAGCACTCAGTGACTGCTTGTTCTGCTGTTAGTGATAAGGATCATGGGTTCAGGTAGATTGGGCATACTCTAAATGTTTTCAGGTGTCTTAGGAACACTTAATAGTCCCCCAGGTATTCAGGTTTATACAAAAGAAATGTGACCTATTACCGTTAACACTGTAATAACATTTTTAAAATAATTCAGTAATTTGTAATGTGTTACAGATTAGCTGTGAGTCTTCTCTGTAACGTTTCCTAAAAACAATTGAAAACTCAACTGTGAAGTCATTCTACAGAAATGTCCCTTTTCCCCAAGCTTGTTTTTACATTCTGGATTTCAAAAAGAAAGACCTTTGGTAATGAGCTTCTTTCCAAGCAGTATTTTTTTTTTCCAAGCAGGTCACATATAAAGTGAGATATATTTAAGCTCACGATCAAAGCTTTTAGGTTCAGGGAAAAAAAGACCAGATGCCTTGGTGCTGGTGTGACAAGCTAATGGATTACAATGTTGAGGGTGCATAAAAATAGCCAAAAAAACCATCATACAGAGAAATACCGGGAATTTTTTTTTTAATGATTCAAAAAAAAAAAATGCTTCACATCAGAAGATGGGTATGTAAAAGATGGCAGACCAAAAACATACATCATTGCATTTCCAATTTTCCAGGGGCCAGTAGTATTTCTAATTTAAGCCATCGATTCTAAAATGTAGAAATAAGCCAGAATTTCAAAATTGTACTTTGAAGGCTGAGTTATATTTCTTGGTGAGTTCCTAAGTTAAAATGTTTCCATTAAAATTAAAAGATAATTTAAGTGTTAATATTAACAGGGTTAGTGCTTCCTTGTTACATTGTTGTGATAAATTTTACAATGAAAACACTGAGATGTTACTATAACTTTCCTCTTCTTTTTTTTCTTCCTCCCCCAATTTTTTCCTTTTTTTTTTTTTTTTTTTTTACCATTTTTCTTCTCTTTAATTACTTTTATACTGCTATTTTCCATTTAGTGTCTTTTCATGTACATGTCTTCTATTTCATGAAGAAAGAAATTGCTATCTGGAAAATAGAGTTTGGACAAGTTTTAGTCCTTTTCGGACTCAAATTTTAGCCTTCCAAAGGGTCACACCAGTCAGCATCAGTAAAGAAAGCTTGAAGTGTGGTTTAAAGAACTTTACACCAATACTAATTTGTGATTTCAAATGAAAAGTTGTTTTTTTGAAACTGAGAACAGAATGAAAGTAGATCACTCAGTTATTTTGGGAATCGTATATAAATCACAGTAGCCTGACTGGCAGGTTCTAATTGGCAGTACCACAAACTTTGTCAAAAATTTATTGTCATTTTGAGAAATTGTTCCTTTGGACCAAAGTGTGAAATTCAAACCAGCATATTTAAATTGGTGACTAAATTCAAGCTTTATTTTGTTTTAAAAATCTTGAACATTCTTCTACTCTTTCAGAGGTGATTTATTAATTTAAACCAACATAAAAACTTGATATTTATGAGTTAGTTAGCTCAAGTTAAGAATAGCTTAGTATAGCAACAAATGTTAGGTTTGGCTTTTTCTTTCATTGATCATCTTTTAATTATTATCAAAAAGAAAGGAAAACACACCTTCATTTTGCACAAAATATGTATTTCGGCCCTGTTTTCCTCCTGGGTTTTGCTTCTATGCCAACATAAATGTGCAGAGCATTTTAGAGATGTGTTTCTAAGCAATGGATCATTAATTTAATATTGCTCACTGAAAGAAGTTAACATCTACGGATAAATAACGATAAATTTAACCAGTGGTTGAATTTTAGAATTATATTACAAACACATTGGAAGGATTATTCATGGTTATTTAATCTTTTAGAGAAGTAGAGAGAAATAGCCTTGAATAGTAAAGTTAATTCTGTTTTCTATAGTACATAAAAGACCTGTAACTCCAGTAATCATCATATTCATTCTCTGATTAATTACCTAAGCTGTCAAAATATTGACAAAACTGTAAAGTGGAAATGAAAGAATAATATTAAAAGCACAAATGATCTCTTTAGGCTACTAAATGCATGAATTTCTAATTAATACATCCAGGCAAAAATAGCTTCATGATAATTAGATTTAAATAAATAAGTTTACACTGAACCATGGCAGATTACCAAATAACTGAATATAATAATACTATCTTACACTCGCCTTAAAAGATATTTTATGTGTTTATCTAATGTTATCCTTTTTGAAGTAAGAAAATGTGTTATTCTTATGTTATAAATGAGATAAAGAGTAATTAAAAAGTTGGACCACATAGAAACAAAATGAAAAGAGGCACACTATTTATAATTAATACAGAAGAGACTGGGCTCCTCACTTGACCTTAGCGATAGCACTACCCAATCCCAATCTTCTTATCCGTTTGTGAATCATGAAAGGGAGGTGTGAATCCCTTTACAGAACTGAGACATTATCCAAAGTTAAAATATTTTGGAATTTTCTTTTCTCAGCCTCCACACATCTAGTTCTGGGGATGGACTTCTGAATATGAGAATGTAACCTGCCTTAATAGGTGGCTTCTCACATCACCCCAACTTGGCGCTGACATTCTCTCCACAATTCACACCCAGCTGCCTCACCTCCAGCACTGGGCTGAGAGTCAGCAGGCTCAGAAGGCTGGTTCCAATCCCACCTCCGGCCTCACCAGCTCTGCAAACTAAATAGATTGTATCATTTGATCTCCCGCTTATTCATCCATAAGATGCTGATAGCCATCACAGCCTGCCTCACTGAGCTTTCCAAATTTTCAAATGGCATTAAAATATGTTCAAATTATGATGTATGGTTAAGTATGATCTCCAGGTCGTTGCCTCATTTTATTTTCTTTTTTTGAACATCTCATAGTGAAAGTTATCAATGCACATCCCAAAGAAAATGAAGATTTGATTCATGAGAAAAACCTGTAATTTTTTCGAATCACATAGAATCAGAGTATTTTAGAGAGAAATAAGGATAATAGACATTCTGAAGAAACTGAGACAGTGAAAATTTTTAACTTACACCAAGCGGCACAGCACAATAGTAGCAGAAATGTGACTAAATCACAGATACTCTGGCCCGGAATACCATTCTGTTGCATTTCACACTATGGGCTAAGATTGGGTAACTTTTCCAACACCAAGATGCGTGAATTTAAGAATATATTCATCTTAACCATTTCAGATGTTATTTCCTTCCTTGTAAGCTTCTAGAAAAAAAAAATTACATGGTACCGTTTCCTTATCTATTAGGTAATCAAATTTTACTTTTTTAAGTTATGCTAATTTCTCATGGGATAAAAAAAACTATTTTTAAAATTCAAATGTAGAAATACATTTTTACTGTGGAGACCCTCTCCTGAGAAGGATAATCTTTTTGCATTAGTAAAAATTTTTAGGCTATGAGACTATAATGGCTCAATTTCAGTGCACCAGAGTTCCATAATAGGACAATTTAAAATGACTGTTTTTTAATCTTTTAGGACATGGAAGATTTGATTAAAGCAAAAGAAAAAGAGGTAGAGAAAATTGAACAGAATGGACTTGCTTTGATTCAGAACAAGAAAGAAGAAGCGTCTGGCGTTGTCAAGAGCACACTGCAGGAGCTCAACCAAACCTGGGCACATTTAGACCACATGGTAATGTTGCTTGTGGGGAACTGGTTCCAGGACCATGTTTGCCACCTCATGTCCCAACATGACATGGGTGTCGGTTTTCCTAAAGTAACTGAGTAAATAATTACAAATTTATACATCATCTCTTTCTATTAAGTTCACTTCAAAGTCTAGCTTTGGATATTTCCTATAATAAACATTATTGTGAACATTACTCCCTTGATAATCTCATTCATTCCCATGTCCATAGATTTCACCTAGGCACAGGCAATTCTCAATCTGTATCCCCAACCTGGATTTCTCTCCTAAACTCTAGGTAGAGACAGAGACAGAGGCAGAAAGAGAAATCTAGCTCGTAGACATCTCCTCTTGCGTAGCCAGTAGACGGCCCAGACAGCCATGCCCAAACCACCTCTGATTCTTTCCCCACAAACCTGTACTTCCCGCCATCCCAGTTAATGACAGCTCTCCCCTTCCGGCTGCTTGGGCAGAAAACCGTGGAGTCACTCATCGCTCCTGTCTTGCCCTCCGGCCCCATATCTACTCCATCAGCTATCTGATCAGCTCTGTTTTCAGAAGAGCTCCAGAATCCAACCTCTGCCCCGACCCCTGCAGCCAGCTCCTAGGGCTCAGGCACCATCACCACTGCCTTGACTGTTTCACTGACCTCCTGAGTAGTCTCCACGCCAGAGAGGTCCTGTTAAAATGGAAGTCAGATCACACCTGTCCTCTGCTCCAAAGCCCGCAACAGCTTCCTTTTACTTTTGTAATGAGGCCAAAACCCGATGGGGGCTTGAAGGCCCACACAGCGTGGCCACCCCCTGTCTCTCTGACTTCGTCACCTGCAGCTGTCCTAAAGGTTCATTTTGCTTCTCATCTCCCCCTCCTGTTAAACTCAGTAGGTATGTGGTATTAAATATATTAATTTTTATCACTTTTATATTATATAGATATGTAATATATTGCATATATTATATATAAAGGTTATATACATAAATACATATATAACCTTTTTAAGCATTTTAATTTAGACTGAGTGTTCAAAACTATGAAAGGCATCAATTTCAACATTATTACCTCTTTTCAAATCCTTTTTGTTTGTTTGGGTTAATTTACAATGCCTAAAACACTGATCAAGTTCTTAATGTTTTTCTTGTTAATTAAACATATATATTAGATAATTTTAAATGCTATGCAATTTTAAGAGGTGTCTGTCTCTTTCAAAAGGTCGGACAGTTAAAGACACTATTGAAGTCAGTGCATGACCAATGGAACAGTCACAAAGTGGCCTCTGATGAGATAAACAGTTACCTCATGGAGGCTAGATACTCTCTTTCTAGATTCCGTCTGCTGACTGGCTCTTTAGAAGCTGTGCAAGTTCAGGTAGACAATCTTCAGGTAAGGAATAAATGGAACCGACTTTTAACATACTTTTTAATTTGAGAAATTAAAAAAAAAAAAATGAGCAAATGCGGACATCATCCTGGAATATTGCTGTATACTGTTTCCTTTTAATTATTTTTTAAATATTTAAAATTAATTTTACCTACTATTACTTGTTACTTATTGAACCTTGCCTATGGATACCACATTCTGTATTAGCTGGTATATAATTAAGTGATTTAAAAAATTCTATCATATAAATATCCACATGAATGTATTTTATAAAACGATTCTATACCCAAATCAACCTCCTTGATCCATTGTCGCTGCCTTTTGTGTCTTTTCTCTTTTTCTCCTGCTTCTCCAAACATATTCTAAGGGATTAGAAAGAAAGCAAAGAGAAAAATAGCAAAAGTGGTAAATTTTTAAACTATTAAGTTGTTTTCATTTAGCTTAACATCAGCGGTCTATCCAATGTGCACACACACACGCTTTTCCTAGCACCTACTGCTTGGTTTCCTGTGCGTCCGTTACCATCGTATCCATCCAGAATGACATTGCTGATGTTTGACTCAAATACTCCTCCTATCTCAGGTCACTGGCCTCAGGTTAGCTGCTGCCCTCACCCCCCTGTGCACTGGGCACTGTCACCTATCACTGCTCTTTGTCCCTGGCTAAATAATGCAGACTATGGGATGGGGAGGGCAGGCCCCTGCAGGATGGGATGCCAGCAAGAGCCAGCATGTATCCGCCTGACGTCAGTCCACTTCCCTGGCTTGGCAGCTAAAGTTTACATGTTGCTGACCACATTTGCAGAATTGCTGAAGGGAATGCCTTTTTAGGGGTAAGGGGGAGGGGGTGGTGTTAGGCAGGAGGAAGGAAGGATAAAGTGTGTATATAATTTTCTTAAATCTCAAATAGTTGTTGCAGATACTAAGAATCATTAAAACTTATTTCGAGAATAATAAGTCTGAAAACGCATTTCATAACTTTGAGGACGTTAAAAGTACTACCTAATTTAGCCTGTTCTGTGTTTAACACCTACAAATACTGTCTAAAGATATGAAAGAATTCAAGGCCTTTTCTTTGCATAGTTTGATTTGATGGCAGTAGATACTGGTATTAAATAGGAGTGGGTTTTTATAATGTACTTGACTGTGGAATTTTACCAAGAACTGAATCTATCACTTCAGCAATATCTCTAGGGAAATATTCTTTAAGTTCCTTCACTGGTCCTTGGTAGAGGACTCTGACAAGCCCATAGCCCACCTAGTAAACATTCTTTGCGAGGGAGAACACCCACAACAGAACTGAGAGATGGTACTCAGAAAAGCCATAATTTCTTAAAGTCTAATTATTGGGAGCTTCTGGTAGAACAACCCTAGGTTATAAGACAGAGACCTGAGTTTTGACTTTGAGCAGCCAAGGAAACCACGGTGTGACAGATTGCATACATACCACCGCCATAGTGTCCTGCTACGTGAGGGACAAGGACACCCTACGTGAGCCTTGCCAGCAGTATTCCAGATGCCATTAAAAGAAGGCTTAATTGTTAAGTATCCCTTCTCACACCTATAAGAACAAAATCATATAAAGAAATGATTCTTGAAAGAAGCCTTATAAAGCTTTGGAGCAAAGTCATGGTTTATGTATTTGTATGTGCATATTTATGAAAATAACTAAAAATTGCTCTTAAACTTGGTTATTAGAATTTAGATCCTGTCATTTTATCTGTGGTGTTTTTTCTTGGGCAGAATCTTCAAGATGATCTAGAAAAACAGGAAAAGAGCTTACAGAAATTTGGCTCTATCACCAACCAACTATTAAAAGAGTGTCACCCACCTGTGACAGAAACTCTTACCAATACATTAAAGGAAGTTAATATGAGGTATGGAACATGCTAGTTTTACACCATTATGCATTACTTATATCTGTGTTATAAATAATGACAATTAAAATTTCCCGGTCTTTGGAATTTGAGCTTTATAGATTCTATTCTATTAATGTTTTCATTTTCACAAAATGAATTTAATGATAAGTAAATGCAGTTAAGATATTTAGAAAGAAATTAAAACTGGTATATACCCAAAGACCAACCTCATCCCTGCTTATCTACCCTTGAAATGAGTGTGAAATGTTAAATAGAAATGAGAAATCCTTGCATTATTTCCAAATTCGCATGAACCAGGGTCATGAAAAATAAAATAGTAAGAAACAGCATTCGGTGAAAGGTGGCAATCTATGCATGAGTGCTGGCTGTTGTTTCCAGGTGGAATAACTTGCTGGAAGAGATCGCTGAGCAGCTGCACTCCAGCAAGGCCCTCCTGCAGCTCTGGCAACGGTACAAGGAGTACTCCCAACAGTGTGCTTCAACCATTCAGCAGCAGGAGGATCGAACCAATGAACTCTTAAAGGCAGCCACTAACAAGGACATTGCTGATGACGAAGTCGCTACATGGATTCAAGATTGCGATGTACGTATACTCAGGAATGATCGTGTTTTCCCAGAATCCCTTCCTTAAAATTCAGCAGGGCCGGCGCTTATGTTTCTAAGCTTTTGGTATGTCCCGGTATATGAGACAAGTACCCAAAAATAATTGTTTCAAGTATTAAAGAGCCTGCTAGGTTTTTAGAACACATGTATCAGATTTAAAAGGATCCTCTCATTGTTTCATTTTAAATGATGGGTTGCTTTAGCATCCATGTGAATGATTTAGGCTATCTGTTTTTACAGAGATGGTCAATATAAGAAATGACCATTTGGAAAATACTGTGATGTATTTTTTAAAAATCTACTGTTAAAGGTTTCGTCCATTTAGGTTCATTATCTTTTATGTAAGCATCAACGTAATTTCTTCTAAGAATTTAACAGTAGAAAAAAGTCTTCCTCTCCTGATTTATGAGTATACTTTTTTTAATAGCTTTTTAGAATTTCTCTTTTTCACTGTTTCTGCCAATAACCTACTTAAGGTTTTGGGAAACACTTCTCCTGTTTTACCCGTTACGTGGCTCTTCTTATTTGTCCTTGTCTTTTTTTTTTTTTTAACAAATTTTTTCAAATACCTTCTTATAAACTTTCCCATTCAGTCTGTTAGAATTAAGCAAGTTATAAAAAGCACATAGATAAAAATTTAACCTATTCTAATACCTTCACACTAATAACAAATAATCACTTTAAAGCCAAAGTTTAATGTTTACAGTGAAGATAATTCACTGCTTTTTCTCGTTCTACATAGTTTATCCTTACGGGGTTTTTCATTTTCAATTTTCAGCCCTCCTGAGTTGAGATACATGTTTTAAAGTGTAGTGCTCCAAGTTGTTTTTGTGAATTTGTCTGATATCTCTGTCAAGGTTAATGCTGCCTTTGCTTTCCTTCTTGTCACAGTAGTCCCTGTGTAGACATAGCAGGCTCTGCTCACTCCTCCATGTCTGGCAGGGTACCAGCAACATGTGGAAGAATCAGTCATTTGTCATCTCTTAGCAGCAGATGGAAACCAGAAACAGAGAATTTTCATTGGCTTATAATTTTTAGCATATAAGAGTGTCCCATAAAAAGTGGAGGCAAGAGACACCATGGAAAATAATGGAAGAACAGCCTTCCCTTACCCACTGCTCACCAGAGCCACAGAGAGGGCTCTGTACCCCACAGAGACGGGAGAGCATACCATAACCAGTACAGCATGACCACCTGCATCTACAGAAGATACTGTTGACAGGCTCATCTCTGTGTCTATGATATTAAGTAGAAAAAATGTAAAAGATGGCACTGTTTTCAATTGCATATCAATTCTGTGAAGAAGCTAGAAAAAACTGTCAAAATGTTTCCACTTTTCGGCTCTACTTATAAATGTTTTTTTCTTGTTATGTATGTTTTTCTGTAAATATATTCTTAAAAATGTGAATATGCATACATATTTTTAAAAATTAGATTCCATTCTCTATTATTTTTTCTGTGGTTGAAGGTTATTTAGTGTAATAATTTGACAAATAAGAATTGAGTGTCTCTAGATGTTTGGCCCTTTGCTGATTGTTTATAATGAGGAACACACTTAACACGCTGTTTCGTGATGGGCATATTTTCATCTTCCGTAGGACCTCCTCAAAGGACTGGGGACAGTGAAGGATTCCCTTTTTGTTCTCCATGAGCTGGGAGAGCAACTCAAGCAACAAGTGGATGCTTCAGCAGCCTCAGCCATTCAATCAGATCAACTCTCTTTGAGTCAACACTTATGCATCCTAGAACAGGCTCTTTGCAAACAGCAGACTATGTTACAGGTACAGAGCTTGTTCTCAGTGTGTATTATAAATTGGGTGTTCTATAATATCTGAGCATAAACACAGGAAAAGAATTTTTCATCATTGAGACAATGCCAACTTCAAGAACAAAAAAATAAAAAATAGGCTAACTTGGAAGTTCCAATGGGGATAAAGGAAGGTGGGACTTTATCTGACTCTGTTCTTTACCATGTAATTTTCCCCCTAAATTGATGCCTTCTTCCATGGTACTGAGTAAAATGTGTTCAATGAATAAACACTGAGTGGCTTTAATATTAATATTCCTGTTTATATAAGAAGAATATTTCTGTTTGATAATATAGTTTAAAAGTGACTTTAATTGGTTAACCAATTAACAGTACATGGAAATAATTCTAAGTTTTAGGGGGAAATATAGTAAGAAAAAGAAAAAAAGTTAAGTCATCATAACCTCGTTTCTTTAGGAATGGCATCTTGAGAATGGCAATTTGACATAAGAATATGAAAAATAATTTCGATTCCACTAGATTTCTAAATACCAATTTTCTTTTGTAATGAAAAAGACGGGCGTCCTCGACTATGAAACCTTTACCAAGAGTTTGGAAGCTTTGGAGGCCTGGATCGTAGAAGCTGAAGAAACGCTGCAAGTTCAGGACCCCAGCCCCTCGTGCGACCTCTCAACCATCCAGGAAAGGATGGAAGAACTTAAGGTACGTGTGTGGGAATCCTAGTCTCAGATCTTCCATCTTCATTCTCAAAACCTTAAGGAAAACTCCAAACTCCTGACATAGGCCTACCTGTTATTTTGAGCTCCCAAGGAAACGCTTGCCAGCTCTGTTCTCCTACTCTCCTGAGAAGAATGAGCTGTGCACTGGCGGTGAGCACAGCTGACTTCACAACTCATGATGGGGGCCCGGTCAGGACCTTTCCTGGGGTACCACTCACTCCTCCCTGTCCCTACCTGTAGCTCCTCCCTATGCTCAGCCTGTCCATTACCTCCTTCATGGTCCTCGAGCCTCCCATCTCCATCATCGTCCACTCCTAATTCAAACGACCTGGTCCTTTCTCCTGGACCACTGCAACAGCCTCCATGGAGCTCCCTGCAGCTACCTTTCTCCCTCCAACCCGTAGCTGCCAGAATGATCTTTTTTTCCTCTTTAATTTTTTTCAATTACAGTTGACATATAATATTCTATCAGTTTTGGGTGGACAGCATAGTGATTGGACATTTCTATAACTTACAGAGTGATAACCCCGTAAGTCTGGTACCCATCTGATACCATACCAGAATGATCTTTTTATTTTAAAGGCTTTTACTTAATTGGGAAATATTTTAAGTATTCAGTAAAGTAAATAAAATAATACAATAGATATGCAAATTTCATTATAGTATTCCTCTGCTTAAAACCCTCTGTGGGTTCCATTGCTCCCAGGATAAAGATCAGTGTGGATTATGAGGTCCAGCATCACCTGGCTACTGCCTTCCTAAGAGTCTCGTCTTCCCAGCGTCCATCTCATCCTCCAGCCGCTTGGGTACCACATTGCTTCCCAGTGTCTGTGTGCGTGACGTTTCCCCTTTCTGGAATTCTTTTCTTGTTCTCATCAGCTCTCTCTCAACCAAAAGAAATAAACTCCTGGCCATTTTGTTCAATGTCATTCTCTTAGGAAAGCCTTCACTTCTGTCCATGGTCAGGCTCCCCACGTGACACACTTTCACAGCACCCTATTCTTTCTCTTCAATGTTTTATCATACCGCTTAGTTACGTTTATGTGACAGGTGACTACTGCTGTTCTCTGTACTGTTGGAATAGCACCTTCCTCTCTGCAAGCACTGACGAGAAAGACCGTGTCATATCAGTTTTGTTTGCTGCCAATGTCTACCCACAGAAATCCTGTCGTCTCATACTTATGCTTTTGGCTTCAACAATTGGAAAGGTTTATTCTTTCTTTAGGATGTTTGGCAGAGCATGCAAAGAGAAAACACACACAGCTGAAGATGCCCTGACATTTTCTCCTTCCTGTAGTCAGTTTCCTAATGGAGTTATGAATGCTCAAGGGAAAACCAGTACGGGCAGCTTTGTCCTGTGCTTGAAAGGGAGCAGAGAGATCTGAAAGCGTAGACTGCTTTCTCAGTTGAGTCTCGCCAACTTTAGAGTAGGGTTAAAGGACCTAAAACTGCAGCTTTTAAGATAAAATGTGGTGATTTCAAAGTTTGAGCGGGACTGCGCTCCATCCAGTGAGAGCCCAGCATCTCTTGTTTACTCAGCTGTCCCGCTGACTAGCTGGGTGGCCTTGCCCAGCTTACCTGGTTTCCAGACATCTCTTTCCTCATTGCAAAGTGAGAGTGACAACGCAGTACCTTACGAGATTGTTTCGAGGATAAAAATGAGTTACTGTATTACCTGTAAAGCTCATATAACAATGCTCGGTTCATAATAAGTGGTCAGTAAATGTTAACTATTACTATTATAACTATTATTATTATTATCATTAAATAATAAAGGAACAGATGTGCATGGATGACCAAAGTAGGAAATATGCCTCTTCAGATAGCAGCATAATTTTTATTCTTTATCAGTTCTATCAAGCATTACTTACAAGTAAAAAAATCAAGTAAAAATTACACAAAATGGTCCATAAAGGATACTGAGTATCTGTAGCCACAATAGCAGCAGCAGCCGTGGAAGCTAGTTAGGAAATGCAGCTCTTCTTTATTTTGCAAGCAAGCAGCCTAGAAATGCACAGAAGACCAAAGACCAGCCTCTTCCTGAAATCCAAAATTCACTGTGCACTTTGAAAGCACTCTGCCTGCTCTGACCATGGTGCTAAACCTGCTTTTAAATCTCACTTTCAGGGGCAGATGTTAAAATTCAGCAGCTTGGCCCCAGATTTAGACCGTCTGAATGAACTTGGCTACAGGCTGCCCCTGAACGATAAAGAAATCAAGAGGATGCAGAGTCTGAACCGGCACTGGTCTCTGATCTCCTCTCAAACTACAGAAAGATTCAGGTAGAGTTACCAAGAGACGTTTTGGCCAGTCTGATATATCAACAGAAATAAGTTCATGATTTGTGTACATTTATAAATGCTAGGTCTTTCTAATGATACAAAATTTGAACTAAAATCGAGAAACTCAAATTGTGAAGTGGTTTTCCATGTTTCATGGACTCGATATTGTTTTAATCAAAAAATAAAAAACACTTTTACCTAAGAATATGTTAAAGAAACATATACAATATCGTTTTTTAAACTTACAGTTTTAAACATTTTCTTTTTTAAAATCTTACCACCTAACTTGAAAGTTTTGTGGTCAAATTAGAATTGGAGGCAGATAGAAGATAAAGATATAAGATATAAGAATAAGCAGCAACATAACTACTACTCTTTTTCCTTCGTTCTGTCAGTAAGTTGCAGTCATTTTTGCTACAACATCAGACTTTCTTGGAAAAATGTGAAACATGGATGGAGTTCTTGATTCAAACAGAGCAAAAGTTAGCAGTAGAGATTTCAGGAAATTATCAGCATCTTTTGGAGCAGCAGAGAGCACATGAGGTAAGTTATGCCAGCAGATTTTGGGGTAATAAAATAGTTGAGGCCTTTGGAAGATGCTGCACGATGCCATGTGGAGGACTTCAAGTGCCGTATCTTGTGCCGAGACTATTCAAATGCGTCTTTTGCCGAGTCTGCTCAAAAAGCTTGAGGTTTCGTTAGCTTAATTACAAAAACGTGGTTCAGTTCTTCGCTCCGTAGTTGGTTATAAGCATGTGGCAGGCCTCAATACCCTGAAACGGATAGTGCCAAAACTGTGGTCAAAGTCTGTTTACAGAGGGGTGGGGGAGGGTAAGTGGAGAGGGTGTGTGCGGAAGGAGAGTAGAAAGTTAGACTCAGTTTTCAAATTGAGTTACAGATTACATTAATGTTGCCAAGGCTACTTGCTGGACAGATTGAGCTTTGATCTTAAAAGTCTTTGATAAATTAAAATCGCATGTTCTTTATAAAGCATATATGCATTCTATACTAGGAAATCAAGCTACTAAATATCCACAAGTGGACCTCTTACTCAAATTGTGTTATAATTATTTCTCAAGAAACACTGAGAATGAACTAGATACCAAAAGCAAATTAATTAATTAGTCTGTTTTGCTATTTGCTGGTATAATCCAAGTTGCTCCACGTGTTTATGAAATATACACAGATGGAGAGATAGGATTTACCTAAAAGTAGAGAAAAAGCCTATGCAGAACTTAAAAGAGAATAAAACTAATTTTGAATCATTTTGTTTAAATTTAAAAAATAGAGAATTTAAACATTTTAAAAATGTTTTTAAGTTTAGTTTTATCATGTTGACCGATGATAAAATAAAAGAATGAATCAAAATTACAGTGGGATATCATTTCACACTCACTAGGGCTACAATGAAAAAGATAACAAGTATTGATGAGGATGTAGAGATATTGGAATCTTCATACATTGCTGGTGAGAATGTAAAATGGTGATGTTTTTTGGAAAATAGTTTGGCATTTCCTCAAAATGTTAAACATAGAGTTACCATGTGACCCAGTAATTCCATTCCTAGGTATATACCCAAGGGAATTGAAAAATATATGTCCACACATATATGTGTGTGGACAAAAACTCATACAAGAATATTGTTTGTAGTGCCATTATTCATAATTGCCAAGAAGTGGATGTAATTCAAATATCCATCAACTGATGAATAAATAAAATATGGTATATACATACATTAGAATACAATTCAGCAATAAACAGAAGTGCAGTACTGAAACATACTGCAACATGGATCAACCTTGAAAACATTATGCTGAGTAGAAAGAAGCCAGTCACAAAAGGTAGTTCATTGCATGATTCCATTGATACGAAATGTCCAGGGTCGGCAAATCCATAAAGACAAAATAGATTAGTGGTTACCTAGGGCTGGCGTATTGAGAGGAAATGGTAAGTGGACTGTTAATGAGTACGGAGTTCTTTCAGGGGTAATGAAACTGCTCTAGAATTAATTGTGGTGTTGGTTGTACAACTCTGAAAATGTAGTAAAAACTATTAAATTATGTACTTAAATAGATGAATTGCATGGCATATGAATCATATCTCAGTAAAGCTGTTTAAACGACAATGGAAATAATTTGAAAGACTTGTATTTTTTCGTAGTGAGATAATTTTATTAATTGAATTAAATTGAAAAATATTGAGTTCCAAAAACGGGTTTTTTTCCATTTTTCGACTTTTTAAAAGGTCCTAAGTTAGTCTCTGTCTGAAAATGGACCATATTCTGCATACAAAAAAAAAAAAAAACAAGAATACAATATATGTGCCAACTAACTTCACAGGTGATTTTGAAAGAGAGGAGGGGATCATAATTTTACTTTCAGCCAGTTTTTGTAAACAAAAATTAAACTTTAAGAATATATTAATTAATGGTTTAAAAATACATTATTCCTACACTGCAGAATATCACACATATCCTGATTCAGCTGGAGATATTTTCCGCAATCTTGCTTAAACCAGAATTTTAAAAAACTTATTAGAAAACTGATCGTTAAAATTAGGAACTCTAAAGTATGTTTTTCTTTTTTAAAAAAATAATAGTTGTTTCAAGCAGAGATGTTCAGTCGTCAACAAATTTTGCACTCGATCATTACTGACGGCCAGCGTCTTCTGGAACAAGGTCAAGTTGATGACAGGTAGGATCTTTGATATATTATTATGAAGAAAGGTTCCAGTAAATTAGTCATTTTCTTTTTAATGAGCAGATTAGAGGGCATATATCCAATCTTCCTAGGGCAATTGTACTGCAATGGAGCCTCAGTAATTGCAGGAAAGGCTTGTCTGAATCTCTGAAATGATAGAGTATTGAATCTTTTTAAAGAACTGCTATTATATTATACGAAGGACATAGAGTACTTGGAAATCACCTAGCCAACCTTTGCTAGTAGTCTGTAGGAGACGGGAATTAATAAATAGATCAGAATGAATTGTATCAATGATGTATCAATGGTTTGTAAACAGATGCTTCTAACATTTTTATATGGTTACAGAAATTTTATGTCTAAAAGGAGCAGAGAGATCACTAGACCATCCTTCTTACTTATAGATGAAAACTCAAGGTCCTGAAATGTGAACTGATTTAACCAAGGTCATGGAACAGAGTAGCACAGAATCAAGACTAGAACTCATGTGTCTGGTTTTTAGTCAGGACCAGCCAGCTCTCCCATACCATGATAATTCTACCAGATTTGAAAATGCTATGCTACCTTAAGTCAGATTACACTCATCCTGAAATTCTACTTCCTCTTCATTTACTTAGCAGATTCTCTCTTTATTGAAAATGCAGAGGTATATATCTAGCTCCTCTTTAGATTTATGGTGTGTGAAATTGATGATTCTGTACTATATTTACATTTCCTAGAATAATATTTACCCAATCTCATCTACTTTCTGTGGTGATATTTTCAGTATAAACTTCATTTATTTTATTACATATGTGTATATCTCCCATAAATGAGGACCGGTAGTTGTGATTATAATTAATTTAGTATTATTTTTTTAATAGAAAATAAATTATTTTTATTGAGAGGGTTTTTTAAAATGTTTTGGAACCAATTTCAGTTTTAAGTGGATATTTCTTTGGATGAACATGAAAGATTCTCATGGTTAAGCTTGGAACAACAAAATGTGATACCATATTTATTCTATTCTAAGTAAGCCAAATTTAATGTGAACTTTACAGAGAATTTAAAGCCTTCAAAATAAGACAAATTCAGATGTAATTAACTTATCTTTTGCTTTACCCTTCCCTAGCCAACTCTATAACAGTATTATAAAAGTTTGAGTCATTAAGTGAAATAAAATTTAAAATTCATGCACAAGCCAACATCTATTAAATTTTAAATGTTAACAGTTAGGGAAAAACACCAAAGAGATGAAAATATGAGGGTTGGACCTAAGGATAATTTTGAAAATTGCAAGTAAAAAAAAAAAAAAATTCAGATTCGAACATGTCGACAGTAAGAAGTCCCCAGATTACCAATTTATTGTGTTTTAAAATTTTAGTTATCACTTTTTTCAGAGTTCAAGTTCAGCAGTGGGAACAGTGTCATGTTTTAAGTAGCTCCTCATGCTGGCAGGTAGCTCAGGACAGCTCTGTTCTTCAAAGTGAGGATAAAGATGCCACAAAGAGATCTTTGATGGTTACCTGGTAAGGAAAGCAATATGGAGGGTACTTTCTGTGTCATAGGACATTCTCGAGTCCTGGAGTTATACTTTTTCAGAGGTGAGAGAGGCTTATAATTTTTAGGGGAGTCTTCATAAACTTAATTCGCCATTTTGGTTCTACTGCAATTAGATTATAAATATCTTTCAAAACCAGAATCACTAATAAAACTTTTGGTTACAAAACCAAAGTTTACAGTGGCCCTAGATATAGGTTTCAAGAATATTGGAACCCGGGATAGTAAGTCCAATTCAGATCTGAAGCCACCCTCATCCAGGAGAAATAGCATATCTAGGGAAGGAAAGCAAAACTAATATAATAGATCAAAGCAATGTTACACATTAGTAATAAAATATGTGGAGAACAGTATAAGCTGTAAAGAAACTCATTCTATTTGATACAGGGCAAACCAGTTCTAGAGCCACAAGTTGAATGTTAAAGAAAACTTCGTAAAGAACTGCCAACATTTTTTAAAGGTAGAAAGCACAGAGATAGGAAAAATGAACTGAAAAAAAAAATCTGAGCTTATTTAGCTGGAAATTGAGAAAGCATAAGTTAAATTTAATATGTGCATGTGTATGGACAACCTTTATACAGACAGTGATGAGTAGATAATTTTCATTTTTCTAAGAACAAAGTGAAGTGGGTTTAAAATGTAGAAGGGAAAATTTAGATTACTATGTGGAATAATTTGCTAAAGATTGGGGCTATTTATCGTAAGGTAATAACAGAGTTTATGGAGTACAGTTTTTTTAAAAAAATCTTTAATAACATAATTTTATTTAAGTGGCTCATGACTCTAGCTAAAATAACCCAGTTTTGTTCGTCCAAATTGCCTTATAATTCTAGCTGAAGACAGGTTGTAAATAAGCTTCGTTCCTCATTTTCTCCTGCAGTAGCGCTCACGAGATACTAACACATGCTGCATATGTCGCTATGGTTGTGCTCAGGGTTTGAGGACATTCTCATTGTAACTGCTGACCTATGCACTCTGGGAGAAAGTAAATGACAATGACCTTATAGGTAGGCCTTCAACCTGTACTGAAACATGAGAACACGCACTGTTTGCAAACATGATAGTTTAACTGTTAGCAATTTTTCAAATCATTTACAATAGACCTGATAACACGTCATGGCATGATATTTGAAAACCTCTGCCCTAGATCACTCCTCAGGGCTACGGTCATTGAATCTGTATACATTGGCTGATAATGTAACTACATCCAAAATAACAGTGCTTTCCCCCCGTGTAATTATTTCTTCACCAGAGATGAGTTCAACCTGAAGTTGACACTTCTCAGTAATCAATGGCAGGGAGTGATTCGCAGGGCCCAGCAAAGGAGAGGCATCATCGACAGCCAGATTCGCCAGTGGCAACGCTACAGGGAGATGGCAGAAAAGCTTCGTAAATGGTTGGCTGAAGTGTCCTATCTACCCACGAGTGGTCTCGGAAGTGTCCCAATACCACTGCAGCAAGCGAGGACCCTCTTCGATGAAGTACAGGTAAGGCGCAAAACACGCTGTTTTTAAACCTCTTCTACAATCCCACTGCACACTTTACTCTAGCCTCAGTTCTTCAGAAAGATTCTGGAGTGACATTGGAATGAGGACAAACATTGTTCGCAAATGTCAACAGAAACAGAAAATAATTGCATTCCAAAGCCCATAGTTAACGATGAAAGTCTGGCGAGCGCCGGCCTCTCACAGAGATTCCCTCCACTTCACACGCCCAGTCCTTCCAGCAGCTCGTTGAAACTCAGCATGGAAGAAAGGCAACAGGGAGGGAAGCAAAACTTTGCATTGGTTATATGCATCTCACTCATGAGCAGTTAAAACATGTCACTGAACTATTCTGGAGAAGGGAAAAGGCTCAGTCCTTCTTGAGCTCTTTGTCCATTCCCGGTCTAGCCCCTAGGTCATCAGCCTGGGAATCTGGGACTCCAGCCTCTTAGATAGATGCTTCCTAGTGCTCTCGTAAGTCCTTCCCAGTGTATCTTGTGGGTTCCTGTTCCTTTGAATGTCACCATTTTCTGCTTCCTCTCTCCTCCTCACTTCTCTGGGAGATCTCATCTACACACATGGCTTCAACTACCCCTTACGAGCAGAGAAGGGCCAAATTGGTATCTTCTGGTCGCATTTACCTCCTGAGCTTTCGACTCATGTATTCAACTTCCCTTTAGATTCACATCTATGTGCATCTCAGACTTAACGTCTGTGGGCTTCAACAAAGCCCGTGATCTCTGGACCAACCATCCTCCCTCAGCCCATTTCCTGTGTTCCCGATCTGAGGATATGTCATCACCAGCTATCAGCCGGGAACCCCAGAGTCATTCTATAGCTACATTCCTGTTTTTCCCCCTTTCCATATCCAATATTCCTCATTTCCATCTCTACTGCCATTGCCCAAGATTAGGTGCTCTTGCTTTTTTTTTTTTTACTCTTCTGTTTCTCCCCCTTTCCATATCCAGTATTCCTCATTTCCGTCCCTACTGCCATTGCCTGAGATTAGGTGCTCTTGCTTTTTTTGTGTGTGTGTGCCTAGATAGACAACAGGTTTCTAACCTGTCTGAGTAAGTCCAGTATATACCCTTTCTCCATTGCATTTTCTACTATACTGTTGAATGCTTTAATGTAAACACATCGTCTCCCTGCGTAATATTCTTCTGTGAATCTCATTCAGTTTTTATTATAAAAACCAAATTCCCATGCAAGGTGTGGTCTTGTCTGACCTTCTGCCACTTTCTTACATGCATCCTATATCCCAGGCACTGAAAACTACATCTGGAATCCTGACCTCCTCATATTTATCCTGAATAGTGAATTTGCCTATTCTCGTTTCTCTGCGTGGAAAGTGTCCTCTCCCTGATCCCTAGCCCTCATATGACACCAGGCCCTTCTTTATCTGGTTGTGTTCATATGTCTTTCAAGCCTTTATCACTTTGAGGAAGCCTCTCTGTGCACCCTGCGTGGGTTGGAGAGGTGAGCCCTGGTCTTTCTTTGAATTAGGTAGTTTGTACTAAATATGCATCCCAAATGTTTTCTTCAAAAAACAAACAGAAAAAGATCTTACTAAAACTTGTGAAAAAACAAACAAAAATTCATATGTAGCAATGTGTTCCCTGTGCATCAGTCTTATAGCGCAGTTTCCACACTGCATCGTGACTGTATTTAACCTGGGGACAGAAACCTGTTGAATTCTCATTCACGTACACATCGCTTCATTCATGCCCAAAGTACCAGCTCAGTAAATGCTTGTTTGATGAAAGACGCCACGCTCTGTAGGCAAAAATGGCGGGTCATTTAAAAATACTTAGAAGAGGGAAATGGTGAAGAAAAGAGTGAGAAAGTCAAAATCTACGGTTTCTCTTAGTTCAAAGAAAAAGTGTTCCTGCGACAACAAGGCAGCTACATCCTGACGGTGGAGGCTGGCAAGCAGCTCCTGATCTCTGCCGACAGCGGAGCTGAGGCCGCCTTGCAGGCTGAACTCACGGGAATCCAAGAGAAATGGAAATCGGCCAGCGCGCGTCTGGAGGAGCAGAAGAAGAAACTGTCCTTCTTGTTGAAAGTAAGTTCAGCCTCTTTCCTCCTATAGATGTAATACAGTTTAAATACTCTTTTGAGAGTTGTGCTGCTTCTTCCCATTGTTATCAGTGAATCTAATAAGGCAAAGGTCCTTAAGTCATACCCCGCAGTATTTTGATCCCCTCTCTGTGTCACATTTAAGACTTTGTCCTGTCTTATATAAAAGGGAAAAGTTTCCCGATTTTTAGCAATTTGTCTTTCAGGAAAATCTCCCAACAAAGCAGTTTTAAGTCTGATAAGACAGTCCAAGTGATGAATTCTAATTTATGGCCAGTGCTAAGCCAGGAGCTATATAAATCTGTATAAAATCTGTATAAAAAACTGCATAAATCCAGACAGGAATGCAAAGAATAGATTCTCCTTTCTAACCTAAGGCTCTAAAGTGGTTTTTGAGATTGATATCTCTTATTTTATAGCAGGGAAAAACCTATCCAAGAAGATACTCTTGATTTGATCTTAGCTTATCCAAACGTGTTACTATGAGATCAAATCTCCAGGAGATGTATTAGCTTTTAGTTGGATACGGACAGTGCACTGATCACACAGCAAATTTAGGGAAATGTAGATTTATCCAGACCTCCCACAAGATGCTTTTCTCCCTCACTTTCAAATCTATCTATAATACAAAATTGTATCTGCAGTTGAAAAAAGGCATGATCTCTAAACTCAGATAAACCCAAGTTATAACCGTAGTAAACCAAGTTTCTTGGTTGGCTCAATCTATCTAAGCCTCAGTTTCCTGATCTGTAGAGCGGGTATGGTTACGTCTCCTTCACACGGCATTGTGAGGATTTAATGAAATGACCACGGTAACTCATGTGGCACAGTACCTAGCACACATTGAGCACTCTATAAATGATGCTAATTATCATTGTTGACATTATTCTCATTTTAAAAAGTGAGCACAGCTAAATATTGCCGTTTTATATATATTTATATATATATAATCTGTTAAATTTGGCCTGTCACCTTTTTTTGATCAAAAGTAATAACTGAAGTTAATGGAATACTTTTTCTTTTTTAGTGCTTAAAGTATGCACAACTGTTGGGCTTATTCTATTAAATTTTATTTAATAATATATTACCTTGTGTGTAAGAATGCCACTGAACATCTGTTAAAGAACTATATTATTTGCACACAGTATGATTCATCAGTAACACAATAAGCCTCATTCTCTTCTCTTCAGTGTTTGCTTTAAGGAAAGGATTAAAAACACTGTTAACTCATTCTGTAGAGAGCATGTTAATCATATATTTTTCTTTATTTGTGATGGATTATTGGACACATTTCTAAGACCTAATAAGACAAGATGGCTGAGTCACTGCATTTGCTTTTCTTGTCAGTTTGTTGCTTGTCCACTTTGATAGATGTTTGCAGACCATGACATTTAGTTATTTCCATATAATTAATGTAGTAAAGAGACTTGAGCTCAGAATCTAAGCCGTCCTTGGAAAGGAAAATCCCTATTCTTGTTAAAGTTTATTTTATTTTGAATCATACACGAGATCCTATTTGCTTAAGGAGTTTACGAAGCTAAATTTTAATGTTTATACAGCTTCATTTTGCTGTATCTTTTCCCCACTGTTATAATATGCTTATTTATTTTCAGCTTTTAATTTAATACTCCAAGTGAATATGCCAAAAATACAGTAATTATAATTCTATGCCCTGAATATTTACCTGCTTCACTATCGCCTTTTAATTTTGTTATGAAAAATAAGAAGCTGACATTTTCTCTTTTAGATCAATGAACATTTATTGACTGTGGTTGATAGATTTCAGAGTGTGCGATGATTTACTTAAGAATGCTGTTCAATTTAAGTAGAAAGAGGATCTTTCTTTCTATTCATTATGCTTTGCATTGATGAATGAAGTGTAGCCTGGGAACACAGATATTTTAATAAAAAGAATGAACCAATCTGTCCAAGATAGACAATTTTTTTTGTTTTTTGTTTTTGTTATTTTCTTGTGAATGGGAAGAGGGAATGTGGTTATATACTCCAGAATGTTCTTTGAAGGAATTTAAAAGAGAAATGAGAGTCTTGAGCCAACTTTTAGTCAACACTTTCTAAAGAAGACAGTTGTAGCAAATGGCACCCATGGGTTGCTGTGTTAAAAATAAGTCACCAGAAGAGAAGATAGAAAGAACAAGAAAAGACTGGTAATGATGGAAGATATAATGTAAAGAAAAATGCAACATGATTTGGCACCATGCTAATTACTCAAAGCAACTCTAGCTGTCGTTAGAGTTTGGTAATCTAAGTTGTGGGAAATGGCCACTGGGGAGGAGGCCAGGAATGAGGATTATTAGACAAAATTAAGATTTGTTTAGTTGAATTTAATTTGCATTGGCACTGAGACACCAAAGATGAGTTAATTTGTAGATAGGGAGCTATGAAGAATTAAGTCTCCAGTCTGAGTCCTTTAAATTTTTTTTTTTTTACTTTTTTTTTTTTTTTAATTACAAAAGAAATACATGTGTCTGGTAAAAAAAAAAAATTCAGATAGTAATTAAAGTATTTAGAGCAAAAAACAAAATTTCCCCTGTACCACCACCCAAACCTTGTCATCTTCTCCCGTAGTAACCATTATTATTGTTTGGTGTGCAGCCCTTCAAAACATAACCACACAGTGTATGTTCTTGTGTCAGTATGTAGAGCTCTCCCTATTCTACACGGCCTCACTCTACTTATCCAGCCATCTTCTTCTTCAGAGCACTTACCAGTACTTGGCATATTAGATGTAGAATTTAAAATTTTTACATTCTTTGTCTTCCTCCACTTATTGATCTGTTTGGGTTTTTTACATACTACATATTTGACTCTTTATTACATACGTTTCTGCACTCATCTAGATAAAGCCAGTCGAATGCCATTGCCATGCCTTTTGTGGTTGTGTTTCTACTTCTGTAACAATGCAAATGCAATATATAGTACTTATATATTGAACTGAGTGAGACTCAGAGTTATATTATTTTTACATTCATCTCACTTCTTTTACTCACACATATTTTTATCCTGAAAGAGATTCCATTTCCTTTTCTTTATTTCTTATAGTGCATTTGAGATGGTGTAGGCATTGGGATAATTATGGGTGGGGTTAGGAAAGAGGAAAGTCCAGTGATTATATTCTCACCTCTGCAAATAGATTTAGATTTAGATAACATTTTTGAGTACCATAATATTCTGGACATTGTACTTGGTGCCATGACACCCATTGCTTCTTTTTATCCTCCAACAATTATAGTTTGTATTATTTCTATTTTCATAGGGAAAACCAAGACAGTGCATTACCTGCTTAAAGTCACACAGATAATAAGTAAGGGTCAGTTTAGAACTCAGCTTATCTGATACCACCTACTACAAAAATGGATATGGACACGGCTTCACATCATCATCAGTGTAACTTTAATTCTTTCTCTGGGAATCTAGAAGAGTGTTTTTCTTTTTTTTTCTAATTTCCTACCAACAAAAAAAAAAACTCATGAATTTTTTTCCCCCTCCCATTTTTAGGACTGGGAAAAATGTGAGAATGGAATAGCCGAATCTCTGGAGAAACTACGAACTTTCAAAAAGAAACTTTCCCAGCCCCTACCGGATCATCACGAAGAGCTCCATGCGGAGCAAATGCGTTGCAAGGTAAATTCCTGGAATGAGCTTCTAACTGCCACCTACCTGTGTGCTTCTCCTGTAATAACACCTTCGGAAGCATAAACCAGTTGAACTCCTAGAGCCATCTACATGGAGATGCAAGTTGCCTGGTATATTGCAATTAGAGCAATCTTTTTAAAGCATCTGCACTGGAGAGTCATTTTAGCAGAAGAGTCTAGTTTACAAAAAGAAGAATGAGGCTGGGCAGCCTGGAAATTCTGCAGAAAGCACCCCCCATTCAGCACTTCCCCCAGCACCCCCCTACCTCCAACCCCTGCCCCACGGAGGGACACACCCTGCTATCCAGACTCTACTGTAAGGAAAACAGGAATAGTAAATAGCTAGTCTCAGTTACTGCATAGTAACACAATCCTTCAGTTACTAAGGGCCCTACTACTTAAAGATTATTATCAGCATCTCAAATCGTACTTGGAAACAAATCAGTAGCTAATGCAAACCACTCCCTGTGTCAGGAGCTCACTGAGACCAACATGATTTAGTGGCTTTAGGGTTTATTTCATTCATACCTGTCAAGTAGAGTTTTCTGCTGAGAGATTGGCAGATCATATTAAAACGACTGTTAAATTTTTAACCCCAAATTATACATGTTTTTGTGTTCCGAGTCATTTGCAAATTACTGCAGTAGAGCACACATACTTAAATAATTTGGATTTTAATCAGTTTTCTGCATCGCTTTGGCCAAGAAGGTAAACATTTAAGAAAGATTAATTTTTAAAGAAGTCTAGAAATCATAAAAAGTGTGAATATAAGATTTTTTTTGATATTACAATTTAAGAATATTCTTTGAAATTTGAAATAAAAGGCAGTATACTTTACATCATGGATGGTGAGTGAAATATCTTGAGGTGTAAATTCAGAAGTAAGCAAAAATTAAAAAGAATTTGTTTTAAAACTGTGATTGTAAATGTAAAACAAACTATTAAAGA